TAAACGTTTAAATGAAAATCCAAATATGCTAATAATAATTTCCTTTACTAAACAAAATAATTTTGGAATCTGAAAGCATGTATTATTAAACAGTTTAACATTCGAAATTATATTATATTGCAAATTGCAAATTGCATGCATGTTGACTCAAGCAGCATCAAACTTTCGATGGATATTTGATTGGATTTGAAATGAATTAGGCATGGTTAGACCAAAATGCAAAAGTCTAGAACTGGAAGTCAAAGTATTATAGAAAGCTGGTGAAAATGCAATTGCAGGACGCATCCTAGGCTGTTGTTTGCAGTCTAGAGAATGACCTGTCTATTCCACACATAACAACTCACAGCCTTCAAATTAAAGGCACACAGAAGAAGTACCTATAGATGGAAAAATGCTCAAACTGTCACGCCAGCATCCAACCCATGCAATCTCTGAACTCAGCTCTTATCCTATTCGCTCCCTACACAAAACCCTAAGAACTACTTCAACCATATGCAGCATATAGCACCAGTACCATCTACCTTAAGCTACCCATGTAGCATAAATAACTTGTAGCTTGCTAGAAGAAAGAAACATAATCTATTAAAATATAACTACCTTGTCCAATGTACACTTGCACATTTATTATTTGAATATATGGTTTTTAGTATCTAGTTAGAACTAATTATGTTTTGGTTCCTAATCATGCATAAATCATTTAATTTTGTGGCATAAACTACATAAATATGTTTCTTATTGTGAGGAATTGTACATATGTTGGATTTGACGATTGCATCACACTACTGTAGACGTGAACAGGTTGGAAATAGGGTGGTAATGATGGAGAAATGTCTCTGGATATTTAAGCATCTTGCACTGTACATGTTGTGTCTTTTTCTGTGGTTCTTGTGTCTCATGGCCCTCTCTGCCACCCGTATGCATATTTTCCCTTCTCTGCAGAATCTCTCTCTAAATTTTCTCACTGCTGCAAGCCCCCAAAGGGCCCCCCAATCCGTACCACTGTTGGCAGTGATAATTTTTTTGTTCCCTTTTCTTTTGACAGAAACAAGTTATATTTTTAATTGCCTTAACTAAGTGCGTGATTCGGTACCATTTATACTTATTTTTCATCAAATATTTTATTAAAATATAATTGTTATTTTTTACAAATTATTGTTTTAATTTATTTAATTAATATGATTCAAGTTTATATATATATATATACGATGGGACTCAAACCCGTGAGAATCTGCCCACTTTATAAAAGAAACAGGGAAAAGAGAGTGTAGGAAATTTGTATTATCAAATTTTATTTTAAGTGATATAGAATAATATAATCTCATTTACTCACATTTTGTCACATGTTTAATAACTTATAAAAATATATACGTATCATATTTTAATCGATTAAAATCACAGTAATCCACGAGTATGAAATAATTTTTCCAACTTATCCCCGTTGTATAAGGTTTATTTACTTTACTTACAAAAGATCAATAAAAATTCAAAACTGCGTGTGATGAATACAAATACAAATACATGACACGTGAGATTTATCTCATTTTATTCTACCATCTTCTATAATTAAATTTGGTATTCAAAGTTAATATTTTTAAAAAAAATATTTATTGCATTAAAAATAAAATATATAAAAAATAATTTTTATTGTTAGATATTTGACCTTCAATATTTTTAAAATAAAAAAATAGTTAATCAAATATTTTTGCACCCAAACTCAGTTCAATTAGCAATCACATTCTCAGTTTTCTTTTTCTTTTTTTTCCTCTTTTCCTGATAAAATTTATTTCAAATATCTGTATTACGAATTTTTTTCTCAATGGACATATACATTTTTTTTACTGAGATTATATGTCTTATTTTTCAAAAGTCAAACGTTGAAAATTCCTAGCCTCTATGGCATAAAACTGAAAACTAGTGAATGATGAAATTTACGTTTTTAAGTGTCTTTTTAAATATATTGTAAAAGATATTTTCTGTAACAGATATAAGCTTCTTCCCTTTGAAAATATTTCCTTGAAATGTGCTTTAATTAGAAAATGGAGATTTGAAGTGTTTCAACATTTTTAACCATATAGACTCTAAATCGATTTATTTTTATTACAATTGATTTTGTATGGAATTAAAAATATACACAACATATGTTTTATTTAAGAAAATTGTTTAATAATTAATTAATATTGAAAAATATTTATAGTTAATTTGAAAATATAATTTGATATTGTTAACGTTATAATAAAAAATATTTGATTTGCTGAAAATATATTAGAGAAACAGTAGTAAAAGGACAAGAAAATAGTTTGATAAAGTAAGAAAAGGCACGCAATTTAAGGCATCTCTCCATTCGTTTTCATTCATTCATTCATTCCCTTTAGCTCGAGTCAAAAGGAGTCTTGCCTTTTGGGAGAGTGCGCACCATACACATCGGTGTATTTTAGCAGATAATTCCCTACTGCTGGGCCGTACCATACTTATCGTAGTCTTCGTTCAAGTGGCCCTCTTTGACTAGGTCAAAGAATATCCCAGTGCTCGTGACCAGTGCAAACAAATAAAATTAAATAATTTTGCTAAGTGGCATTAGTTTAATTAAAAAAATTTCAACAAATCAACGTACAAACATCAGATATAACAAATTAAAAGCAATTTTTTAGGTTAAACTTCGAATCAACACTTAAATGACAAGCTAAATACTCTTAAATATCTCCATCAAAGCATGCTTAGTTGTAGTTCAATAAAAATAAACATTAATAACTTTGATGACGTGGAATATGAACTAGATCTAAATTATCTCAATTTTTATTTGATTTGATTTTTTGAAAAAATAATTTACATTCATAGATTTATCTTAAACATAGTAATTATTCAATAAATTGTAAATATTTAATTTATGTTTTATTTAATTTCAATAAAGTTTTAAAGAAGTCTTTATTTATTTTTATATAAATTTACTCAAATTGAACATTAATAAACTTGTGATAGATTCAAGCGGGAAAGATGATATTCCTTTTGAATAAAAAATTTTGGTTGTCCTTATAAATATTATTCTCTCCAATTTTTTTATAAGGAACAAAATAGAATATTTTCTTAGTATTTATTATAAGAAATAAATAATAAATTTAAGATATATTAATTATTAAATATTTTTATACTTTTTTTTTATTAGTATCATTAAATATACAAATTACTAACTGTATCATTTAATATCATGAGTATTTTTAGAATAAAATTTATATTTATGAAAAACATAATATACTTAATTATTTTCCTTAGTCTTAATGATTTAGCCTTTTGTTTATTATAAAAAGGACCAAGGGAAGTATGTTACAATAAAATATTCATTGTGTATTTGTAATTTTAATTTTATAAACTTAAATTTTGATTAATAATATATTTAAAGTCTAATGGTTTAGGTTTGAGCATATCTACATATAAGTAGTAATTAATAGGATTACAAAATAAATTGAAAAATGAATATTTTATATTATTTATTTATATCAAGTCATTAGTTTTATGAAATATTACACTTGATATTAATGAAACATAATTTCTTAGCAACAAATATTGTTTGATTGAGTAAATACATAATCAAACGCACATTAATATAAATAAGCGGTATTTAACGTGTAATTTTGTTTCAAGTTTTTTATGTTAATTATATTTAAGTTTATTAAATTAGATATCTCGTCATTTTTTCTTAAAATGTTTAATATCTTATATTTTCTTAAAATATTATAAATTACATTAATTACTTTTTTTTAACAAAACAAATCAATGTTTTTTTTATTTAAAATAAGAATGAAAGTAAGAAGATATTATCCTAATTTTTAAGGTGATAAGTTATTTAAAATAAATCAAGATACAATAAGGTAATAATTTGAAAATATGCATAATCACCAAATTTTATATTCTAGCAAAATAATTAAATATATATCTTCTAATTATATCATGTTATATTTACAACTAATTTTATTAAATATATTTTAATGTTTCTTTTCATAAGTTTTTTTTTTAAAATTCAATAAGCTAATTAATTTCTTTCCAACTTCAACTTTCAATGAACAATACATTAATAATATTTAATATATAAAAACTATTAAATAGAATAAATTAAATATTATTTTTAGGGTAAGTGGTTTTTTTTCTTTAACAATTTAAGACAAAAGTATGTCTTTGATTACCCCACTGAGGCTACCATTGAACGTCCGAAGTTCATAAGCAATAAATTTACATGTCTATTCGACCAAAAGGCTAAACTAAACCAAACATATGGTAAGTAAATTAACTACACAAACATACTTAGCTTTCATAAAGTTGCAACAATTATGTGATTTAACTGTGATTGGCACTCCATCCCAAAATATAAAAAGTTTACAGATAAGGCACAAATTTAGTTTGAAACAGCGGGGTATGTGAGATGAGATAAGGAATTTTATTTTTTCTCTTAATAGTTGTATAAAACAAGTGCTAAAGAACTTGAAAGTAACGTGATGATGCTAACTAGGGAAATGGCTCGTCTCCTTTGTCTTTCTTGTTTGTCTTGATGGCAAAAGACATAGATGTCTCTCTTTCCTTTCCCCATCCCCAACCATTACTTTATTGTCTTCTTTTATTTGCATGACAAACTGAACCAATTTTCTATGAAGATTCAGGCATCAAAATATCCTTCTAGTCAAAAAAGTACACATGCTAACTTGACAAATGATACATATAATTATACATGAATATTTAGTTACTGGCCGAGGAGGATACTAATTTGCTGTGTTCATGGGTTTTGGTACGAATCTCATGATTGGTTTTTACGCATTCTATTTTTCTCTTTAACCAAAGTGGATAATGTTTGGCATGTTAGTGTATACGTACCCTACCTACCAAACACATAAGGAATCAGCACTACTGACACCCTTTCTTTCAAAAGAAAATAAGTTACCATACCAAAGCTACAATGATCATTCAATAATAATTCTGGCATCTCTAAGCTAATGTTCTTAATCTCAACATTCCCTTCATTCATTCCACAAAGCAAACATGGGAACTTGATTAACCAATCCCATATTTCCGAGCCTGTTATTGTTCATGTGGTCATTTTCATTGTTTCCATCATCGTATTTTGGTCCATCAAGGGTAAAGTACCCATGTCCATAATCTGCTCCACTCACTGCAAACTCATTGGGTGGTAGCCCCACAGAACACTTGGGGCTTTGGGGGTTCAAAGCATCCTTGTTTGGTGAAACCCGTTGTGATGGATCAGTGACATTGTCAATGTTTCCATTCTCATTCTGTGCCTGCTCATCACTGCTGGCATTCCACACCATGTTGGACAGCTCGTCCGAGTGTTCACGGCCATCGGTTATGGCCATAGGTGGTGGCTGAGGTGTTGATGAACCACAAGAATTATAGTCCTCGGCTGCAACTTGAGCCGAGTCTTTAGGAGACCTTTTAGCAAGATCTCCAGCAATGAGAGTTGAGCTTGAGCAAATTCTCTTCACATCATACCTACTTATGTCAAAGTTGGTCACAGCACTTGTTCCTCTGAACTTGATTGCTGCTATATCATATGCTTCTGCAGCTTCTTCTTGTGTACCTGTAAGTTATTATGGTTAGCTAATTATAGAATGACCAATGGAATGTAAATAATTTTTTAAAACATAAATTATGATACTCACATGAAAACTAGACATGTGATATTGTAAAAGGCATTAAATTTTATGGCACACTATCATACATTAGTAAATAAAAAAGGGAAAAATAAAAATAAAAGAAAGCTCAAAACAAAGGCGGCAGAGAGGGAGGGTCTACAAACTTACTAAATGTACCAAGATACAAGTCCTTATTGCCTGCCACCCTTCCTATCCGAGCCTGCCACCTTCCATGTTGATGGTGTCTGAAATGATACAATGAGAAAAGGATAAATGTTGGCCAATAATTGCCCACGTTAATTAAAAAGCTGAAATTGCAGAAAATAATTCATGGAAAACTTTACTCTTATTAATGAAAAAGCACATCACTTTAGGCCATACCTTGTCACCCCTCTATACACAGATGCCCCTCTAGAAAATCCACTGCTCTTCCTGCCCAAGGGAAACAGAAAGGACAAGTCCTTCCATATTGAATATGAAGGGAGAAAAGAGAAGGCCATAAAAAGAGAGAAAATTTACTAAGATCACATGGAAAAAATTTAATGGTACCTTCTTAAATTGGCGACAAATTCTTGCCTGGTCATGTGCTTCATCTCTTCAAGTTCCTTCTCATAAGTGCTTAACTGAGCATTTAAGAAACAGTAGACATGTAGAGTGATCATAGTTGCTATATAATGATTCAAATCAGATTACATAAATTAAATATTTGACTTTTCTAAATAATTTAATTTCCTAGCCTTTTGTTCCTTCTATTTTGTACTGTTGCAAGTCTTAAAGAGCAAAGGTAAGACTTTTGCAAAGGAGAAAACTGTACGAGTTCCAGAAACCTTACAGGGAAATTTATGTGAGTTGTTGGACCCCAATACTTGAGTGCAGCTAAGTCATAAGCCCTTGCTGCTTTTTCTTCCTTATCATAGCCACCTAATAATAATAGAGAGATATAATTATTTGCCAAAAGTGATAAATTATCTTCAGAAACCAAGCACACTTTCCAATGCTTCATATCTAGTAGCGTATCTAACCAGTTACCGTGATATAGTAAACAGTAAGATTTACAAAGATGGTAAGGAAGTAAAGTAAAGAGAGACAACCCATGTGTATGAAGGAGGGTAACTTACCAAGGTAAACTGTGAAAGATTTGAAGAAGCCATATGAAAAGGAGGAGAATCCAACAAGTGCATGAAGCAGACCGTTAGTATATTCTCTTTCAAAACAAGAGAGGAAAGTAAAATAAAAAAAAGGAAAGAAAAGGGAAAAGGTTAAAAGACTTGTTTTGGTTCTTCAACATGCTCCAAAAACTTTGCTTCCTTGGTCAATGACAATAAACCATAGAAATAAAAATAAAAATAACCAAAAACATATTTTTCTCACCTTGCCTTCCTTTCCTTGTTTGCCCTTCCTTTCTGCAGCTATTATCCCACAAATGGGCCTCATATCTCCCAGTCCATCTATGCCTAACAAAATCCATAAGAAAAAATAAAAAATTAAAAAGCTAAACAAGAGTGATATAAAACTATGTAATAAACAAGAAACACCATTAACTCGTACCTTGTAACACCACGATATTGAGATGTTCTCTGGCCAAAAGTGTCAATGGATTTGCGAGGGACTGGTTCTCTAGCATGAGATTTTGCCATGACCCGTTTTCGATTGTCTTCATTCACTTGAACAGTGGAAATTGCACCCACCCCATTTTGTACACTAGGACTCATAGTGAGGGACAGAGATTGAAAATTACATCCATTTGCCTCAGGTGAAGGTTTTCCCTCAGAAAACTGAGTTTGAGCCAACCAAGACTTGTACATGCCATTGGTGGGTATAAGGGTATGTGAGCTATCATTGTATGCATGGAAAGAGTGGAGCAAGGAAGAAGGGTTTGTGAGATTCTCCCCAGTTTCAATCTCTGCATTGGTGCAAAAGCTTGGTGCAACATTAACATTGATTTTAGAAATGTTATTCTGGTTTTGGTTTTGGTCATGTTGTGAGTCTGGGCAGAAGACTTTAGATTCAGCCATGGTTGAGTTTGAGTAGCAACCCAAGAAGTCTTCAAGCTTTGGACCTTCTTCATTTGAATTCCCTCCCCCTATTGCATTATCATATCTCCATTCTGTGACCATCCAACAAAATGGAATGTGAAAAATCAAAACCGGGATACCAAATTTAAAATTTCATCGATAACTAAAAAGAAAGAAGAAGGATTAATCCAGTGAAAGTGCTTATTTTTCAGCAAAATAACAAACTTTATAAAAGAAAATATGAAGGCACAAAATAAACTGTTTTGAGCAACATGCAAAAGGTTGTAAGCAAAACACATTAAAATAGAACACTCTTTAAGGACTCAGAGACTCTTCCAATGTCAAAAACCTCTCATCATGGGAAAGAAAAGTTTTTGAGTGCCTGTTTGATATTGATTGTCTAAAGAGAAATAATAACTTGTTTCTAAACACTATTTATATAGATTATTGAGAAATTGAATAAAAGGGAAATAGAAGGGAAGGGATGAAAAATAGATAGGTGTAGTATGGCATGCAATACCTTCAGGTGCAGCTGAGTGCCTAAAGGAGTCAGAAACACAGAGAGAGCCATCAGAGCGCAAAGGCATAACAGACAAGTGAGGGTGAGAAGAAGGAGGGTGAGGGTGAGGATGAGGATGAGAAGAAGGAGGAGGATAACCTCCTCCACGCTCTTGGTTTTCTCTCCCAAATTCTTCATCAATCCTCAAGTGTGGAGTCAGAGAGAACCCCAACCAGTTACTCATATTAAAACACACAAAAATCTTCCTCTATTCTCAAGAAAGCAATCCCCACAGACTTCCACAGTTACACTTACACCCCACAGATCTTTCTCTCTCCCCCAAAAATCTGAACTTCTTGTATTTCTCTATGCAAGTTTGGAATGTTGGACTTGCAGCTCAAACTTCAAAGCTTGTTGTCATGGTTGAGACGGGGTTGAAAATTTTCCCCAATTTTTTTTTCTCTTTTGAAGGAATATATATCATAGTCATATCATGTGAGACTGATAATCTTGTGGGTCTCTCCTAACTCCTAAGGTGTATATATATATATATTATATTGTTTTTGGTTTTAGATTTTGTTGAGGGGTTGAGACTTGAGAACTTTGGACAAACTTCTCTCGTCTTATATTCTCAGCTCTGTGTCTGTTTTCTAATGAAAGTGTTGGGTTCTGTGCCAGCTCTTTCATTTCTCTCTCAGATTTCTGCAGAGGTGGCCACGGCATGTCCCAGTGTAAGAATATATATATATATATTGAAGAGAGAGAGAACACGGATGAGATGCCAAAACAAAATCTTGATAGGCATAGCTATGATCAAATTGAAGGTGGTGCTAACCTGCACCACTCTTTGTACACACCAGTGTTACTAGTTATAGGTAATAGGGTTTGATTAACGGTTACGATTCGACAAATCTGTGAGATACTATGGTCTGCGGAACAGTGGATTGTGGTCAAGTTGAACCATAAAGCGAGTAATTGATGATTCAACTGATCTCAGCCGTGACTAAATACTGATAATATATACAGACAAGCGTTTTAAAACAACATATTATACATTATTATAAGAGAAAAATATAATAACAAACTGAAAGAGGAGTAAAAATAATATACTAACATATAAATATTATTTTTGTATATTAATTATGACAATCAACTCAACAATACTGTTATTTATTATAAGATAATATAATATTATAAAAATTAATAAATAATGGATCAAACTTAAATTAAAATATGTTGTTAATTTTTTAAAAAATAGTATAAAGAATTAATAGTCGTAACAGATTAAAATTAAATTCATGTATTATATAAATTTAATTTTACAACATCATAAATATGATACCTTATATAGTATACTTAAAATATATTTAGTCTTTACACATGAGACTCATCTAAAATTTAAATTTTATATTAAATAAAATTATATTTTAATTTTTAATATCATTAAACACAGCAGTATAATAAACGTTGGTATAAACATTAAAATATAAAATATATAAATGAGTATTAATTATAGAGATTTAATATATATTTAATATTAAATTAAATAAATAATGTTAATTTTTTTATTTTAAAATAAAATAATTTAAATAAAATAATAAAAATTAATACATAAATAATATTAAATACTATAATTCTAAATATATATAAAAATATTTTTTTATATCGAGTAAAACTTTTTATATTTAATCTAAATTTTTTATTTAATTTAAATCTAACAAATTATAATTTATTATTTCACTTATTATTAGATTTAAGTTAAATAAAATATTTAAATTTTTGTTAAATTTAAATTAAATTAAATATAAAATTTTTTAAACTTTATATATATATATATATATAATTTTCAAGCGCGTATTTGATCCGAAATAATGTGGGATTCATTTCACTTGGACCGAATTGACCCGTCCGGTGGAACCGGTTACTAGTTGGATGGGCGCTCGAAGCAGTGCTGCCAATTGGTCCAGATTCACTGCGATCGTCAATAACCAAAACAAATGCACCTTGTCTTCTACCCTCTACATTTCAGGACTTTCTCGTAATTTCCTACCACAACCTCGAAATCTCCGCATCATACCTCAAACTAACGTTTCTATCTCATTATTTTTAAGTTCATAGCTATTATGATATCATTTTATTCTTATTAATAATTTATCGATTTTTGCTTGGTTGTATTTATATTTTTTTATTAGTTAATTTAATTTAAAAATAATTACATTTTTAAAATAAATTATATATTTAAATGTTATAATTTATTTATTATGATAAAAAATATTAAGTATGTAAATAAAATAATTATTATAAATTTTTAATAACAAATAATATTTATATTTTTAATATGTTATTGTTTTATTATTATAATGTTTAATAGTATTTAAATAATTTTAATTACTGTAATTGATTATTCTTAATTTGAAAATTTTAAATTATAATAATTACTATAATATTTAATGTTGAATAGCATGTTTAGAATTACACTTGAACGTGTTTGTCACTACATGAGGTGAATGCTAAGGTTGTATCATGGAGGGAACACGCATTTCTCTCTATCTTGATGAAGGAAGAATCATCAAGATACATCATATGAACCAGAAAACTTTAAAATTCAACAAAAGTTAACTTCATAATCCAATTTATTTTATTTTGGGTTGTCCAGAACTTCATGACTCAAATTCGTTCATAATATATTCATTATAAAATGGGCCCTGGTCTTTGTCACCGCATTTGGGAGGTGGGCTATTTGCATTAAAATGGATTGGCATGCAGCCTGTGCACAAGGACAACCTTGCATGCATGCAAATGAAATCAAATACATTTAATTATTCCGAGGCACATGAATGTGTGGCAATTAGTAAAATTTACTTGGATGAAATTAATTTTAAACCATTGAGTATGATTAAAATATGTATCTAATATAATCTTCAAAACTTCATTTCAGCCAAATACCAAAAAAATAGAAAATAAAAAAATCTCCTTCTCTCAATAACTTGCATTGGAAGCCATGTACACTTTACTACAGTCAAACAGGCAGTAAACTAATTTAAATCCCATTTATATTGGACAGCATGTTTTTCATTGAAATTTTTAAAAAAAAATATTTTTCTAGTATTCAATAAGTAGGACTAACTTTATACTCGTATCATAACAATGGAGAAATAAAAAAAAAAGTGAGAAAAAGATAAAAAAGAGAAAGAAATGCTCCCTTGTATATGCCTCCATTTGCATATTTTTTTTTTTTCATATTGAAATGCAGAATTTATTTTCAAAGTTGTACCAATTGTTTTTTAAGAAAATGTTTGGGAGGAGGTTTTAGAGGAAAAAAGAAGAAAAAATATATTTTTTAATTTTAAATTAAAAATTATATATTATTTACAATAATAAATACATTGTTAATATATTAAACTTTTACTAATATATTAATTTTTATATATTTTTTAAAATATATTAATTTTAAATATATTTATTTAAAATATAAATTTATACTCTCCCGTCTAAAACTCTCCTTCCAGAACAACCCCTAAATAGATTATTGTCCAGCTCAAGTAAGTTTCCGGTTAAGTTTTTGCAAGAAAAAAATATATAAAAATAAATAACACCTGTCATAAATTAAAATTAACTTTTTTTTTTTAACTTTTAGAGATATTAAATGAAGGAATAGCTTCTAAAAATAGAAAAATATAAATTAATTTAACTTATGAGAGAAATTTTATTAATTTTTTGTATTATTATTTTTTCTTACAATGATTTATACACAAATTTACTCAAACTCTGCCTATAAATGCAAGACTGTTACTGCTCCCAAATGGAATAATTAATATAAGGCAAGCTGCCAAATACTTACTATAAAGATGTACAAGATTAAAAAGAATTATGGCTGAAGAAACATATATCAGCATATTACAGAATGAACAACTGAAGGAACACCACTTCAACAAGCATTATAAGTCTCAAAACCATAATCATCCATAAATATCACGACATGAACAAGCCTAAAAGGGGTGACTCAAATTTTCTTAAAATGTCAAAACATTCCCCCAAAAAAAACATTAAGTAAACCCAGAAAACTGTGAAGAGTACTGTTTTGGTTTCGTGCACTTCCATCCTGTGAGAATCTCCGAGTTAAAAAGAAAAATTGTGTCCTGTGATTAAATGTGCAACCGCCCAACAATTAAGGGAAACAGTATGTATTCACAATATGGAGCTTTGGTAACCAGCATCCATCATTCAGGATTAGCCCCATGCCATGGAACACGCGTAGTTGACCACCAGTTTGCCATCAAAACCAAAATTCTAAGAAGTCAAGACAGCCACAAGAGAAAAGAAATAACTTAGTGACACAAGACGATACATAAACAGCAAAACTAAATTATCTAAAGAGATACCAAAACAATCTGCATAAAAATTAGAATATTGACTGCCATACTATATATATATTTTCTGAACACTTGCATATCTATCTATGCATGACAAGAGAAACATGTCAATACAGGCAAGCAATTCTATACTCAGCACTTCCTTTTGTCTTTTTATTGAATTCAAATGCTAATCCATCTGTAGGAGACTTCATTTTGACGTGAAGTCTGGCATGTGATTTTAATTTTTAATGTCACTTTGCCTCTTTCTTCATCAAGTAGGATAAGGAACGATGAAATTAAGGAAAAAAAGGAAAGGAAATGGAAGTCGGATTTCACATTCAGGATTTCACAACTTTTAAGAAATACTGATTGAATTTTAACACTGTCTAGTTACTTTGATCACACACTCTCACCCACCCCATCAGGCATAAACCTAAAATTTTTCCTCCAGTTTATTTAACAAAGATGAGACATATTATAATTACATGAAATGTTAGTAACTGCAGCAAAAGAATTAGAAGAATGCATCATCTACATTCAACAAAGATACAAAATTAGTGGAAAGAAAGAGATTTGACAATAACTTACATTATACAAATCAATGACCAATTCATCAGGGTTCGGTGAAAAGGCACTATTGACATATACAAACTGCAAAATGAGGAAATGAGCAGTGAGTAAACAGGACCTTTAGGGAAATAGATGGGGGTAGACTACATAGTGACTGTTTACCAGTGTCTCCCTGTGGAGCTGCCGGCGAAGAAAGTCAATTACTTTAGCAAATTTATCAGTTCCTGCTATCTGCCATATCAAGTATATAAAGAATTTGTTTCACTTAAGGGGTTTGAATACATATTATCATAGAATTAGCCTCAATAAAGTTTTGCAATCATTCCACAAAATAATGGCATAGACTTGAGTTTTAAACTTTTGAGTTTATGTCATTTTGTCATGCACCTCAAACCTGCATTTTCCATAAGTAAGAAAATGTGTATACATTCATATCAACAATAAACACAGAAAACTGAAACAGGAAAAAGTACGTACTCTTCTTTCCCCACTGTCTACATGAAAATTGGAGTGTAATCTCTATTAGACAGTGAATTACATGGATAGTACGTGCATATCAAATGGAAGGTAGTTCAGCTTACGACAGAGGAAGACCTAAGAAAACTTTACGACTTAGGAGAAACTATATAAAAAGATCTAGCTCTAGCTAGTTTGACCGAAAACTTGGTTTTTGATACAGCCTAATGTCATCTATTCACAAGTAGTCAACCTCACCTAGAGGGATAAAGCTTGGTCCTTCTTTGTAGTAATAATAAATTCACATGGTTTAACTCAACCGAAAACTTGTTCATCATATTACTGAACTGCTATGTAGTGAAATTCCAAAATGGTGGTAAAAAAGTTGAGCAATGGCTAGCCTGCATTTGAGAAAGTTCCTGAGTAATATATCACACCAATCGTAATGTAGACAATAAATAATATTATGCATTGCTTCAATTCACTGAACTGAACTGGGTAATCAATACCTACAGTCTTCAAAAATGCTATTCACAGGCTCTAGATAGAGTTCGAAAAGAACCACAAATTGAAACCTTCAAATCAAATCATAATATCATTCAGTCACTACCTTCACGATCTACATGATTTATCCAGAATATGTCCACTTCCGTCAATGAAAATTGAAACGCATGTCCAAATTGAAGGTGTTATTTATAATTTAAGATGTAAAGATTGATTTGGATTAACCTAACCAATTATGAAAATTTCCACAACCACATAATTGAAAGCCATAAAGTATCGAGACACAAGATCATCTACAACAAAAATTCAGATTTAAGCACCACCTCTCGCAACCACAAACTTCAATTTGAAACAAATAAAGCATTACCGACGTCAGAAATGGGGATGCAAAAAAAAAAATAAAAAATTGGAAAGGAAGCAAAGGAAATTCAATTAACTATTTGGCTGATAAATTAGGAGAAATAAAAATACCCATTAAAGAGAAGGGTGGAAAGGAAATACCTTGAATTTGGATTGCTTGAGAATAGGAGCATCGCCAGTGGCTCTGAGATGAACAACCACTGCAAAAGAGACCAAAACCCAATTCACAAAATGAACAAAAAAAAAAAAGAGTTTGGTTGAGTGAGGAAGAAACACAAACCTTTACGAACAGAACTTGGCGATTCAGCAGACATTGTTCTCAACTAGAGACCAGTTATGCACTTCATCTACAATCCCCTTTCTTCCCCTCCTCCGTCACTAGCCTGTTCATTTTAAGCGTTCATTTATTAATTTTAAATACTTTATGGTAACCTTAATTATTTTTGTTATAATTACAATCAAATATTAAGTCTATAAATAATCTCTTATAATTTCTTTTTTTCTTTACCGGGCATTTGTCTGGACAAAAAAAAAGTGTAAGTTTTTAATAAAAAAGAAAATAATTTAATTACGTAATAAAAAAGTAGTTAGAATATTTATATATATTTTTATCTCATTTGATTTGATTAAAAATATAGAAAAGAAATTAGTTAAATTTAAAAATTAAAATCTATCTTTTTTAATGATAACAGATTTGAAAGAAAATAAATAGTTTATAACTTTTTTATTAAATTAGTTAAATTGACTTAAAATCTTATTTTATCATTTTTCTGTTATTTATAGAGGTGTAGTGATATAATATTTTTATTCTTTTTTCTCTTTCATCTAATAATGATATCTGTGGATTTCCTTCTCTTAAATCAAATCGAAACAGAGACAGTCAACTTTCCTCCCTTTTTAAATTTGAGCTAAATACACTTTTAATGCTCTTTTTGACCTTACATATTTATGTGTATATTTGCAAACATAATTTCAGGTCAGTATAAAATTTAACTTTGAATTGTTCTTAAATTTTTATTTTGAAAAATTGTAATAAAAACAATATAAACTCTCTCTCTCTCTCTCTCTCTCTCTCTCTCTCTCTCTCTATATATATATATATATATATATATAAACTTTATTTCTCTCTCTTTCACCACTAGACATTTTCTTATTTAATACCTTTTTGTTGCGTGTGTATGAAAAGAAACCAACTTACATCTATAAAAAGTTTAGTTTTCTTAAATCATTTAATAACTCTTTATTAAATAATTTCATTTAAGAATTCACTATTTGATTGCAAGTTATATCTTATGAATTTAATATATCATTAATACACATTAAAATTAATGTTATATATGTTTTAAAATATATTAAAAAAATAAGAATTATTTAATTATATTTTTATAAAATTTAATACAAACAATTTAAAAATTTAATAGTTATAATCTAATAATTAAATTAACAAAAATTCTCAATTTTATCAAAGTTAGTGTGAAAGTATTGAATCTCACATTAGTATGAATTAATCTCTCTTAACACACTTGATTTCTTCAACGTTGAATAAGTACAATTTTAATCCTTCAAGTTTTTTGAGCCATTGAGGTTAAATAAAATTTCTTCTGCTATCAATCTTTTATTTAAAACTTTCAATTTTTCATCATTATCTAATTATTTGAGAGTTAATTTATGCTGAATCTATAATTCATTTTGATCCTTTATTTGTTTATTTGGTTTCAATTTAATCCTTTTCCTTAAGTAATTTGTTTATGGTAATATAAAAAACTATTACAATAAGCATCATTTAAAAAAGAGAGAAATTGAGAATAAAATTAAAATAAATCAAGTTAGTAAGTCGAATTAAATTAAAAATAAATTTGATGAGAGGAGATGTATTAAAAATAGATCAAACTTACTTCACTTTCAAGACAATAAAACTATTTAAATCTTATAAAAATTGTTCTGAATCAATGTGATATATATATATATATATATACCTGCATCAAGTATCAAATGAACATATCCAGTGGATCTTATGCCCGTGTGTTTGCAAACTCCATCATCCGTGGCCATCAATTTCCATATATAGGAAATCTTGGTTTTGGTTGCTAGCTAAAAATGGTTCTTTAGCAAAATAAATATTCATACTAATTCTTACTTAAAAGCAAAAGATGATTGATAAAAATTGTTATAACTGTTTTCTATTCAATTATATGTTGTGTATGAGTGTTTATAATTTATATATAGTATGTTAATTATAAAGAATTTATTTCATTTTGTATGCATACGTTGCATCATACTTTTTGTTTGCTTAAATATTTTTAAAAATATAATTAATATTTAGGCTGGTTCCTTAGGATTAAAACCCTAAATGCTTCCCTGACAGAAGAATTCAAAGATCGCCAAAAATTTCTGTAGTATAGTTAATGATAATTATAATAAAAACCCTTCTATATTAACATTTAATTTGATCCAATCTTCATTTGGCCTCATCCAGTCTGGATTTTATATACTCATACGTATAGTATAAATATCCAATTTTAATACCTAAAATGTTGGGTTCACATCTTTAGTTAAGTTAAATTTAGTTCTTCATAAGTCATATTAACATCATCTTATTAAATTAAACGTAAATTTAATGAGATGCTAAATCTTATGCAAAAAAAATTACTCTTTGTGATAAATTAATAAAAATTCATTTTAATATACTATTTGTATAAATATTTTTATAATATCAACTAATTAAGATGTATCATAAATATAATTTTTAAATAATTTATGTAATATTTATTAGAATGACAATGTTTCAAAGATTCGTAATGTTTGAGTTACTAGATAAAGATGAAAATAAATCATATCAATTCAGCGTTATTCATTGCAGATTGACAACGCTTGGTGGAATCATTCGTGCGTGGAACGCTGGGTATTTAAAAATGAAGGCAATTCAGACTACATTTTAGTTGTGCAGTGTTCTTGGTTTTTCATTAGCATAAACTCAGAAACAACTAACATAACTGAATGCATAAGTCATGAGATGATGATGCATGTGTCTTTGGATTTTATTTTATTTTTTTCAAAATAAACAAGACCAAAGTTTTGTTCTTGGCAACGCATGCACTTGTCGCTTCATAAACAATTTCTGTCTTAATATCCCTTGTCAGCTTGATTAGCGGATAAGGAATTTCTTTTTCATGAGACGAAGCAGTGGACAATGACATTACATTAATGCATATTCCCTTTTGTTCTAAAAAGTTAATGTCATTTTCAACAACAAAAATCATTTGCCAATTTAGTAATACATCACCTTTTAATGTCATTGTTCGCATCATCCCCTACCTAGGTTAGCATATCCAAAATACTGAGAAAACGGGAGAAAGAGACAAGCCGCAAAAACTTAAGTTATTAACTACACAAAACAGAAACTATTTCTTTTTATCGATTATTATTTGTTTGTTATAAAGAAATTTTATAACTAGGTGTAAAAAGAGAAGGTATTATAAAATCTAAAATACAAATAAAGCAGCTTAAGATTGAAGCCAGATCAAGTAGAGACATGCAACTTAGTTGCAGCTTGATCTCGAGTATCAAATAATGTTAATGATAGGAAAAATATATGCAACATTAGTTTATTTTGCAATCAAAAGAAACATTTAATTTTTTCAAAACCATGTAAGGGATGCAAAAAACCATGAAAAGAAACCTTTTTTTTCAGCCAAAAACGTTTTCATAAACATTTTATTATAATAAATAATAATAATAATATATAATCCAAACACACCAACTTAGTCTTTCTTTGCATTTTATTATTTCAGTTCCAATCAATCCCGGAGTCCATGAAAGTTGTCACCGGAAGAAAATCAAAATCTGTATCATAAAATGAATCACCCAAAGGGAAGTAGGTGGTATCATCATTGGATGATTTTGGAGATAAATAGTCTTTGTTGTCAAATGAGCTAGGGTTACCATTGTCAACCATCAGTATCTTATTTTCCAAACAAGATGGTTCGGGTAAGTCCATCTTGAGAATCTCCGAGAACACATTACCATCCATCTCAAGATCTGCCATGAAATCAAACATTGGATCATTGTTACTCTCTGAAGATTGAAACACTAATGATCCCTTCATTTTTTTATCACTAACATTATTGCTCTCAATCCCTTCATTTCTCTGAGTAATTTCTTCAGTGACTGTGACCTTAGTCCACCTCGTTGCTTTAGTCTGAACAAGGCACGAACCCTTATCTGGTGGATCGTGCCACTCTTGGTTCTTAAGGCTTCGATCTCGTTGAAGTGTGTTTATAGAGCTTCTTGCACCATTACCACTTGTAATGGAGCTGCTTGGAGTACCATTCTGAAGCTTCCTTCCAATATTTGTATTCCAATAGTTCTTGATTTCATTGTCTGTTCGTCCTGGAAGCCTTCCAGCAATCAAGGACCACCTAAAATTTAAAAATTATTACACACTGTTGTTATTCTGTAATATACCTATAATGATTAATAGTAATACACTATAAAAACAACAGAAATTTTAGTTTTCAACTAATGTTTTTTTTTTTGTTATAATTTTTTCTAAAATTAAAACGAGAAATGTTAAATAAAATGAGTAATGTGATAAAGAAATGTAAAAATGGAAATGGGTTGCATGTTATAAAAATATATTGTTAAAATAGAATATCTCTATAGGTAGCGCAGGAAACTATATATCGAAAGTCAAGTAAAAAAGAAACAGAAATATCAAAATTTTGACATACCTGTTTCCAAGAAGGTTGTGAAGCCTGACTATAAGCTCCTCTTCGTCATTAGTAATGTTGCCTCTTTTAATGCCAGGTCTTAGATAATTCAACCATCTTAGCCTGCAACTTTTCCCGCATCTCTTAAGACCTGCATGAAACCGCTATACATATGTAAGTTGAAGTCAATTAATCTTTTGAAGCTGTTCCATAATTGTATCAATTGATCTACATATATGAAGTTGTATAAGGATACGTTTAAATAACAGTTAAATTAAGTATTTATTTAATAAAAATTTTATTTATACAAAGAATTTATATCATAAATTGACATAAAACTTATTAATATAAGTTAAAATGAATCTATTGTGATAAACTATGCATAAAAAATATTAAAATAAACTAACAACTTTTAAAATTTATAAATAGTCTCTAAATGCATATACATCTCTTACCTGCTCTTTTGGGTAGGTGTCTCCATTTTCCTTCGCCATGAATGTTTATGTATTCTGTTAGAATTTTGTCTTCCAAAGCTGTCCATGCTCCTTTGTTCAAGCCTTCCTTAGAGCAACAAGGGCTTCTTCCCATCTCTATGTGCACGTGCAAGTGGTTTTGAAATGTAAGAGTGAGAGTGATCCCCAGAGCGAGATAGATTCTATAGGTTAGCTGAGAGGGAGAGATATCATGCTCGCTCTATATATAATATGCATAAATACATTATATATTCTTATTAGGAAAGACCCCAAAGGAAACCTAGCTAGGTCTCCACCGCCAATAATTTGCTCATTAAAGTTTTTCCAAAAAACATAAAAGAGCTTATAGATTTCAAATTGTGTGTATCTTGAGAGGGGGACATGTAATTTAATTTTCCCACGTTTTAGTGACTGGAAGCAAAATCAAAGAAATATAATAATTAAATTATAATATATATACACCTATCTGCCATTCATATGCAATGGAGCAGCTACTTTCTATCTAACTTTCCCACGCTCTTGAATGTTTGTTGAATATAAAGTATCTGAAAAACTGAACGTAATAAAAATGAAATTGAAAAACTAATTTAGGCTCTTGTTCAAGCATATATCTTGCTGAATAAGTCCCACGTTGGAATATTGTCATATTTCACCCTTGCTTTTTTTTTTTTTTTAAACATTTGAGTCGAGTTTAATGATAAATATAAAGTCCGAATTATTTTGGCGAAAGTTTCTTTTTAAAAGGTGCAACTGAAGATTGCTCTTTGAGATTTTACCTAAGACTCATTTAATTACCTTTGCTCGTAAATATTTGTTTAAAAGAATAAGATAAATAATTTAAAAGCAATTAAGAAATTATATAATTCATTTAAGCTTGTTTGTGAGTTATTTTTTTTTCTTGAGATGGAAAAGAAAGAAAAGGAAGATATTTATTTGATGATAAATCATGTTTAAAAATTTTTAGATGGGATGATGAGATTTTATAAATCCTTTCAAACTCATATTTTTAAATTAAAAAACTTTTCATTCACTTCCATTCCTTCTCACTTTTTTTTATCATTCAAAAACTTTATTTCTTCTTTCAAACTCTTATAATATAAACATAACGAGGAAAAAGTTAAGTTTCAGTTTTCGCATGTGTAATTAGCTAGATTACATCAAAATCTATTTTTCTATTAAATCGTTTTAGTAAGTTTTTGAATTTCTTAAAAATTAAATAAAATTAGTGCAACTTCTTTTAACTTTTTAAAAGTTGTCAATCCATTACGTGGAATTTGTTAATAGTCTTAATTTTTTGTCTCCCTTAATTATTATTATTATTATTATTGCGGTCGTTCGCTTAAGCTTTTCTCTCTTCTTCAATATTGCACATTTATTGTTGTCTTCCTCTTATTGTCTTTTGCTTGGATCCTTAAACACCATATTGGTTGAAAAAAAGAAAACACCAAAATATAGGATTGTGCTTGAAAAACCTACGGTGCCAAAAATCAAAATTTCCCAGAAGTACGTACATCAAATTATAGTATATTTACGTGGATAACAAAAGCGATCATCATCAGTTCACAGTTTGCTTGACAAGTCGAGATTAAACATAACAATAATAATAATAATAGAGAGCAAACAATTATTCTTTGTTGAAAAATAATAAAGAACAAACATTTAAATACAAATTTAAAAGAAAAAAAAACTAAAATGAGTATATTGCTAAGTACAAAAAATATATTTAAGTTAAAAGTATATTTTGTTAGACCACCTTTAATGATGGTTTGAATTCACAACATAGTTGTCATGGGGAGAAGTAATTTATGCTAAACTTGGCGACTGAAAACTGGTAGGTCACAACATAATTTTAACTTCATTTTGCAGAAAGAATTGGAATGTTACTCTTTGTGCAAAGGTAACATAATTAAATAAGCTAGCTCTTATGTGACTTACTTTATTTTTACAAGTGGATGACTGGACTTAAAATCAACTAATATGCATGAAAATTATATATAACTAGTAGAGTATAAATTTATTGATTTTTTCAGGCAAGACCAATGACACGTAACAAGAAATTAATAAAAAAATTAAAAATTATAATATTTAATGTTATCAATATAATAGTTATTATGGTATCCTATAATTTTTAATAAAAATTTATTATATATAAATTATTATTGTGTATTATTGGATACATGTTAAGAAAACCATACGTTTATTAAATTAATTTAGGTCTAAATATGAATAATTGTTATCACAATTTTATAGGTATTGTAGTATTTACATTTACTCGTTAATATAATAAGTCTATTGATAAATTCGTTAGATGTTACAATTTTTTTATGACTAGGCACAAGTTTTTAATATCAGTTAAATGGTATTGATAATTTTTTTATTCTCTTGTTATCGATTATTGAAAGTTCACAGCTTTTCCTTGAATATATGGGGCTGGAAAATACCTCGCCAAGTTTACCCAACTCAACCAATGAATATATAGATAGTAAGAAACAAAGGAAAGGAAATAAATGACATAACTGCAATCATAAAGTTTAGAACTCGGATGTCTCCATATAGTGCATCCAAAATTAAATGAATGTACTGAGTAGTTCCTATCACTCAGATTGAATAAAATTCTAAAAGAATAAAAAATAATAATCTTTTTATAAATTAAAAACAATACATCTCTTTAAATTTTCAAAAAGTTAAATAAAATAATTTAAAAAAACATAAAATATATTTAATTTATAAAAAATTATTATTTTGTAGACATTTATAAGAACTTCTTTTAAAGTTAATCTAGACCATATTATAACAGTCAAAAACCTCCTAAATGTTCTCAATAAAATAGGGTATACAATAACTTCACATGCACATGGTTTCTCTGTACCATTTTGCAGGCAATGGAATCGATCCTCAGGTTGATGGTCTAAGGGTACACAACAGTAGACAAAATAGAATGAGTACTGACTCAGCCACTTCTCAGAAGCCACACATTTTAAAGTGAGTAACTCTGTAATTCTGCAAGTGATGAAAAACTTTCCATAATTACATTTAAAGGGAAAAAAAACTGTAAGATCGCTCTAGACATAGGTTTAAGTAAACCTATATTTAAATTAATAAATTGTTGGGAAGAAAAGGCATTTTCGAATAAACAAGGGGCATTGTGAGTAGGTGCATGTGACGTCGGACTATATTACAGTATGATATGATTATATTATTTGCGGTAAACTGAACTTTCCATGCAAAACTCTTCCAATATGCTATCATCCTCTTGCAGTGCATGCACATGCACCCCATTATATACCCTTTAAATTATAATCTTTCTTTTCACATTATCTTTTTCAAAAATATTTATATACAGCTTTGAAAATTAACTTGCAGTTATTTTTTAATATTTTAAATATATATAATAATAAGTTTATATTTTTTTAAATGCCACTCAAAATTAGTTTCACTTCTATTGGTCAAATAATAGAAATATTAGTTTTTAGAAATTTGCATTTATGCCATTAATGAATGCATTTGTGTCATTCTTTGGATAGGTGTTCGCAGATGAAGTACCACTCAAGACAACAAAGAAACAACTTACAAATAGATTGAAGATGGAACTATTCAAGAAAGCATAAAAAATAACTTGATTTGGAAAGGATTGGATTTTGGTCTTGTTTGAGTGTGCAGAACAAGCAACCTCAGATAACTAGCAAGGCAGAGGCGGCTACTGCTACCATTCCCAAAGAATAAAAAATGTGAATTCACATAAAATGACCACAGAATAGGTCAGTGAGTGCACATAAAAGGGAAATCCAGCTTTTCATATCGTTTTCAAAATGATTGAGATAAGAAATAACTTTTGAGAAAAATCATTTAACATTTTATTTTTTTAATATAATTCCAATGGCAAGAGCTCCTTCGCTCCGTATAATATTAGTAATTTACGTGTATGAGATTTTGAGATTTTAAAGTAAAATAAAAAATTAAACTTTTTAAATTTGAACTCAAGGTTTATAAACTTGGAGTGAAATTAATTTGTTCAGTAAAGTAAATAAGAAAAAAGTAAAAGTTTGATGTAAAAAATTCGTTGCCATTCTGTTATAATTTCTTTTTTAATTTAAATTGAATGGTCTCATGAAATATCTTTATAGTTTTAAACCGAAAAAAAGTGTATTTTAAAAGGTTAAAGTGGTGATATGTTATAAATTAAATGAAAATATAGCTCAAAGAAAGAAGGAGAAAAACAAACGTAACGCATAATTAACTATGCACAAGGACAACCACAAATGGGGAAAGATAAAACCCCAAGAACAAGATTTAACATAAATAGGCATGGGCTTATTTTCCAATAATTAAAATAGATAAAAGGAATGACAAATAAGTGTCTTTAGGATATTAGTTTCAAATTTCAAAGTAAATTCTTTTGTCAGAAAAAATACATATTAATAATTTGCAATACAGTCTAACGCAAAACTTAATATAAATTTATCATTTAAAATTGTTTAATTAATATTTTAAGATCACTAATCAACATCTAAAAAGAATGTTGGGCCTTTATTTCTTGTTGCTTTATTTTGAGGGCCATTCTAAATTGTTTAACCGGTTGGCCTGGCTTCTAGCTTTGGATCCAATACTCGTGACTTAAAAAAATTGTGCTAGATTCATAGAGTACGATTTTTTAATTTATTTGACTGGTATTATTTTTTTAATAATATGATATTATGTTATTTTCTGATCGAGTTTTTAATTTTTGTTTATCAATAATTGTTTTATTCCCATATTGTATATAAGTATACTTTAAAGATATATTTTTTATTATCAGTTCAACTATAATTAAACCAATGACCCTTAAAACCAATAGTTTTACTAATTCAATGACTAATCTGATTTTAAAAATAATGGTAAAAAATTATTCAAAAAAACTAAAAAATTTACCAAAATTATAAAATATTTTCTTAATTATAATTTTTTAATTAAATTATAACGCCAAACCCACACTTCCTTTCCAACACTTCCAAAAAGTCTGGTTAATTAACGTGGGCTAATTCACGGACAGCATAGCCGAAAGGCCCAATTCTACTGTGCATAATTGAAAAGTACTTTTTGCGAACCTAAATGCATAGTCATAATAAACTTCACGAAACAAAGAAAGAATAAAGAAATAACAAATTAATAATATCTCATCATAATAAAAAATTAATTTTTTGGAGAAAAAAATGTGAAATACACGGTAAATATAATAAAAATAATTCAAAATATTTAAAATCCCATATCAGAAGTTTTAACTTAGTTAATATTGAAAATGGCATTCCTCATATAGCATATAAATCGTATAAGTAGATTAAATTTCCAATCAAAAAAATATTAATTATTTTTAAGTATGGCTGCTTTATATCACACACATAAACATAAAATAAATTTAGTTGGGAAGAATTGTTTTGTAAAATTAGAATAAAAGAATGATCTCAATTAAAAAGTTTAGTATTCTTTTTAATTTTTAATTTTTTAAATTTGATTTCAGCCAATTGAATTGAATCCATCTTTATATCATTTAGGATTTATACTTGTCTTATTTTCTAAATATTTAAGCTGAAAATTGAATATATTTGATTAAATTCATGAATGTGACTTATAATTCTGTTATCGGTTTATTTGAATAATTTTTTCAGTGAAGCATCAAAGTAAATTTATTGAATTAAATTATTAAGATATAAACTGTTATGTGATCATTTTTTTTTTAGTTAAATTATTTACTTAAACATAATATTTTTTTTTCCTTCTGGACCTTTTATTCTAGTTATGAATATGGTTATGTATACTTTTAACATACACGTGAATATTGCAATTTTACATTTAGAGATCAATTTTGTTTATGTGCATGGAGTGGGGGGAAATGTGATGGAGTGAGGGCAAATAACATGAGAATTCTCTCTCTGGATCAAAAGAACTAATTATATATCAATTTCGTTAATTTTAAATATTTAAAAATAAAAATTTTTAAAAATATTTATAACATTAAAAATATAATGAATATTTTTAATAAAATTTTATTTTTATTAATTGCTTAAACTCAATCTTTACATATACTGCTTGATATGCTTGGTATAAGTTATTTTTAATTTATTTTAATAAATTTATATAATTTATTAAAATAAATTATTTTTTATTTATATAATAAAATTTATTCTTCAATTTATAAATATAAATTATCATTTATAATTTCTTTAAATGTTATATTTAAATAAACTGTATATTTAAATACACTCAAAAAAGAAATTTAACATTGAATTACAGCACCTTTTTAAGATAATATGATTCTTGAAAGATTCTGCAGAGATACTTTTTCATAAAATTTAATTAATATTTTTTTATAAATACAACCATATTTTTTTAGTAAAAAAATTTAATATATTAATTTCTTAATTAATAAATAAGGATACTCATTATAGGATCTTATGTCAAAATTTTAGTAAATGCAAACCAATTCTTTAGTTAAAGAACTAAAATAGCAAGTTTTTAATAAAAATTATTAGGAATATATTTTTATTCTGATGTTTAATACACTTTAATGTAAGTTTGAATAAAAAAAATATGTATTAATCTGCTAACCAATGTTTTAAGGACATTACTAATAAATTGACTTAATATATTTAATAAAAAATTACAGCAAAAATATGTTAATAACATTAAATGTTACATATTTCAATCAATTTTTTTTTAAAACTTCGTGATCTTTTAAAAAACAGAATTAATATCAGCTATTGAATACTCAATAATCAATCTATCTTTTGCTAGGGATCATCTTGTAATTAATACTTACAAAGATTGAGTATTGAATACTCCAACCTAAAGTTCTCCAATCAAATTATATTGGTTGGTGAAAGAGTAATTATGAGAGGAAGATAAGTTTCCTTTTTGCGTGAAATTTATATGCAAATGGAATTGAACTCCGTAGGTACGTAGAATAGATCGATTGGAAACTAAACCCTTGTATGGCATTAGAGAAAAAGAACTAATTAATTGCATAGGCAGTGGTAGGGACATTTTTTTAATTAATGAGCACCATAGAGTATTAAAACTATATTCTATTTTGGATAATTTTGCTTTCACATTGATTGTCACTGTGCTGATCTGTGACTGCAATAATCGCTTTCGAAAATTACATTGGTAGCGACGTATTGGCGAAGCGAAGTGCAAAATTGTGACCACATAGCTGAAAATTTGTAACATTTACTACGTACAGCTATCTTGCAATTAAGATTATATAGAGCCTGGTACGTAAAAATTGTCTAGCTTGAAGCTACTGCACCAACAAACTTTCAGATTCTATAAGAATGTTAGGAGAAGTGTAGGAAAGAGGTTCATGACTTCATTAAAATTTTTCAGAATCGAAACTTACTTCAATTATACTATGTTGAAGAATCTTGACCTGTTGACCATAGATTGAGGAGAAGACTTACTCCAAAGGTGGTGCAAACTAACAACATTATAATTTAAGGAATCATAAAGTGGCTTTGCTTAGTCTTTGAATTATGAACATTAGCTCATTTTTGCCATCATATATATTTCTTTACATTTTGAATTATAGAACACATATATAGAATATAGACCGATGGTTGTGTAAGGTCCTATAGGATGCATGAGTTGATAAATGATACACCCTTTCGTTGTTTATATAAATTATCAAAGCAGATTACCATTGGAAATATATGTTCAAATGAATTTACTTTTTTCTCTTATTGTATATAAGCATACATTTATAAGCAAATACAATGACTGACGCAGATCAAAAGTAATTGAAGGGAAAAATTAATTGTAGTAAGATATCCAGCATTTTTCAAACAAAAGATTTTACAAAGCACATTGGAATAATGTTATTAATTTTGGAGAAACATTAAGGATTTACGAGTTAACAACCCATCAAATAACTGGAGAGGGAAAAAGAAAAAGAAAGAAACAGAAGTAACCCTGGATTTATACATCTAGCTCGATGTTTAGTTAGTCAATCCATATATGGATGACATATATGTATGGCTCCCTACAAATTTTACCATTTTCATGTCACTTCAATAAATAAAATCATTTAATCAATCATTTTCCAGTCCAAGAAAAGAAGCCATTCTCTTAAGCTCCACATCCAAAAGGGTCTCCAAAGGGTCAAATTTCTCTTGTAAGAGATTTTGACAATGATCAGAAGGTGATAATAAGCTAGGACTATTGTTTAAGCCTACCTTGTTATTGTGGTCTTTTTCAATTTCTGGGAGCTTTGAGTTGGATTCATCACCAATCAACAACTGGTTCTGATCAATGTCAATGAGGAAATCAGTAAAAGAAGTTTCATCACTACTACCCTCTAATTTATTGGAAGGGCTTGGAGTAGTACTATGCCTATCACATCCCCCAGTCTCCAAAATTTTACTATTTTGAATGGACTTCACTTTCCTAGGCCGTGGAGCTTCGAGTGCTACATGCATTTTTATGGTCTTCTCTTCTTCATATTTGTGTTGAATTGAAGAAGCAGATGTCGATGTAGGCTGTTTCTGCAACTTCTTTGACAAATTAGTATTCCAATAGTTCTTGATTTCATTGTCTGTTCGTCCCGGTAGCCTCTTCGCTATCAATGCCCATCTAAACGTAGACAAAAAATCGTAACTTTTACTGTTGATCACCAAATCATATATATTTATATACTATTACGATGGTTTTTTTTTTTTTTTGATAGGCACTATTACGATGTATATATATTCATAATCTTATAGTATATAAAAGGTCTTCAAAGTTGTACCAAAATATGTAGTACAAATACTCAATAAAACTTCTGAATTATCTGAGACTTGTGTTGAGCATTAGAATATACAAGTTGAAAAGCAAAGAAAAAAAAAATAAAAATAGACATAAAAATCACCTGTTACCAAGAAGACGATGAAGTCTTATAATCATGTCCTCTTCATCTACGGAGATGTCGCCTCTTTTTATACCGGGCTTGAGATAATTCAACCATCTTTGTCTGCAACTTTTTCCACATCGCTTTAAACCTACAGACATATTATTGCACATAACCAAAAAGCCAATGCCTAATTAAGAAATAATAATAATAACAGAATTAAAGACAAGGGAATAAGCTCTTATTTTATGAGGCACACGCAAAAGAAAGAAAGGAATGAAGGAACCCAATTGTGCAATATAACAAATGATGAGTTTTGAATTGGAAAATTCAATCCCACTCAAGTGTGTGTGGACTATATATAGTGATATTATAAGAGTGTATGAATGACAAATGTAGAGGTACCTGCATTTTGGGCAACCTTTTGCCATTTGCCTTCTCCATGGATGGCAACATATTTGGAGAGGGTTTCATCTTCTTCTCGAGACCAAGCACCTTTGTTGATCTCTTTGGGACAGCAGGGACGTCTACCCATGTTCTTTATTTAATTTGCTTCTTCTCCTTCTCACTAACTTCACCTTGATATAATATATGTATTGCACTCAAACACCAATTTCACTCACTGGCTGGCACGCATAAAAATTATCATTATCTTAAGAAACATTGTACTTTGCATGGATGTAGCTAGAGTTAGATGGAAAAGAGTAAAAAAAGAAAAAGGATAAGAAAGGAGAGTGATTAATAGCATACCTTTTTGAAGTCCAATCACCCTTCTTAACTCTTGATCTAGTCTACATTTAAAAGTCTTAAGATGGTATTAGAGTTCAAATAAAAAAAATAAAAGCCCAAAATTTTAAAATAAAAAAAGTTAAATGTAAAAAAAAATAATAAGCATATGACATAAAAAAAATTCAAGGAAAGGAATCACAAACTTAAACAAAAAAGAAATGCAACACCTAAAGTATAAAAGCTTAAAACTTGAAGTTACAAGTCTTAACAAAAATAATAATAAAAATACAATGCTTAAGCTAGTTGGACTTAAAAAAATACAGTATATAAATTTTATATTTTTAAATTAACAATAAATCAAATGATATATAAGTAAAAAAGACTTCAAATTTAAATTTTTTAAATAAATAGATTATTAAACTTATGCATAATTAATTTCTATTACCATTGAATCAGACTAAAATTTTAATAATACATTCAACATATGGTTGGCGGGATTTCTCCTCCTCTAAAGTAAAGAAGTATATACAAAAAATAAAATCTGAAAATTTCATTTTACAAAATATTTTCCCTTTAAACCAATTAAATCAGTGATGACGGCATTATGTGTCGTACTCCTCGTATTCCCGAGAGAGGGGACCAACCAACAACCAATGGACCAACTAACACTGATGTTGGTCCTCCATGCAAATTGGAAACCTTTCCGGGCTTGTCTTACCACTTTTGTTACACTAAGCCCATCAAGAGACCCAAAACTCATAAAAGTGTACCTTACAAAATATATAGTCCATGAAATTCTAATTATAATTTTATCAAAGTTAAAATTAGTTCATATTTATAATTTTTATATTTTAGTTGCTAAAAAAGTAGAATATAAAATATTTTTTTATGTTTTGAATTATATAAAATTTTTATGAATAATAAAATTATTTCTCTAAATATTTAATACAAATGTATTTATTAAGACTCAAATTTGATCATAAATTAAGTTAGAATAACTTATTAAAGTAATTTACGTGATTGTTAGTAATATGATAAATTGCATTTTGCATTGGTATATATTAATTGATACATTAATTCAATCACAGTCTAAACAGGTCACTCTCAAGGCTAAACCAGTGATGATGGACAGTATTAAGTCTATACCAAATGTACACAAAATAACAATGCAAATCCAATTTCAGCTGCTTACTATCAAATGTCATATAAAAGGAAACAAAACTCGATTACAAGTAAAATAAATGAAGTGATCGTATTTCATCAGTTTTGAAAGTGACACTCAGATTACTATTTCCAAGTTAATTTCTTAAAATTGATTATCGTCACAAAATATATAACAAATTATGAAGTCCTTTTCTTTAGAACAACATTTGTACAGTCATTATTAATTTTAGAACTTATAAAACTCCAAAATATGTGAGTTCTTGAGATTGATTTTCCCAGGAAGAAGGGTTAATAGTGATGGAAGTGATGAGAGAAAGGAACTGGTAATTGCTTATTTTACAATTGGGGTAGAAAACTGATTCCATTATATATGCTTATATTTATCAATTGAAAAAACGAAACGATACTATCATCATCATCCTTCCGAAAATGACAATCAGTGCTTTCATAATTCATACTCTAAGACATGAAGCAAAGATGTTGCGTGAAGCATTGAGGGAGAAACACTTCAAGTCGCTTGCTAACTTGAGTCATTTGACATTTGATGAGAGAGAAAGGCTTGTTGCATATTATTTTTGGGCAAGATGCAGAGAAACAAAAACAACAAAGACAACTTATGTGCCAGATAAGTGACAAGCTAGAGAGAGATTTAAAAACAATATTATAAAAGTTTATAAAAAATGTTATATGAATAATTTAGGATTTAATTTTTCGTACAAGCTAGTTCAAAGTTTTTTTCTTTCAAAAAAACTGTAGAGAAATATTTGTGTCAAAGATATATTAATCTAAGGAAGAGAACGAGAATGGTGAAACAAATCAGTGTTAATAAGTTTTTATTTCAATATTAAACAATTCTCAAAAATATTTTTAAGTGTATGTCTAGAAACATAATAAAATTATGTTTCAACATGAAAGTTATAATTTATAATATTAAAATAAATTTACGTTTAAATGAATTTTACGCAGAACCAAATACATCGGAAATGATTAAAGTTCAATTACAATATTATATATATTAAAAAGTATTCTCTCATAGATATTAATTTATTTGTAAATAATATTATACAATGATAAGCATTAATTGCTTAGCTTTGACTTAATTTTTCCTATGATAAATTCCATTCGCAATCCATTAAATGATAAACAATCAATTAAATTTTATCATTAATAATAAAAAAAATCACCCACTTATTGATTCAATATAAGGGCTAAAAATTTTTATTACTAAAAGCATGTGAATCAACCGAAAAAAAACTGCTGAGAAAATCTAGAAACTAGGTATAAAAGATACATAGAAAACTAATATTGCTGATATCTTCCACAATCACGAATTTTCACAGCACAAGTGTGAGGAGATTTGATAAAAAAAAATATTCTGAACATCCAAGTCACTTCTCAATTCTGAGGGTAGAACTATCACTGTAGCTCTTTATTACAATTAACGTGCCCCATAAAACAATTATGACATCTACATCAGACAAAATTATAGGAAGAAGTAGTTTCTGATCAAATGGGAAGATGATCATCATTCAAAGGATTGATTGTTGGGTGCACAACTCATTCCAGTTTCAGCTATATGTTTCAAACGTAGTTCCCATGTCACCTTCATCCTTGCTCTTCCAAAGTGATTATATTATAATCAATAGTTTCTCTGTTCTTTGTAATTCTATTATACTACCTTCAATTCTATTTATAAGATATAATTATTAATATATTTTAATCTAATAAGAAATGGACACCCATTTTTAAGTACATTATTTGTTAATTTTTTTATATTATTATTTATTATGAGATTTCTGTTACATTCATAATATTTTTGAAATAAAATATAAATTTAATGATATAACTATTTTTATTCAACATTAATATACTTGCCAGAATGATTTTCCGTTTGGGGTAGATGAAAGGAACATATTTGAAATTTTACCAAAAGTAAAGATCTGAGCATGTTGGAGTTTGAGGACTACATTTCCCAAATACCGACCCATGTATATGCAATTTATTATTGTCATTAAAACAAATTGACATATTCTCTCTCGTATTATATATCATTTGATTCTATTTTATTGGTCTTAAATTATTTATTATTTTTAAATGATAAAATAGTATTAAATAATTTATTTTAATAATATCTTTATTTATTAGTTAGGAATAATGTTTTTGTCAATAAAGGACTAAAATAACTCTAAAATTAGTTACTATTTAATTATTGCAATAACTTGCAGCATTTTTAATAAGGGTATTTGATGAAATCAATTTATTTTACTATAGTAATCATTAAAATTAATTTTTTAAAGATGTAAATATGCATTAGTACTAAATAACATCTAATATGAAATAAAGAGAATCTAAAAGAACTAGGGCAATAGATACTTTTAACATGGTTTTCAGAATAAGCAATCTGTTTGAATACAAACATATCAATGAAGGTCAAAACTCAAAAGATTTTTGGCGACCAATAAAATTTGCTTTCAGGATTAAAAGGTTAATAATCCTGGGACACTTTTCAAAAATAATTTATCAATACTTACTCTAAGAACATTGATTAAGAAATCAACAAATAAAAAGTATTTATTAAAAATTATGTCAGAGATGTATAAAAAATCATGACAAAAGTGCAATGTCATCTTTATTAATAAAAAAAATCCTTTTTATTTTCTTAACCATTATTTAGCATTTACTTTTATCAAAAGTTACGGGAAGAACAATTGTAATTAAAAAAAAAAATTACAACCATAGAGAATGGCGTGGCAACACGGACATCTTGTCTCGCACCAAACAACAAATGCTGATTTTTCCGTGGGAACATAAAGGTCCCATTGACATAGCCATGAACGTGTAAAAAAATAATGCACAAATTCTGACTCTTGAGACTTCTCAATAACCATGGGTAAATAAATGGGAACATATAGAGTGGCCCAGATAAAGTAGCATTTGGCTTTGGACAAAAACACTTGCTGGTGGATCACCAACATATTCTCTGACCAACTGCCGATTGAATAAAGAGGAATGATATCTCGGCAGAGTTGAAATTTATTAAAAATTTATAAAATTATGAGTTTAGGTCATTAATTAGAAATAGAACTCACATAATTTATGCAGGTTGCAGGTGACAAATCACATTAATCCATTAAATAATTACTTTTTGGGTCAATCATTAAATAATTAATATATCCAATGATTATTACACGGTTGTCAACAAATGGACCATCGTATTTGCCCCCTCGTTCAAACTTGCAAAATTCATCCAGTAATATTGTATTAAAAATATGTCAAAATGGAATACTAACATTGCTCTTTCTGTAATGGTTAACTGTAAAAAAGTTAAAAATATTTACTAACGATACTTACCATATTGCTGGTTGCTCTCAAATCCACGTTACCCGAGACTCAATAAATGGGGATTTCACAGCTTGTTGGTTGTTGATAGTCATCTAGTCCATAAAATACCAAGAGTCTAAAAATTTCACATATTTCGTATTGTTTGCAGATTAAATTGCAAATTCACAAATATTACTAGCCATTTTACATATTCACAAAAACCAAAAGGAAATAAAGTAAAGTAAGTTTATCATTGTCTACAACACAACCAAAACAAATGCTATAATTTCCCCAATCAACTATATCCCTAGTTTCATAACTCATTACATTAAAATCCAAAGCCCAAACTTGTTGGTCGCTTTACACTCGACTCAGAACTGAAAAGCTTTACACCAATTTTGCATAATTAATCAGAAATAGAGAGCAATTACCCAATGTATGTTTATACTACCAATGAACATGAAAAATTCATAAGTAGGCTAAAACAGTGAAACAAAAATGACTATTGAGAACAGGGGCAAATAACAGGAGGAGGTAGCCAATTCCTGGATCCCTTAACAACTAATTATCATGTCTAAATACTATGTAATTACAATTCCCTTGTATTCTAATCAGTTTCAGCAAGCAATCGCTTCGAGACCTGAGAGGTGAAAAATAACAAGATTACTGGGTAAGAAGACTTGCCAACTACTCAAATAGTGATAATAACAGTTGTGAAGACATAAAACAGGAGGACATTTAGAATTTTAATTATCTACACTATTATAATACAGCAACTATATGGTATGAAAAACTGTCACACATCCAAACGAATTGATGTAATTAAATATCAATTGATAAATATTAATTTAAAGAATAATACAAAATTAAGGAAATCGACAGAAGCCAGGTCCTTTGCATATAGTTTTCGACTTTTCGTTAAAAGTTCCCATATTATATAATAATTTCCTTATACTAAAAAAGGCAGGCCCAATTAAGGCAGAAATTTATGTGCATTGGATTGACATTTATAATATCTGGTCCAATAAGAGTGGAAACTGGGAGTTTATTAGACATTCCTTATAACGTAGTCTTATCCCACTAGAAAAAAGATCGATTACATGGGTCACGTGATAACAATGCCATCAAGCTTGATTAAAAAGCAAATTCTCAGAGATATTGACCATGAGATGATTAGAGATTCCTTATTGGAGTCTATATATATATATGCTAGTGGAAAAATAGGAAAAGAAGAAATCTGATCGCAATAACTATACAACATTTGGACTAAATTGACTGGTCAGAATGGAAAGCAAAAATTAGATAACTTCAAAAGAGGATAGATGAAAATGTTACCAAAAAAAGTGTAGAACTATAAATGAAGGCATCTTACCAGCATACAGGCAGTTCAACCTTGCAGTATGAAGACCAAAAACAGAGGTTAATTAAAACCTTGTGATCTGCTGTAGCATTTGAGAACCGGTTGAATGAGAGACCAGCTGCTCGGAACTCAAGGGTCTTACGAGGTGGTGGACACCCACAGGGTTAGGATTAGGAAGGCCCTGTCTACTAATCTCTTTAGAGCTGTTAATACTTGACTCAGCAGGTGAGGATTCCATCAATGTGCGAATCTAATCGTTGAAAGATTAGCAAGCAAGGAAAATTATATCGATTATATTATTATCCAACAGAAGCAGTATATAAATCAATCATATGCGTGAATCCTTCAAACATACCATATCTAGGCGCCTCTTGTGGAGATCATTTAACTGCTGCAAGTTTGAAGCATAACCCATCAAAATCATATTATTATAAGATTGATTTTCTTTTTATTGGGGAAGAGGGAACAGAAGGGAAAGATAGATAAATGCTTTGTTGCTTACAGGTTTGCTTTGATACTTCTTCTCTTCACTTGAATATCCTGGAATTGTTAAGTCCCAATTTTTCTCTGGATAGTGACACAGCAAACAGGTAGATCAGCAAAAACTGGGATGGCAGTCAAACTCTATTTATCAAATATAAATAATAATAGACTGTCAATCCAAGCATTCAATTTTGTAACCTCACTTGAGATGTCAATCCATGATCTTTTATACATTATACAAGCTTCAAATATGTCCATTAGAGAATGTTGAAAAAGAAATTTTAAAGCTGGAATGGATGATATGCAAAGTAAGGTGCTCTAGTTTATCCATAACCCAAATAATAGATTCAACCACATATATTAAACAAAGAGGTTCAAGAAAGATATGGCATGTAACATCCTCCAAACCCTCTCTGCATGAGTTAAAAATATTTGGATGAACAGAGCAGATTTAACCACAGATAAAAACCACAAGGGCTTAACGCTAATCACTTGAAACCAATAAGATTCAAATAATATAATTTTCCTCCCCTTTTTTAGCCAATTAAAGTATCCAATAATACTCTAGTGTAAAATTTGCCAAAGAAATAACAATTATTTACTCTAAAGCACTTTGAAATATGCAAAGGTTATTCCATATTGATTTGGAGGGTGGGCTGAGAATAAGCTACTGCCAAACATACCAAGGTGTAGCAATAAATCCTTGGACTCCAAAGTTGATGATTTTCTATGTTTTGCCAAAATGCAACCATGTGTAGTGGCCTGCAAAAAAGGTAAAGATAAATTTGCAAAGAAAAACAGTAGTAGCTCAAACACAACCATTGACAGTGCATTTTATCATGAAAACAGAGAAATAGAAAACAAGACATTTAGTATGGAAACAGCTACTCCCAGGAAAACTACCTAACTGCATTAAATAAAAAACACGAGTTCATTACTAACAAGAAAATTTAAAACTTTCAAACTTTTTCAGTGTGAATCATTTACTATGCTGCTATGCAGAAAACTAGGGAAAGAAAATTATCCTGTCCCCAAGGAAAGCACAATACATGCCAAAGTAACTATATCTCAACAAGTCATGCATATCATAGATCAGCAGTAAATTTTTAGCCATTAAAAAATAAAGCTAGAAAATTGTCAATTAGATAATCGTGTCGAAGAAACATTCAGCCTAAAAGTTCCCACGGTAAATTGAGGGGCAGGATTGCATTTAACAGGTCATATAACATTAACAACATTCAGAATCCATAGTCATGAAGTTATTAATACTTCAAGTTGAAATTAACATGCATGCTTATATACCAAGTCTAACTCCTTCATGTTGGGTGAACCTTATCTCCCATGGTAGCTCCATTGATATTCAAATTTCAAAGTCAAGGGCTGCTATTGGCTAGGGGGTTCAATGCTAAGATCAAATTGCATATGGGACTTGAGTACTACATTGGAAGAATGGGATTCAAGTGTAGGTTTTATGAGGCCATACTCTCTAACTACAATGGCTAGCTTTTGCAGTATAGTTCTCCCAAGGCTCTTCCCATTCAAAACACTCACAACATTTCCCATTCCCCCTTCAATCCCAATTGGGATTTCCCTACTTACCAAAAGACAAAAAGTCCCTTCATACTATGAATTTCAAGTATAGGGAAAATTTGAATTAGTAATATAAAAGAATCATTCCATGTGATATATTCAAACAAAATTTTTGTTGCAATGGCATATTATCACCTGTTTGGCAATTGGCATGCACTATATATGTAGGAAAAACAAGTTAGAATCCTTACAGAATCAATGAAGTCATCAGCAAGCTCTAAAAGAAGATCAATAACATCAGGGTCTAGCCTACCCTGTGGATCCACCTGTAAGATAGAAGATTAAGATTCAAAATATAACCAATAAATGAAAAATTATAGAGAAAAGACAAAAAGTTCAAAATAAACCTGTGCAACTAAATCCTGTATCTTTCTCTTCCCAAGGACTTGATTTGTAGCTTCAGTTCCTTGGCTAGAACTACCACCTGGTGTAGTTGCACCAGATGCAGTAGCATCTGGTTGTGATCCTGTAAGACTAAGTGACTTCTGGCCTGTGGGTCCTGGCATTCTCGGAGACTGCTGCTGTTGCTGTTGATGAACTGATGCTTGTAGTTGAGATTGTTGTTGTGGCTGTTGCTGTATAAGTTGTTGTTGTTGCTGCTGCTGCTGCTGAGGCTGCTGCTGTTGTTGCTGTTGCTGATGCAGCTGAGGCTGCCCCATTGATTTTTGCTGCTGCATCAGCTGGGACAATTGTTGTTGGTTCAGGGTCATAGAGTTCTGTTGCAGTTGACTAGAAGAAGCCAGCTGCTGCTGCCTCTGATGTTGTTGAAGACGCAATGGTGAGGCAGGGCCAGACATTGCTGGCATTTGCTTAAGCCACTGTTGCTGGGTTAAAGAGTTATGAATCATTGCAGATTGTCCATTCTGAGACAATCCAGACAACTGGGAATTCATAAAAGCAAGGGATGATGACCTTGGTATACCTTGAACCTGTAGTCAGCAGTACGGTACTACAGTCAATGTTCTAATATGTCTTAATTCATTCTAAAAATTATATACATATTTATAAAAACCCAGACACATAAACCAAAGTCTCAAACTTTAAATTTAAATTTTTTCCAGAATCAATGTATATTAACCAATTCAAATTGCATGACATAATGATAAACCACAAGCTTTCAGTTCTGTTCTTTTGCTTATTTTCCTTTTGTTTACAAATCTATAACCATGGAACTGACCTACTCAAAGACCCAACTTCCAGAAGGGGACTGAAGTGGGAAGAATAAAGCACCTCTCAGAAACTCAACAGATAAGGTGGGATAGCTAACTGTCTACCTCTACCCTGAATTAGATCATATGTAATCTATGAATATGAAAGGAACAGGAACAGGAATGTTGAAGGTAGAAGGTGCTGTTACAAGATAGTAAGGTGAGAAATACATTCAATGAATGAAAAATAGCATGGGCAAGTACTGCCAATAATTAATGCAAACAGGACCAGAGATAAAATGGCAGGTGGTATACCAATTCAAGTTTTATGGTTCATTCAGATAAAATGGCAGGTGCCAAAAAGTTAAATGTTATGAGTGTGTTCACATAAAGCAACAGGTGAATCCAAAAGAAAGATAAAATTTAACATTTTATAGTACAATTATTAATAATGTCAAATTGCCATCGCTCTGCCAAACCCCATTATGTAACAAAATGAAGAAGAAAGATAAAAATAGGATAAACATTATACTCAGACATTGAATTATCACTTGTATAAAAAATAAAAAAAACGGACGGTGAAATCCAAAACATGATGGACAATAATGGTCCAGAATTACAACATCAAATTGTGGTATGATCAATGATGTTAAAAACAAGACAAGATATTTGGAGATCAAGGGAGCATGAACTAACAAAAAGTGTACCACATCTTGAAATACCAAGAACACTGCAGTCGTTTGACTGCATGTACATTTAAAATCTAAAACATGTAAGAATAGGACAAACTGATTCTATAAAGAAACAAGGAGAGCATTGTTAACCATAATTATTTCCTAGTTCACTAAAATTACATCAAAACATACAAAGCATACATTATACCTGTGTAGTGTTTAGCGAACTCTGTTGTGATAGTTGCTGCCTGATTTGATGACCCTGACTCATCCGCAGCTGCTGTGCATAAGCCATGGCTCCATTGGCTCGTAGTTGCGAGCTAAGATTTGGTGACCCCATCATCCCCATTGCTTGCATTCCTTGCAGTGCTTGTCCAGGAGAATTACCTGAAGTGAATTGAGATGACTGGACTAACCCACTTTTCTGCCTTGGCTACATTGAATTCAAAATTATTCAAGTAAGAAATGAATTTTGACCATGGAAGGCATGAAATGCAATGATTTTTAAGGTTGCTCAGAAAAGCCTTAGTACAAAAGCTATCACAAATCCCTATTTAGTAATAACCAATCACGTCGGCAAAAGAAACAAGCACGGTTGAAAAGGCAAATATGTAACGTAACAAAGCTGTTTTGTTTCTATTTCAATCCTCGCTAGTTATTGAATAATGAATCACTGAATAGAGAAAGACACAATTTCTATCAACCAAGCAACAATCCATCAAAATTGATCACATGGTCCACTAGTTACATCTTTTTCAAAACACCCAAAATTTGCATCATTCTCTCCTCAACACGACCATATCATGTTACTCAACAACATTGCATCGATATCATTTACCATATTCATTCCAAGAACAATAAAACACCAAATTTGAAAACAATTAACATAAAAAAAAAAAAAAAGAACTGAATTAATCATTATACCGAAGACAACAGATTAAACTGTGCTCCAGCACCAGACAACATAGGAAAATGCCCGCTCTGCCCAATCAACGCGGACCGCGACAAATTGGAAGCACCCAATTGCTGTTGCTGCTGCTGATTCTGCGCCGCCGCAGCGCCGAAGTTCATCTGGCCGGCGTAAAGGCCAGGCTGCTGGCGCATGACGCTGAACTGCTGCTGCTGCTGCTGCTGCTGTTGCTGCTGTTGCTGCTGAGACTGAATTTGGTTGAGACGTGACATGGAAGGAGAACGCTGAAGGGTTTGTTGGAGTTGAAAATTGGAAATAGGGTTGATGTTGATGGGCATGGATTGTGACTGTTGTTGCTGAATTAGGAGGGTTTGCGATTGTTGCTGTTGTTGTTGTTGTTGTTGTTGTTGTTGGGGTTGCTGCATTGAAGGACTGAGTTGTTGGTGAAGGAGTTGATCTTGTTGAGATTGGGGAAGAGGAGGCATAGAAGGGGATTGTTGTTGGGAGATTGAAGAAGGGGATTGGATTGTAGGGTTTGAAGAAGAGGGGTTTTGCGGGTCCATTGTTGGGGGTTTGGGGGAGGGTGAGGATCCAGTTCCAGTTTCCGCCATTGATTTTTATTCTCTCTTTTTCTGCTATGAATATGAAGGAAACATGGCCAAACTGAGGGTTCCCAAAGGGGGCAAAGCTTCAATGAATTGAAGATTTGAAGGAACGTGGAAGAGGACTTCTAATTTTAATCTTCCAACTACACGTCACTGCTAAACTTTCAATTTTCAATCTTAATCTTCTTTCTTTTGTTATTGCTGGCTTCGGAATTCTGATTGAAATTTCCAAGACAATCCTCCTTTTTTCTTTTTAGAGTTTGATCTAACCCCCTGATCTTTAACTTCAAAAGTTTGTTTTTAAATTTTCATCTTTTTTCAAATATCAATAATATATTTGAATATAAAAAATATTATTCAAACTTTGATATTTAGTAATATTAAAAATATATTATACTTTAAAATAATATAATATAATAAATCATTTATTAATTTTTTTGTATAAATTTTTATAAAGTTAATTTATTTAATAAAAATTTGTAAACTTACGATTTAATTAGTTAATTTTCTGACAAATTTTAACTCTTAAATAAATGTTTTATGAGGTACAATTGTTTGTGTTATAGGTATTTTAAGATAAGCTTAGTTAGATTTAATAAAAAAACTATATTTTTAATTTTGTCAACATTTTTCTTTGTTAACCTGATCCGAACTAACACAATTATACTTAGTTTGCATTTCATTAGATTGTTGTGTTGGTATATATTTATATTTTTAATTTTTTAAAATAAAATATTATTTTTTATCAAAATAATATTAAAAAAGAAATTTCAATATGTATTATAAAAATATTAACAATAAACAGAAAGCAAAAAAGAGGAAAAAAAAACTAACTCGGGTACATTAAATTTTAGAAATACATGATCCGATAATAATAAGTTGATTATTATTTAACTAATAATAATAATAAAAAAAATTAATTCGTGCTATTCTACTTTGTGGTTTAATACGCAACATGCACCTGCACATTTAAAGCTCCATACATGCTCACGCAGGGGATCGCAACTGGTAGCACACCTATCGTCCTAGGATGTCCAAAATCTTCTACGGTTATACTATGTTAGCACACCATATAATCTTGCTTTCATTTGAGTCTTATATTACTAATAAAATCTCATTATGCCAAATATGTGATTTGTTTTTCTATTACTCTAATAATACATACATTAACTTAAACATTGGAGTATCTTCACAATTACACTACTCTATTTACCATTTTTCATTTTTCATCTTTCATCTTTCGCGTGCTAGTAACAATTTTTCTCTCAGATTTCATCTTCTTTTAACATCACAAAATAAATCCTTATTGTCTAACTTGACTTTTTTTTTAAATATTTTATTAAAAAACTCTATTTTATAACAAGACTCGTTGATCAACAAATTTAATTATAAATAAATTAATAGATTTAAAAAAATATTTAGAGAGCTTATTGATATTCTATAAAAATAGTTCGACTTTTATAATTTATTTTAACTTTTTAAAATAAACTCTTTAATATGACTTGTTAAAATAAGTTCTTTTTAAGTTTATTCTAACAAATTTCACCGTCAAGTTATGACAAGTTATCTCATAGATCCTCATATAAAAAAATATAATTAAATAAATACTTAAGTAAGTTATTTACTCATATGCACCCTTTATAAATTTCAAACCTTAAAATAAACCAATAAATATATAATATTAAAATTATAATAAAAATTAGTACAATAATAATTATATTATCTATATATACATAAATAAGTTGATCTATTAAACATAAAAGATACTTTGAATAAATTAAATATTATTCTTTTAAGGCATTTTTACTTAAATAATATTTTTTAAAAAACAATTTTTTAAAATAATATTTTTTTAAAACTAATTCTTTATCTAATACTTTCTTTTTGTCAACTCAGCAGCACTATCGTTCATGTATGAATTTTTATTATTATTTAAATATACTATCACTTTAATATGTCTGATATTATATTAAGAATTGACACATATTAGAAATAAGATAAATATCAAATTAAATGAAATTATAATAAAATTTTATTATTATTTTAATATACTATTATTTAATAATATCTGATATTTATAATTTTTTATTATTATTTTAATATTATCGTTGCAAAATAATTATTAGATATCCAACTCTTCAATCATTTTAAGTTTTTTAATTGATCTTGGGAAAGCTCTTAGGTCCGCAAAGTTCTTTCTCAAATTTAATTTTGTGGAACCGAAGGTTAAGAGGTTAGTTAGGTTTATGAATTTATGTTATTTATTTATTATGAGTTTTAATTATATTTGGGTTGAGAAAAATATAATATTTTATATTTGTTATTTATATGAATATCACTGCCAAAATCAAAACATGGTTCCCAAATATTTCACACCAATAATGGCCAAAATGCTTCACACCGACGTTAATGGAAGATAGCGACCAAGTCAAATTCTTATGATGCTGTGAGCACACCCGTAAAGAACAGGAAAGCTGGCTAAGAAGTAGTCCTTCCTTGGGTTCCCACCTTTCCCCAGAATCAACTCTCGCTAGGGGCTTCAGAATCCTCAGCGTAAAGTGAAGTCTGACATGAAGAGCAGTCAGTTCTCCGCAACAGCAACAGCATCCCAGAGCTACAGCTTAAGTCCCAAGAGCAGAACAAGAAGCTATTTCACGACACCCCTTTCGACAATGCCATGTGTCCAAATCACAATCAATATTGTCACAGATGCTTCGATAGCGCAGTCGAGAAGGCAGAGTCGACACTGCATTCGACACGCGGCGTTTATGACCTTTATTTGTCTGATACTATAAATTTATTTATTTATATTTAATTTTTTATCCGAATTTAACCTAATCACATGTTCATATCTGAACTAGTATCGGTTACCTTCAAACGATAGTGTATTAAAAAATTTTAAAAAAAATTACTATCAGACATGCACATGCAATATAGGTGCTAATCTGGCTAAAATTAACACCAGACAGGGAATTTGTTTCCAAAGATACTTATATTAAGAATTTTGATATGGATGCTGTGATAAACGCAAGCGCAAAATGTGGAAGTTACTGATTAATAACTATTGATTATTATAACTGTAATAGGTGTGCTATATTTATAATTTACTTGTAATTGTATGAGGGTCGGCATTGTCAACTTCCTCTTTATTCTCTGTTCTTTCCTTGATTCTGGCCCATGTCACTAAGGCTTGGATTTCTTCAATTCTATATTTCCGTTTCCGATTATAATAGTAATTCAAGGAATATATCTCTATTCAGTTTATAAATTGCTTATTGATTCTGAGAATCATAACATTTGGTGCTTTTGTTGTCCTCCCCATGGCTGACAATACTCGTTTGAAGGAAATTACGGCAGAATTAAAACGTCTCCAAGAACATGTTTCGATTCAACAAGCCAGTTCTTCGCACATTGATGTCTTGGAACAAAAACTAGATTCATTCATGGTTTCTCATGATTCTTCTCCTTTGGATCGTTTAGAATCTTCCATGGATACCATTACGCGTTCAATTGATGCAATTTTGGGTAATTTGGAACGCACAGTTCGTAATGATGGTGCTTCTGAAACTCCGCATAACAATAATGTACCTATTCGATCTATGAAATTGGACTTCCCTAAATTTGATGGCACAGAACCTTTGAATTGGTTATTTCGTGCTGAGCAGTTTTCGGCTCTTTATCAAACACCGGAACCACAGCGCTTGGCTATCGCTGCAATCCATATGGAAGGTGACGCTGGACCCTGATTTCAAATGCTGCAAAGAACCAATCTCCTTCCAAATTGGCAGGCTCTGGTGCACGCTGTTGAAGCGCATTTTGGTCCCTCTCCGTTTGCTTCTCCACGCACGGCATTTGTTCAAACTTCAACAAGTTGATTCGGTTCAGAGCTACTATCATATATTTGCTTCATTGGCAAATAAAGTTGAAGGACTAATAGATGCGACACTTTTGGGTTGTTTTATTAGCGGCCTCAAAAGTGATGTGAAGAGGGAAGTGTTGGTTCAATCTCCTACTTCCTTGGTTAGAGCGGTGGCACTGGCCAAACTTTATGATGATAAGACCATTCCTGTTTCACATAACACAAAAGCACGTTATCCATCTTTTATTCCGAGTCGCAGCAATCAAATACCATCATCGCAAAATCCGTCTCTTCCAGGATTACCTCCAACCCCGAAAACATTACCATTACCAGTGCCTCCATCTTCTACTCTTGTTAAGCGAATGACTGTTGTGGAAATGCAAGTCCGACGCGATCGCAGACTTTGTTATACATGCGATAAAAAATTCAATTTCTTCTCTTTCTTTAGAAAGATGAACAACCACTAGAAACCACGGCGTTAAATGTCAAGGACGATTCTATTCCAGTTATTGAAGAATCGGTGGCAGAATTCCATCACTTATCACATAATGCTTTTAATGGGGCTTCGGGTCCTAGAACTTTGCGATTTAAAGGTTTGATTTTTGGGCAGGAAGTTCAAGTCCTTCTTGATAGTGGTTCTTCGGATAATTTTATACAACCACGTTTGGCAAAATTTTTGAAACTTCCAATTGAACAGGCGCCTGACTTCAAGGTTTTGGTGGGTAATGGTCATTATTTGACATGTAAAGGACGTGTTCGACAGGTTCCTCTTTCAATTCAAGGTCATACCATTCATCTTTCTGCTTTTCTTTTGCCAGTTTCAGGTGCAGAAATTATTCTCGGCGCTTTTTGTTTAGCGACGTTGGGCCTTCATGTTGCGGATTATAACCAACTCACAATAAAAATTTTCGATGATTCTGTTTTTGTTACTCTTCAAGGGGACTCCCATTTGTCGCCTTCTGCTATTCAGGCACAGTATCATCATCTTCGTCGTCTACATCAAAATGATGCCATATCAGCAGTTTTCACATTGCACTCTCAGATGCCTTCTGATGCTGAGGATCCTTTAGGGGATTTGGTGCCTAAACCATCCTCTGATTTTGTTGACATTCTTCGGCAGTATGTTTCTGTGTTTCACAACCCTCATGGTCTTCCGCCATCTCAGAGTCATGATGATGCGATTCCATTGTTACCAGATGTTCCGCCTGTGAAAGTTCGACCTTACCGATATCCTTTTAGTTACAAGGCTGAAATAGAGAAAATTGTCGGTGAATTATTACAGGAAGGCTTGATTCAACACAGTACTAGGCCATTTTCATCTCTGGTTATTTTGGTTAAAAAGAAACATGGGTCTTGGCGATTTTGCATTGATTACAGAGCATTGAACGTTATCACTATTAAAGATTGTTTTCCGATTCCAAAACTATTGATGAGTTACTAGATATATTACACGACGCTTATTATTTTTCAAAATTGGACTTGCGTTCTAGTTATCATCAGTTGTTAGTTCAACCAAAAGATCGGAGATGAATCAAGTATGTCAGGAATTTTTACGCAAATTCATTTTGGTGTTTTTCGATGATATACTCATTTACAGTGCTTCATGGTCCGATCATTTGTAGCATTTAACACAAATATTGTCTGTTATGGAAAACCATAAACGTCACACTAAATTGTCCAAATGTGCTTTTGTTACACAACAAATTGCTTATATGGGACATATGGTTTCATCTTCTGGTGTATATATGGATCCTGACAAGGTTGAGTCTGTTCTTAAATGGCCAATTCATACTACTCTTAAACAGCTTCGTGGTTTTCTTGGTCTCACAAGTTATTATCGTTGCTTCATTAAAGGATATGCATCATTGGCCTCTCCCATACATGATCTCTTGAAGAAAGATGCTTTTCTGTGGTCAGACTCTACACAAGCTGTTTTTAACAACCTTAAAAAGGCAATTACAAATTCCCCAGTTTTGATTCTTCCTTCCTTTTGAATCGAAACTGATGCATCGGGTACAGGTATCAATGCTATTTTAAGTCAAAAGGGACATCCTATTGCTTTCTTTTAAAAAAAACTCTCATCCAGAATGCAATCTAAATCTGCATATGTTCGCGAGATGTTGGCGATAACTGAAGCAGCCGCCAAGTTTTGACGTTATTTGTTGGGCCATCATTTCATAATTCGTACTGATCATAAGAGTTTGCGGTCTTTAATTGATCAGACACTCCAAACACCAGAACAACAACAATGGATGCACAAGCTTATGGGTTATGACTTTGGTATTGAATACAAACTGGGTAAGCAAAATGTGGGGGGTGAGGCCTTATCACATATGGATTGCCTTGCATTGTCTACACAATATTGTGATTTAATTGCAGAATTAAGGGAACATATTGTCAACGATGATGAGTACCGCAACATACTATTGGGCATAAAAAATGGTCAAATTTCTCCTAATTTTCGCAAACAGAATGGCCTTTTGTATTGAAAAATCGTTTGGTTGTGCCAGGACAATCTCCTCTCACTGTCAAATTAATTAAGGAGTTTCATGATTCTCCAATTGGGGATCATGCTGGAGTTTTACACAGTTAACAACGTCTAATCGTTCAATTTTATTGGCGTGGAATGAAAAAACAGGTGCATAATTATGTTCAGCAATGTCAGGTTTGTCAATAGGCTAAGATTTCTCATTCCTTACCTGCTGGTTTGCTTAATCCTTTGCCTATTCCAGAAAAAATATTGGAAGATATTGCTATAGATTTTATAATAAGCCTTCCGCCAATGTGTGGTTATACTGTTATTATGGTGGTGATTGATAGGTTGTCAAAATATGCACATTTGATTCCTTTAAAGACGAATTTTACAAGTGCATCCATGGCTGAGCAGTTTATACAGCATGTTGCAAAATTAAATGGTATTCCAAAGTCTATTGTTTCAGATCGCGATAAGACTTTCACTAGTAATTTCTGGCAGCATTTGTTCAAATGTCAAGGTACTACCTTGGCCATGAGTACAGCTTATCACCCACAGAAAGATGGATAATCCGAGGCGTTGAATCGTTGCATAGAGATGTATCTTCGCTATTTTGTTTTTTATCATCCTAATTGTTGGCTAAAGTTCTTGCCGTGGGCAGAATTTTGGTATAATACTGCTTATCAGACTTCTGCAGGGATGACACCTTTTCAGGTTGTTTACGGTAGACTTCCACCATCTTTGGTTCGGGATACTGCAATTTCTGTTGTTCTAGAGGTTGAACAATTATTACAGCAACGTGATGATGTTTTGCGAGTCCTTAAGTCTAATCTAGCTCGCGCTCAGCATAAAATGAAACAAATTGCAGATCGCAAGCGTGGGATCTTGAGTTTACTGTTAGTGACTTCGTTAATGTGAAACTTCAGCCTTACCGTCAAGTCACATTGTATTCGCATTGTCATAAAAAATTGAGACTTCAGTATTTTGGCCCTCTTCAGGTAGTTGAACGAATTGGTAAAGTTGCTTATCGTTTATTGCTTCCTTCCACTGCTCGCATTCATTCTGTCTTTCATATTTCTCTTCTCAAGAAATGTATTGGCAATCCTTCTAAGCAATACTTTCCAATACCTGTGACTTTTGAAGAGGCCACCACTGTTCCAACACCTGTCAAGATTTTGGATTCTCGTCGCATATTGCAATAGGGTCATTGGATAGATCAGATTTTGGTTCAATGGTCTAATTTATCTAAAAAAGATAGTTATTGGGGAATCTGTGTCTGATATTCAATCCAAGTTTCCAACTTTTGACCTTGAGGACAAGGTCAATTTCAAAGGAAGGAGTATTGATATGGATGCTGTGATAAATGCTGATGGGACAGAATTAATATGAATAAACCACGACGTAGTAATCGTGAGAAGTGCAAAACGTGGAAGTTACTAATTAATAACTAATGATTATTATAACTGTAATAGGTGTGCTATATTTATAATTTAGTTGTAATTGTATGGGAGTCGGTATTGTTAACTTCTTCTTTATTCTCTGTTCTTCCTTGTTTCTGGCCAATGTCACTAAGGCTTGGATTTCTTCAATTCTGTATCTCCATTTCCGATTATAATAGTAATTCAAGGAATATATCTCTATTCAGTTTATAAAATTGCTGATTGATTCTGAGAATCATAACAATTTTGTTTTTAAATTAACATTATTTAAATAAATTTGCCCAAATTATGTCTAATGTAGATTGAAAAAATTAAATAAATACAACAATCAAATTTTATTTCATCAGCAAGGTTACCACCATAGATCACATCACACTATTAAACTCGATCAAAAATTGAAAAACTAAAAAAAATAAATGTTGATTAAATATTTAATAAAAGTAAGAACCTCATTTGAATAAATAACAAATAAAAAAGAAAGTATATTAAAATGATGTGATATGATATGAATTATCAGAATACATGTCACCGACATGAGAGTGAGGTTATGTTCAAAAGGTGTCTCACACTAAAAAATGAGGGTCGAATTTGTAATATAGGAGTACAATAAGTTATGTCTCCCACTCTCTATCTAATCTATGTTAAGATAGATATAGTACATTTTTGGTTTTGATTATTTGAGAGAAATAATCATTTCCTCTTTTTTCCCAAACTTTTATCAAGAAGTTGATAAAAAAAAGTGATTATCCCTCTAAAATAAACTGAACCAAACACAGTCGAAAGTGAAGTTTCACACAGCAAAACTTCTCGTCTTGGACTTCAAAATTGGTAGACAACGATAATCATGAAGAAAAATAATGCGGAACACAGCTTTCCCCACGGTCATCTCTCTCTCTCTCTCTTCCTTGCTATCCTTTTAAACACACCAAACAAAACAAAGCCATTATAGAAATATAGAGTAGAAGAATATGAGATTCCCTAGCGAGAGAACAATAACTGATGCTCACTGCTCTTCCTGTCTTTTGGAATGTGGCAATCACAAATCCCGGGTCATCTCTTGCATTCCATGACATTGCTGGAACAGTAATCTCATAAGTTCTGTCCCAATGAACGTAATCAGAAAATGCATACCTGTGAGCACTAAAAATAATCCTGCATACAATGGGAGAGGCAAGTCAAAGGAGGATTTACTCCTTCTCTTTATTCCATGTGTTCCCTTACCCCTCAGTTATGCAGCTAAATTTTATTTTCTTTCACTACTAAGTATCATGCAAAACAAGCACATCAAGTGATAAAAGTGAGAAAACACAACATTTAAGCACCATCCCAATTGTATAATACTTGGACCAAAAGCTATATCATATGTGGACATTGATCAATCTAAACATTCAATATGAAAAACAAACTGAATCAGCTCTCATGCACAAGACCAAATAATCAAATGTAATTTTAGAAACTATTCTCCCACTAAACCATATTATATCTTTTGACAATAGCAATAAAAGCAAATATTAACATGCAATTGTGCAAGTAACTTACATTCAGAAGATGCAGCATAAAACGGTACTACTAAGAAGAAACTTAAGCTTGTAGACTAACAGGGGGCGGGGAGTAAAACAAAGAAACATTTTTTTAGGTTTATTTGGGTAGGGGGATCCGATAAAAAGAGAAGTCAGTCGAAGCACACAAGTGACACCTAAACTCTACAACATAATGGTTTAGCATACATCTTCATACCAACCCAAGGAAAAACTGTTTCGTTGATGGATGAAGGCCATGGTTCATATCTGTTTCAAAACCTGACCAACATTATTTTATCTCAAGCTTGAAGGAATATTTTTTTTCAAGAAGCATGCAAGTCCAGCATACTAAGTTACTCACTAGTAACTACAAATAAATAAATTGTAGCTAAAAGCACAGCATATTTCCATATATATATATATATATGAGAGAGAGAGAGAGAAACAAAGACAAGCAAGTATTTGTTATATGAACTCACAAGTCACAACCAAAGAAACATTTGATTACCTTGGCTTCAGAGCTTGTAAAATGTATTCAGAAGCATTTAGTGGGAGGGTATGAAGTAACTTATACAGGCCACCCCCAATGAGCTCCCTAGTTCAAAAAACGAAAAAACTACATTAAATAGGGAATAGAAAGTTTAACAGCATGAATACTGCAAGAATGGATACTGACTATTGGCTACAAACTAAACAACATGTCGATAAAACAAAAACATAACCCTTGACTATATGCACAATTTTCCTGAATTTCTACAATACTATTTTTACACTCCAAAACTGAACTCATCAAAGATTTTAAATTCAGCAAAAGGGAAAGATTGAAACTTCAGGCCATTATTAGGGAAAAAAAAAACAGAGGAGGGGGAGGAATGGTAACAGATGATGCATCTTTTTCTAACGTACGGCATAATTTTTGACCTAATAACTCCTAAACTTGGAAGAAAACTTCAAAATTGTATAATATGTGATACATATCAAGTATGCCCACTAACCTGCTTTTTGGCACCACATTTAACCCCTCTATAAAAGAAGTTGAAGATCTCTTAAAAGCATCAATGTCACCATGGTGCTCATTTCTTGTTTGGTCCAAAGGTAAGTGAAGCAGAAGTACAGGGCCTGATCCAGATAACATGCTGCTCTCCCTCCAGAAGAAGTTATAGTCTGCATCTCTAAAGTTGGGGGAATCATTAATTGTTTTGGATGCACTCTCTGCTTCCATACGAAGTTCTAGACTTTCCCTCTCTATTACTTTCTCAACATCAAAACGCAAACTACTATTGCCACAAAGCAAAGCTACAGCATTCAGTGTGACAAAACTGATGTTACCAATCTCAAATGCAGCACAGCCAGAAGGATCCAATCCTGGTAATTTGTGAGCAATCCAATCGACTTTGTTCATATCAAGATCACTGCATTCTCCAATATCCCTATCACCAAGAACTGCATGGAATGGAAGACCAACAAAGGGGCCCAACACTTGGTAAAACTGACGCAGCACTGACATCCATTTGCTCTTTGTCAACTCCGACCCTTTTGCAGAAACATCTCCCAATACAAGAAGCAAATCAGGCCTCAAACTCTCAAAAGATTTCTGGCCAGTTAGTGCATCACTAAATTAAAAAGGGTCGGAAGAATGAAACTCAAACGTGGACCTCAATGTTCAAAATCAACCAAAAATCTCCATTCATAGCATGATAGTAGGGAAAACAAAAAAATTAGCAATGCTAATACTTCAAACACTAGCTACATGAATTAAGTGTTACCAGATTTACGAAAATAGAGCAAAAAAAAAACAAAGATCTTATTCTGTACCATTTAGAGCAGACTTGATTAATATAATTAATTAAATATTTATTCAATGTTTTTTTTATCACAAAGACTTCAACAAATTTAATTATTAAACTTATTAAAATAAGTTAAAATTTTTATTTTAATAAATATACTCATATTTTATTTAAAATATAATTATAAGCTAGTTTCATAAGCTGTGTCAATTCTTCTAAATGTCTCTCAGAAATGTATTTGGAAGAACTTAGGGCTTATGAAAACACCTTACAACTCTAGTAAGTTCATTTTAACTTATTTTAATAAGTTTTTTTCTATAACTTATCAAAATAAGCATATTTTTCAGGTTTCATAATCAAATTTATAGCATCAACACTCATATAAAAAGAGTTTATTGAATAACTACTTACTTACTTGTTTGAAAGAGCTCATGAACAGTTTATGAAAAACAAACTCTTATAAACTGTCTTCAACTTATTTCAATAAGTTTATTGGTATAATTCATAATTAAATCAACTAACTGAATAAATGGTTAAATAAATACTTATCCAAACGCATATACACAAACACACCCTTAGAAAAAATGAACACATTGGCGAAAATTATAACGAAAATTAACTTTAAGGGTATGTAAAATACCAGTGTAGCGAGAATTGGTTAGTGAGTAAAAAAAATGGGGAAAAGGGTTACGAAGATAAAAGAGAAAGGAAAATACCCGAAAGAACTTGGACATGTAGTAGTCTCTGAAGAAGTGATTGACAAGACCAGATTCGGAGCCCAATAGAAGAAGGTCAGCGACCATCATCACCTTCAAGTCATAATCAACATCTTCATGTTCATTGCTGCTCGGAACCAGTTGGCAAGCGGGTTTTGACACCCTCTCTTCCAAAACAAGTAGAAAGGCGATTGCAAAGAGACAAAAACCTCTCAATCCAATCACCATAGATGCGCTCTTGAAGTGGATCCACAAGTTATTCACAAGATCTTTTTCCACTTCTGCTTCTGCTTCCAACGCCCCATTCTTCACGTTCCGCTCTTGTTACTCTACGCCTCTGTTACTTTGATTTTTCATTCCTCCGTTAATAGGGTCAAAATAAAATAAAGAATTTATTTAAATTTTTGTTGTATTAAAAATATTTATCCTTTAATTTATATACTTTGTAGATAATATAAAAAATTTTGAATGAAGTTTTTGTATTTTTTTTAAAAAATGTTTTGAGGGGAAAAAAACTATAATTGGAAAAAAAAAACATTTCTATAATATTTTTAAATTGTAATTTGAAAAAAAAGATTACTTTTTCAAAAATTTTAGATATTGAATATATTTATTTGATTTAATATTAAGTGGGATTATTATTATTTTTCAAGTGGGTTAAATGTAAGAATATCTATATTTCAAAGTGCATAGCAAAATAAGAACGTAAGGATTACAAAAGCTATATGCCTTTTATTAGCCCCAACTTTTGGCCCTGTTCTTTTCACTTATGTTTCTTTCTCTCCAATGCTTTAACCCTTTTTTCTCCCAATGATTTCACAAGCCTGTAAAATAATTTTGCCAGCAAACATCAAAGGGAAATAAAGGTGAATATAATAATACACAAAATAGTTTATATTTATTCTTTCATTTTTAAATCATTAAGAATTAAATTTTTATTTTTGTATAAATTACGTATTTTTTATTAGAAACAATTATATTTAAACTAGATAAAATTAAAAAATTCAGCAAAGCTTTCTATTGCATATACATAAAATATTGTCTTGCTTCTTTATTACTTTTATTAAGTTATGAGCACGATTTATAAATGTTAATGTTGGTTTTAAATAACAAACATATGCACAAAATAGAAGATATATATAATTTTCATTAATCGTTAACTGTTTTATTTCCAATGTTTTTATTGTTATAATTTTTCTGTACTTCTTACCATATATAACTCTCTTGTTAATTATTAACAAAATATTTTTCGAGATAACTCAGAATAATTTTATTGGGGGACGCAATTGTATCGAACTATGAACTATACATGTTGACAATGAAGTGACCAAGACAAAAGACAAATTAAAGCCGTGGAGATCATATCGTTGAGTCTTAGAAAAATAATTATAAATCCTAAATACTAAAATGTTTTACATATTAATCATGTTATTTTTAAATTTAATATTTTAAATAAAAAATTTAAAAATAGCAAAACCTGTAAAAAAATATTTTTAATTTGGTTAATGTGTTGAAATATTCTAATGTTCTTGTTCTTTCAATTTATAAATTACGTGTAACAAAAAGGTAATTGGTTGGGTAGCACTTTTGTACGCAAAAAATAAAGAACACATTCTACAGTCCAACAAATTGGCCTTCAACATAGCCGTGAACATTCAATCACATGATAGCATTGCAAGGGCATTTATGTAAAATGCAAACACCATTTATTTGTTCTTTTTTTTTAAGTTCACGCTTATAATTATAGCTATTGACCCCAAAAGTCTCCATTATCGAGTCAAATGGATTCAGCAAGGATCTTACTCTTATTTCGAATTCATTTCTCAATTATCGTGAATTTCTAATGGAAAAGTTATTCATTAATTTCATATAGTTTTAGTTATTTGAATTTTATATTTAGTACTTACAGCTCTATCTTGAAAAATATAATAATAAATTAATAATGTTTCATTTTAACGAAATTTTTTTGTACGAAATAAAAGGTGATTTAATAAAGTCTATTAACGTAATTTTATAATAATTATAACTAAGGTTGCTTAATGTTTTCTCAATCACTATCTTTTTGTCTTTGACCCGTGTATAATTAAAATATGAAAGATTCAAATGAAAAAGACCTAGTTAGGTTCCTAAATCTGCAAATCATAAGTTATTAGGACACACTTAATCTTGAGTAATTTGTATTTAGGTAGTAACAGTTCAGAGTAAGTGGAAAAATTCAAGTATTAAGGACCACCAAGCATTTTCCTAGACGTATTAAAGGGTATTAAGTCCATTAAAATTTCTCAACCAATTAGCTACTACATTATCACGGTGCAACAAATTTTCGACTTATTTAATGAAGGAGACTTCATGTCACATACAACAAGTAATAATAATAAAAAAATGTCAAAATATATTTTTTTTAAACAATTTTATTTCAAGACGATACTATTCAGATTGGACTGGAAGACAATTGTGGTTATTATCTCTGAAGCCAATATTTTTGTTCATTAAAACCCATTGTAATAAAAAGGAACATCTTGAACCACACTACCTAAGAAGCTTTTGTTTTAAAATATACATTATGATAAAAATCAATTTAATATCACATGGTTACTAAATGACAACTTTTTTTAATGTATATTAATTAGGATAATTATTTACCTTTTTTTCCTCTCGTAATTTGTCACCTTGCACGCAATTTACTTTTTCTTTTCTTTTCTTTTTATACATATAACACATTAAAAAATTACGTTTAATTAGCCAACCAAGTAAAATAAATAAATAATAGCCCAATAGTTTTCTATCATAATCTTGTATTATTGTCTTTTTCTTTTTTCAAAAAAGTGTTGAAACGATAATGCATCATATGTTCTTAAAGGGTGCTTTAAGAAAAAATAATTATTGATTAAAATAACGGTGAGAGATTTATATAATTTATTATATATGTGCACACTTTTAATTACAGTCTCAAATATTATTTTTCAATTAATGATTATAATTCTTATTTTTTAAGAGTTAAATCACAAATGAGAAGTCTTTTTAATCAAAAATAGTTATTCTTACTTAATTAATATTATCTATTAAATAACTATTATTTTTATTTTTTAAAAATATAATTCACGAGTAAAATGATATTTTCGGAGCTCAAGTACTAAGGACTTGGTCCGTCTTACCATGCGGCTGACCTTGATTTAGATTCATGAAATCACGTGTAAAATAAAATTTTATTAGATATATAACAAGTAGAACTCATTTTATTTTACATCACTTAATATATTTTAATAAATAATTAAAAAAATCTTAAAAATAACAATAGTTTTCTGTAATTATTATTATACATGATCATGCAGAATGAAAACATGTGCATGAAGATTAACACATTTTTAAAATTGAACATATATACGAGTAAATATGTTAAAAAATAATTTTCTTATCATTATTTACAAGAAAAGGCAGAAAACACATAAATATATATTTTAAATCAATAAAAACATGAAAAAGAAAAATGTAAAACTGATAGAGAATATTACCAAGGTGTTTTGACCACATCATCGTAATTAAATATACCCCAATGACATCATATCAGCCATGAAGTCGTGTTTGAATCTATATAGCTACCTTGTTCACTCTCACACCCCAAATACCAACTTCACTGGTTTGCTCTCATTTTCTCAATACTCACCCACTCATTTTGCAAACCAATTTTATCGTAAAAAAGAGAAAAATGAGCTTAAAGTAGAAAAGTTGAACAGTGGTGTATATATATGTCTAACATTGTTTCTATGTTCTGCTTTGAATTGTGTAATGTCACCACATACTATTAATACAACAATTCACATGGTATGTTTAGCTAGTCATTAACAATCAACATGCATGATTTCAACGGAGACAATTATTACAAGATTATGGGTGTATGTTTGCTCCAACTTTTTATTATTAATCAGTAATATAATTTTTCCCAGATGATTTCAATAAAAATATTAAAAGCAGCTTGTACAAATTCAAACTTCTTTCAATTTATATAAATTTTAAAAAATAAATTTAAAAATAAATATTTTACATTACAAAATATAATTTATTTAAAATAAGCATGGGTCATTTTTAAGCAATAATATAATTTCTTAAAATGAGAAATTATTGGGTGATCCGAGATTTTATGGTCTCGACTAGTGTGTGAAAAAAATTTTAAATGCATGTGTTCATATTTTAATTAGTTAGGACCATTATGATTTTGTATCATACATGTATATATATTAAAAATAAATAGATAATAAAAGTAATTTGTATCTTTACTATAAAGTGAAAAACTTTATATAAATGGAGAATATTATGATTAATTGATAAAAGAAAGTTATAACGTTCATGTATGATTAAAAGAAAATTAACTTGAGTTGTGGTGTTATTATTTTTCTAAACAAAAAGTAGCTGCGTCTTGCTGGTTTATTTATGCAGGATACAAAAGTTGTGTTTCTTAGTAAAGAATATGGAACTTCAACTTGAGTAGCTTTGCTTTTGAAGCCTCATCGGTGTTCTGTTTCTTTGGTCCTTACACACATATAAGCATGATTCTAATTCGGTACGAAAAGTGAAATTTCTTATTAAACTATCGTTGCTAAATTGCAAGCAATGTACTGTCCAACATCGTAAAAAGACACGAATGAACAACTTCGTAAAAAGACACGAATGAATCTGCCACACTCTGAGCCTCTTAAGAATCATCACCCTCGTTATTAAACGTATATACTTAATCGTTAAAAAAATGGAATTTCCTCGAGAGTGGCTAATTTAATCATCACTATACAAATAGTAATTGCTTTTACAATAATTTTGGAACAATATTTTATATTAGTATGAAATAATTTTAAGACGCGCATGAATGAAAAATAAATAAATATGTATGATGTAAAACATGGTATCCATAATTTCATATATGTTCTAATAAAGTGATATACAGTTGATGAAATAATTACTATCAAATACATAAATAAATAGATAAATAATTATTTATAATTATTTCAACTTAACATGTAGTTATTATATCTACATTCATGGTTAAGCCTTGTAGTTACATCAAACTCTTAGGTAGATCAAAGTTTTTATTCCACGCTGACATGGCAATTTTTCATGAAGGGAATCGTCACGCACCAACTTAACACTAACAAGATAGCAAATTTGTGCACAAAACCAAATAAAAAATAGCAAAGCACCCAACACATAACGTTCTTTCAAAATTCTTTGGTAAAAATCCTTAAAACATTTGAACTTCTGAAGCCAACTTGAATTGATTGCCTTCAACAACACCATTCCCTACTCATCTTTTGGCAACAATGCTATTTTTGTCTCTTGATAAATGGACCCAACTTTTTTTAACCAAGTGCTTGTGTTCTTGTTTGGTTTTTGTAACTTGTTGTTTTGTTCCAAATTTTCAGTATTATCGCTCTTCAACAAATCACGATGTACTTTTAGATGATAAGATTTTATGTAGTATGAATATAAGTTGAAAGATATTATAAAAAATATATATATAACCCATGAAGTAAGAAATATATAAAATTATTATTATTATTATTATCAAGTAATGATAAAAAAAATACTGCATTTTTTAAGAATTAAATATGATAATAGATTTCTCTATTTTATTATTATTGATAATGAATGTTTAGTTTTATTAGATAATAAAATTTAAAAAGATGAGACTTTTGAGATTAGTGAGAGTATCATAAGAAACTATTTAAATTAAGACAAGTCATCTCTATGTTTATTTATTTGATACAGAGTGTCGAATTGTATTTTTTTTTTAAATATATTTAATTTGACATGATGTCAGATTTAAAATTTAAATTTTCATTCAAATTTAAATTGAAATGAACTAAAGTGTAAATTTAAGCAGTTGTATTTGAAAGGAACAAAATTAAAAATATATACTATTGCATAAGAAATTACACAATGTAAGAGTTTTGAACTCGGATATTATTGAAGAGGTTTTGGCTGTATTAAACAAATTTGTCGGCATGGATTATGATCTTTTAATAATTGTAAACGTTTTATCAAAAAAACATATTAAAAAAATAATTATAAAAACTAAAAAAGTAAGGAATTAAATTTAAGTATAAAATTATTTAAAAATTAAATTCACAACCGATCCAAAAAATGATTAAGAAAAACAAATAATAAAAATACATATTACGATAGTAACTGAAATTGTTGTCATAAAAAAAATTTCGATTACGAAAGAGAAAGAAGTAAAATGTAGAACCTGATGCTTATGTTGAAAGTTAGAACAATCATAAACCGATTAATGAATCCCAAAAAGTAGAAAACAACTAAATCGTTTTTACTAGCCAGTGATATATATATTTATTTATTTATTGCATTACACGTGTATTTTATATATATATATATATATATTAGGTTTTATAATTTTTAATTAAAAATAAGAATAAATATTTTTATTAATAATAAATATTTTGTTATACTGAATAAGACTAAATTAAAGATATTAATTTTAAAAATATAAAAAATTTAAATTTAAATTGAATAAAAAAAGTACTCAGTGAAAGAGAAATTATGTAACAATTTTTATTTATGCTAATTCATAAATATCCTCATAAAATTGAGGACTCGTGTTTTATATTCAAAAGATAGATTAGTTTTTATTAGTTGTGAAATTTAAAAGTTTTTTTAAAAATATTTATGATAAATTTAAAGGAAATAAAAATCTTTGAAAGATTCTTAGCTTTTATGCATGCTATTTTTTACTTTTTTTTTTTGGGATCCATTTTCGTTCCTTTGTCATTGTTTATAAATAAACAATTTAAAAATGTTAATTGTAACAATAAATAGATAATAATTAATATTTACGATTTTTTATGTTTATCTTAAAACATTTAAAGGAATAATAAATATTTACAAATTCATAATCTTATAATTATAATTAATTGTTTTAAATGTGTAGTTAATTGCTTAGCAAAATGCTAAAAAAACTTAAAAATACAAAATTGGATGCTAAACTAAGAAACCTATTGATATAATAGTATTACCGTTGATTGTTATCTTAGTGATGATTGAAGAATATAATAATAAATTTAATAACTAGTGATTAACATTTAACTATACAAAAAAATAAGTTTTATGTTTTAAATTTCAAATAAACTGGACACAGAAAGTTCAATATTGATCATTAATCAGCAAAAACATCAATATTATAGAAAAGAAGAAAATTAAAAAAAACTTCCTGAACATGATTTCTGGACCTCATTGATCCAAATGAAAATGGAAAACTTATCAAAAACAAGAAATCTAAATAAAAATTTATAATAAAATAAAATATTTTAACGAAATTTCCGTTTTATAACTTCCTTTAAATATATATATATATAAAAAGTGATTAGTATCATCACGCGAGGAGACATATGGAATTCACTGGAAGTACATCCTTTTTCGAGACAGAAATTACAATTTAAATTAATTAATAAAAAACCAATGGACCACAAATCTTCACGCGCTGTTTATCGCTTGATAAACACTCGCCGCCGTCCAAAGCCGTGGTGGGGCGATTTCTAGTTGCAAAGAAGTAAACTCACTAAATTACCCCTGGAGGCACAAGAAATTTACGAGTTTACCCGTCATTAAATAAATAATGAAATGCCTAAATTAGCCTTTGGACGGAAATCACTTAACGGTGGCCGGTGGAAACTCCGGGCGGCGAGATGGGATCGATATTTTCCTATAAAAGCCCGTCACCACACCCTCTCTTTCCCTCATCAAATTGCATTCTCTTTGTCTCTTTCTCTCTCTAAGTTGCACCTATAGAGCGACCCTCTTCTCTCTTTCTCTTTCTTTATCGTTCCCCTGTGTGCGGAGTGAGAAGAGGTAAATTCTCTCTCTAAGACTAAAATTAATTTTCGATTTTCTTTTTCGCTTTTTAATTTTTTTAAATTTTTTTTAGGGTGGTGATAATTTCAGTGGTGGAAATCTGGGAGGATAGGAAATGAGTTTGGTTGAATAATGGTGAGAGTGAATGAGGATGGGGGTGTTGACTATTTAGATTTGTGCATTATTTGTCTGACGATTTTGATTGGTTGGGTGAATGGACTAGTTGTTTGATCTCTCAACGTGGGGTGTCTGTGACGATAAGATCTTGGTGAAGGGTTTGTGCTGATTGTGGGGATTTGGAATCGTGGTTGATGGATTGGGTGTTGATAAAGTTAGTGACTTGTTGGTGGTTATTGAAACCCTAAATATGGATGGTTGTGCTCACTGGGGTGGAGTTTTGCGGTTTCATGTTTAGTGTCTTGTTTTGGGGTTTGGGGGAGAAATTAGTGGTTCTTTGATCTGAGATGATGTGAGTTGAGGACTGTTTCGTGCTTGTGGTGAAGCTGTGTCTCATTATTGGCTTTGGTGGGATTGGGTTATGCCCCTTGTCATCTCTGATTGTTGAAAGGGGCGCTTTTGTTTGGTGGGTTTATGTTAAATGAGCATTGGATTGTTGATTGAAGTCTGGCTTTTAGCGTCCTTAGCATTGGTTATGTTGTTAAGTTGTTTCTGCTGTTAGGTTTTGATTTGCTATCAGGGGTTTGTTTCCTCTGTTTTGTGTTTTTGTATTTTTGTATTTCTTTAATGTTGATCAATAATTATACATGTTTGAAAACCTACTCATGTAAACAAGTCATTGTTACCAGTAAAGATTCGTAAATTGTTGATTTCCTTCTGTTCAAGGAATTGTGTGTTTGGGTTTGGGGTAGGGGTCAAGTTCCAGGGCTATATTGCATTGAAAATTGTATGTGCTATGGCTTTCTCTGTAAATTCATTTGTTGAGATAATATATTTCATTCCTTTGCTGTGCTTGAAGAATTATCGACCCTGTTTTTTTTCCCCCCCAACTTGCAGATCCATTGTCTTCCCTCATTGTGGGCATGTCATGGATACTGTCTCTTAAAAAGAATAAAATCAACGTGCCTGTGCAACGATTTATTCAGAATTTTGTTTGTATCCTTATGCATATGAGATGGGTTCTCGAGGAAGGCCATTATTTGATCTCAATGAGCCACCTGCTGAGGATAATGATGAGAGAGATGGTAATTTCTGCTTCCAGCCTCTAAGGACACAGCCATCAACAAATCCTTATGTTTCTGACTTATTTGCAGGGTCAACTGCTGCCCAAGGAATAATAAACAATCATGCTTTTTCGCATGCCTCATCTGTCTCTGGATTTCAACCTTTTGTTCGGCCTAAATCCACTAGTGTCCCTGACACAGATACTGAATTGAAGAGAGTGGGAGATCAGGATACAAAGGATTCCTCTAAGTCAAGTAAAGATGAAGATGCAAAAGTGATGGATTCACGGGTACTAAGTTCGGCCAATGCCCAATCTACTGAGAGGGAAGAAGGGGAATGGTCTGACGAGGAGGGCTTTGCTGATGTGAATGGAGGTAAGAATTTGCTACAACAAATTCAAGCTTCAGAAGAGCAAGCAACATCTGGAACGGTGGATGGGGGTGTTGCAGTGGCTTCTGACAGTAAGTCTAGCAATATTAAGAGTTCTAATAGTATAAATCATGAAAAGAGTAGCCATGCTTCTATAGGTCTAGAATCAAATTCTAGTGAACAGAAAAGCAATAGTATCCCAAATTCAGAAAGCAATGTGAAAAATGAAGCTTCTATTGATGCACAGGAGGAACCCACTTTAATTCCCAAGCAAAAAGAAGTGAAAGGAATTGAAGCAAGTCATGCACTTAGGTGTGCAAATAATCCTGGGAAAAGGAAGATTGACCAACGTAAAGAGGAAATGTTGGGAAAGAAACGTAATAGACAGACCATGTTTCTGAATTTGGAAGATGTCAAGCAAGCAGGTCCTATTAAAACCTCAACCCCTAGAAGGCAGACTTTCTCATCCCCTGTCATAAGTCGAACTATAAAGGAAGTTCGCACTATTCCTGCACAAGTTGAGCGTGTTGGATTACCTAAGGATCAGAAACATGTTGATCCATCTTATGGGGAAGGTGGAAACCAAGGTGAAGCACATGAGCCTAAATCTGATTGTAATGGTGATACTTCTGGACTACTACATGTTAGGGCTAGAAGACAAAACAGTGAAACAGAACCTCCTACAGAGGCCAATTTACCACTCATTCCAAGACAGGGTTCATGGAAACAACTGACAGAATCAAGGCAGCAGAAGAGTGTACTTGTTTCTAATAGGAAGTTAGGACCGAGTGGTCTAAGCTCCAATGATGTCAAGTTGGGAAGCAAAAAACAACTTTCTATCAAGAAGCAGGCTCCTGTCAGCAGTCAGTCCCAGGACACATCTGTTGAACGCCTTATAAGGGAGGTGACCAGTGAAAAGTTTTGGCATCACCCAGGTATCAAATAGTAGTAAATTTACCATTAGTGCTAATATATACTGTTAGTGATAAGCTTGTATTTGAATTTTTCTATTTGTTGCCCTTAAGTTGTTTCTGATTTTTCATGTTGTTGCTCCCTTCCTCCAGTTATCACACTATGAGAGTCATAACACTGGAGAGACATGCAAAGGTGATGACAGTTGTTTTTGGAATGAAATTTGATATTGATTTGATAGCTTCCCCTGGTTTACATGATTCTTTATGTAATCCAGTCACCATCATATGCCTCTTTTGTGTTATGGTTCTCAAGTTGGCTTGTTTCTTGAGAAAGAACGAAAGATAACAGGTGGAAGGGTAACCTGGAGATTTATTTCAATTCAGTATATTATCTGCCCTCTTTCTTCATGTTCTTGTTCTATATGTTACTTGGTGGTTTTATTCAATTTGTGGCATTATTTGTTTCTGAGATTTGGATTTGATGAATTCATGCACGTAGTTTTGGACTCTCTAAAAGGATATTACTTATTGTTTGACCATAATATTAATTTTCGACACTAAGTTCAAGAATTGTTATCCAAAAAATTTACAGAACAATTACTTTAGAGATGCACTACTACCACTACACATATGTTCATTAGAAAATGTCATTCTTCCATTCAAATACAGGTTTATTAGAAGATCATTTCATGGATATTACTTATTAGGATCTTTAGCTATTGTGGCTGGATGTATGGTGGTACTATTTTACAATTTGATTGTAGATAAATAATCTGAAATTATTTCTGCACTTTCTGTTATATTCCTTCTGTAATAAAATATCTTAACTTTTTCTCTGCCATGCAAATTATTATGAACACAAGTGATAGAATTTATAAAGATGCCTCAGCTTTTTGCATGGAGGTGCAAGATAGGTTCTTGAAGATTTTTGCATCAATCATAGGAATGTAGACAGCACTTAGCACCAAACTGTTGAAGACTGTTTAATCATCTGCAACATACAAATGCAAAACCTCTTAAAGCTTGAAGAAAATAAAACCAATTCCAGCTATAACATGGATAGAAATGATGGGATTGCATGGTGAAAAAAACCATCTGGAAGATTCTAATATGCATTAATAATGGTATTATGTATCCGGTTCCTAATAATTTGTTTGTTTAAGGCTTTATGTTGCAGTATATTCTGTGTTAGTTGTAAGCTTAAATGCACATGGTGCTAGTAAATTAATTGATGATTACTGCTGTGCTCATTTGTCCTTCTAAATACTGAGTCAATAGGGATATATCCGTTATTTCCCTTGGAAGTTTATTTGTTGTTCATTTATTCTTGTTGGAAACTAATTGAAGATCTTGTGATTCAGAGGAGACTGAGCTACAATGTGTTCCTGGACGGTTTGAATCACTGGAAGAGTATGTTAGAGTATTTGAGCCTTTGCTTTTTGAAGAATGCCGGGCTCAACTTTACAGTACCTGGGAAGAATCAACAGAAACAGTGTCAAGAGATACTCATATTATGGTGCGAGTGAAGGCAAATGAGTCAAGAGAAAGAGGTATTCTTATACTTTTAATTGTTTCTTTTGTGTTAGATATACATTTTATTTCTTTTGCTCAGCAATATGACTGTGCTGTGGACTGCTACGTATTTATTAAATACTCCATCTTTGTCTCCCAAGTACATGGAATTTAATTTTCTATTGTTTTGTTTGTAATTTTCTGGGGGTATTTTAACAACTGTGTCTCTTGGGTATTTTGTTTGTAATTTATTTGTTTTTTGTTAATATGTGGGGTTTAATTTATCTGAGTCTCTTTCTTAGGTTGGTATGATGTGAAAGTCCTTCCAGTACACGAATTCAAATGGTCATTTAAGGAGGGTGATGTTGCAATCCTTTCGTCCCCTAGGCCTGGATCAGGTTTGTTGTAAAACTAGTTCAAGATTGTTTGTCCTAATAATTCTTCTGTAGTTCAATTGGGTTGATACTTTTGTTATGCAAGCAGTCAGATCCAAGCAGAACAGTTCATCTTTAAGTCAGGATGATGGGGAATCAGAAATCACTGGTCGAGTGGTCGGTACAGTTAGGCGTCACTCACCTATTGATACTCGAGATCCTCCTGGTGCAATTCTCCATTACTATGTTGGAGACTCTTATGATTCCAGCAGGTAAGTGTTTGTTCAAAATTTCCCAGTAAAGCCCCCATTTAATGGTTTTGTCCATTAAACTTAGATAATATTGTTCTTTCCTGCAGGGTTGATGATGATCACATCATAAGAAAACTTCAAAGTGGAAGCATCTGGTATTTGACAGTGCTTGGTTCTCTTGCTACCACACAGAGGGAGTATATTGCTCTACATGCATTTCGTCGCTTAAATGTGCAGGTATATGCTGAAACTGATTCTTATATTAGGTAGTGTCATGGATTTGCAATTCTTACTAATTTCTTACTTTGCAGATGCAAACTGCAATCCTTCAGCCTAGTCCTGAACACTTTCCTAAATATGAGCAACAGACCCCAGCCATGCCTGAATGCTTCACACAAAACTTTGTTGAGTATCTGCGCAGAACCTTCAATGAACCCCAGCTGGCAGCAATCCAATGGGCAGCTATGCATACAGCTGCTGGTACAAGTAGTGGGACAACAAAAAGACAAGAACCTTGGCCGTTTACCCTTGTTCAAGGACCTCCCGGAACAGGAAAAACACATACGGTATGGGGAATGTTGAATGTAATTCACCTTGTGCAGTATCAGCACTACTACACCTCTTTACTTAAACATGTAGCCCCTGAAAGCTACAAGCAAGTCAACGAGATCAATTCAGAGAATGCCCCCACTGGATCCATTGATGAAGTTCTTCAAAATATGGACCAGAATCTCTTACGAACTTTGCCTAAACTGGTCCCAAAACCAAGAATGTTGGTTTGTGCCCCATCTAATGCTGCCACTGACGAGCTTCTGGCCCGTGTCCTTGATCGAGGATTTATTGATGGAGAGATGAAAGTATACCGACCTGATGTCGCTCGAGTTGGGGTTGATTCTCAGACACGCGCTGCCCAAGCAGTTTCTGTCGAGCGTAGAACTGAACAGCTTCTTGTTAAGAGTCGGGAAGAAATTTTGGGGTGGATGCATCAGTTAAAAACTCGTGAGGCGCATATGACTCAGCAATTACACTGTCTTCATAGAGAACTAAATGCTGCTGCTGCCGCTGTTCGTTCCCAAGGATCTGTTGGTGTTGATCCTGACCTTCTCATGGCCCGAGACCAGAATCGAGATGCTTTGCTACAAAACCTTGCTGCTATGGTTGAGAACAGGGATAAGGTTCTGGTTGAGATGTCTCGGCTTGCCCTTTTGGAAAGTAGGTTCCGTCCTGGTAGTGGTTTTAATTTGGAAGAGGCTCGTGCTAGTTTGGAGGCCAGTTTTGCTAATGAAGCTGAGATAGTCTTCACTACAGTTTCTAGCAGTGGCCGCAAGTTGTTTTCTCGTCTTTCCCATGGTTTTGATATGGTAGTCATTGATGAAGCAGCCCAAGCCAGTGAGGTGGCAGTCCTGCCTCCCCTCTCTCTTGGGGCAGCAAGATGTGTTCTTGTTGGAGATCCTCAGCAACTTCCGGCTACAGTTATAAGCAAGGCTGCAGGAACATTGATGTACAGTAGAAGTCTTTTTGAAAGGTTCCAACAAGCAGGGTGCCCGACAATGTTGTTGTCTGTGCAGTATAGAATGCATCCCCAAATTCGGGATTTCCCTTCCAGGTACTTCTATCAGGGGCGCCTCACTGATAGTGAAAGTGTGGCTAAATTGCCTGATGAGCCATACTACAAGGACCCTTTACTTAGACCTTATTTATTCTATGATATCAGACATGGGCGAGAATCTCACAGGGGTGGATCAGTCTCTTATCAAAACATACATGAAGCACAATTTTGTCTCCGATTATACGAGCATGTTCAGAAAACATTGAAATCTTTGGGATTAGGAAAGATTACTGTTGGCATAATTACTCCTTATAAGCTGCAGTTGAAGTGCCTCCAACGTGAGTTTGAGGAAGTCTTAAATTCCGAAGAAGGGAAGGATCTATATATCAATACAGTTGATGCTTTCCAAGGTCAAGAACGTGATGTGATTATTATGTCTTGTGTGCGTGCATCAAGTCATGGGGTTGGCTTTGTTGCAGATATACGAAGAATGAATGTTGCCCTTACACGAGCAAGAAGGGCCCTTTGGGTAAGGATATCTTTCTAATGCTATCTTCATTGATAAATTTATGTCCGTGTTTATTACATTGACAGGGGGACTTTTTGGTTGGTATTGATGGTTTGTTATCATTGACAGGTCATGGGAAATGCGAATGCTCTGGTGCAATCTGACGATTGGGCTGCATTGATTGCTGATGCAAAATCTCGAAATTGCTACATGGACATGGACTCCCTTCCTAAGGACTTTCTAGCGTCCAAGGGACTGTCTTACACACCATTGCTTAATAAGGCTTCCTCGAATATGAGGGGCTTGAGATCAGCTGGACCAAGATATAGATCAATGGATATGCATATGGAATCCAGGTTGGGAGCACCGTCTGAAGATGATGAGAAGATGGGTGCTCCAGTAAGCTCCAGAAACGGGAACCATCGTCCATCAAGGTATTCCATGGAGAATTCGTTAGATGATTTTGATCACATGGGTGACAGAACCAGAGATGCCTGGCAGTATGGTATAAAGAAGCAGAATTCCACCGGAGCTATGGGAAAGAGAGACATATAAACCATTGCTTATCTGCAGATTCTTCGTGTGCATCACTGGGGGAGATTCGTGGGCTGTTTGATATCCTTGTGATCTCCCCCTATCGAAGGCCCTCGGTCAACGAATATGGGGCTTTCGGCGAAGCTGTATGAGCCACAAGATAAACAACCTTGGAAGAGGGGGAAGCATGCAATGTGGATGAACCTACTTTCTTTACATTGGACATATCGTTGTGTTGGTTCTTACAAATATTGTTTGGGGGAAGACTGCAGACATATGCCAGTCCTCGTTCATGTGGTGTGAATGGGAGCAACCTGCTTGAAGGGCAGGCGGGGGAATACTCAATTTTGTATCAAAATGAAAGGAAAATACATGATGATGATTTTAGGGATATCTAAGGAGGCACTTTGCTGTCAACTACTGACTTTGTACATAACATGGCTTCACAACATTGTTTTAGCAAATTGTTTGTGTTTCATTATTTCATGACAAGCGGAAGTGTTCACTTCCACAGGAGAAGGAAAAGGAAATAGAAGGGTTACCCAATCTCTTATATTACTTCCTATACGCGGAATGTGCTTGTATGGATGGAAACTATCATTTATTTATTTATTTATTTATTTTGTTCAAGTCTTCTTCTATCTTAGAAAAAGTTACTCAAGATACAATCAACATCAACATTTGTATGCTCTCATGAGATGCTGGCTTGGGTGGTAGGTAGGAGTCTTTGCCTGGCATATGGTAACTGGATTTAGACCCAAAAAAAAGTACCTATGATGGGAGCGAAATTATCCCCTAAATGAGAGTCTATACTCACACGAGTATTTATTTGTAATTATTTTTATTAAGATAGGTGCAGATATCCATAGAATATGAGGATGGATATTAAATTTGTTTCTCGCGCAAACATGAACTGGAACACAAATATTTCGTTTAAAATACAGCTATAAACAGACATACTAAAATATCTTAATAAACCTTATGCCATCTCTATCTTCACCCGATGATAACACTCAAGATTCTCAAGTCGCAGACCTTTGAATACAAAATCACACTTATCAATATATTTTTTTCAAAGCAAAAGTTTCTTACTTCGATGAAATGGTAGTCGTTCATACGGGCACTAATTAAATTAAAGAAACATTCGACACTTTCCTAATTTTTTATGAAAGAAAGGGGTACAGAGAAAATTATAGACTATCAAGACATTAACTAACATCACTTGGGACACCTCAGAAGGATAAGACTCATAACTAACTTTGGCTCATAAACATTTGATGCAATTTAATTAATGTTGAGAAATGTAGATGAAAAGAATTTCAGATCCATGTGGCATGCAGGCTTCACTATTTGTAGGGCATGCTAGATCCTTAGTATACCGTTAAATATGCTTTTACAGCAAATACAAAAATTAGGAGATGCGTTCGTTAATTGTCTGTAAAGAGTAACATTAATAAACATATCATGTTATTATTTTCATATATCATCATTATAATTTTAAATAAATTTTCTAAGAATATACTATGTATAATAAATTTTTATTAATAATAACGTTTAATAAAAACAATTATTTATCAATTTCTTATTACGTGACATTAAATAGATATTTAAAAAAACTGAATTTTAAAAGCCGATATTATTGTTTTAATACATAAAGATTTTTTAATACCATCAAAACGGGGGTGGCAATCGCATTAGAATTTACTGTCCCTCCTTACATTTACATACCCACTGGTATACAGTATAAGCATATCTATATCTACGTATAAAGTACAATGTGAATGCATTAAAGGAGAGAAGCTGGCGTAGAAATACTATAGACTACCAAATACGAATAAAAATGAAATACAAAAATGGTGGTGCAAAATACAAGACAAGGGCACGTGTTGGAATGACATTATTTGTTAAATAATATAATGAGGTGGCACATGTCTCAGCGCGTGCACACCAATGTCACAAACCAAGTAATTTCATAGGCGGCTTCATGTTCAAACTTCACACTTCTGAACTTCAATGTTCGATTCGGAGATATGGTATCAAATATAATAATAGTGCCTCATTTTCTATCTCATTAGGGTGGCTATATAATACTATATCTACTACTTTTGGTTGGTACATTCTAAACCAAAAGTTTATTTAATCATCTCCACACAATACACTCTAATGTTTAGGGGTTCTGACATTTTTTTTTCATTTGTTGTTTTTATGAATTAAAAGGTCTTTATCTTCATTTTTTTAAAAAATTTACTCAATACAGTTCTACATTCATCTACATATGTTTAATAGTATGTTATTTTAGCAATATATATTGGAAATATATATGAAATAAGTAACATGTTTTCGAATTTTTTTCCCTTTTGAATCAATTAATCCGATAATTTTGCAAAATTTTGTAAATGACGAGACACTCTATTGCCATTTTGGTTAATTAGTCAACGTTAAAATAGTATGATAATGATCTCAATTATAAACATAAATTAGAGATACATTTCTTTAAACTTTTTCTCCGCTGAAAATAATTATATTTTCAAGACATATTACTTTAATTGGTGTTTTACTGTTTTAGTAATTTTCACGTTTTTCTAAATAAATAACTTATTAATTATTTTATATTTTCAATTCTTTTCTTGAACATCAATTTTTTATTAAAAATATTATTATTATGTTGGTTTTTTTCTACAAATTTTAGAAGCGTATACGTGAATTCTTTTTAGTTTCTTTTTTTATATTTTTAAGCCGCTCCATTTTTATATATTAAACTAGAACCCACTATCTTGAGTGTGATTTACTGACTCGTGGAGAGTACGAATTGGCAACTTCATCGATAAGAATCAATGTTTTTATGTTTAAAATATTAGAAAATAAAATCAAACAATAAAATATTATAACAAAGTCAACACGTTAGCATCTTTGGAAATTTTCAGGCAATATAATATTTTCTTAGTTACATTTATTTTATTACATATCTAAAGTCCCAACAGAACCCTCAACAACTAAGAAAATCACGGCGTGAAGACACTTCCCAATTTTGTGGTAACCCTAAGATCTCGAATCAGAATCTTTAATTCCCAATTTTTTCACTTCAAATGTTGAATCGTTCACTGTGTGTTGCATGCTTTTGCATGTCCAATGGAAAACGCCTTAGTTTTCAAGCCAATATTCATACCTCATAAACCAAAAAAATAACACAAGATGAAAGCCTGAAGCTAAATAAGCTTAGCTAGTGTTGACAAAATTATGTTTTATATCAAATTACAAATATACATAATACATGCATATAATTTATTATTAATTTTATATCCTACGAGACGTATAATATAATCATTTATTTGTTATTTTATTTAATATATTATAAATATCAAAAACATAAATTTTACAGTTAATTATGTTTAAGCCAATAAATTATATATTTAAAGAGGGTTAAGAACACACCATCAATCTAAGAATAAGAATGGGTGCAATTCACATAATTTTTATAACATTCCACGTATTAGTTTGATTGGAGTTTACTGCAAGTGTTCAACGTGGAAGCTCTGTACTTTTCCGCCATTGGAGGACGCAACAATCATGCAATTAAAGACGTAATGCTACAAAAATTTATCTATTACTTATTGTTGACTGCGACACTATTCAATGTGTCAATCAACTATTCAATCTCTCAATTTTGTAACCCACATTTAGGTATGAATATATTATATCCATTTTCATAAAATTTCAATAATTTAATGTTTTAAGATTTTTTTATATAAAAAGTTTATATAAATTCTATTTCATTTGATGAGGCTTCCCTCGCTAAACATTTGTCAATATAAAAATTGTAAATTCAATGTGTACTGTAAGAAATTTTAATTATTTGATATAAATTATACTTGGCCACTGGGCCTCATTTTGTAACATAAAGCCCTAAATGGGAGGCCAAGCCGAAAGCCCAAATAGGGTAAATGCCACTCATTGGATTTGCATGTAATCTAACGGCCAGAATTGTGTCACTTTTTTTCTCCAAGAAACGGCCACTGATATATTAAAAGTTCATGTTAATCTTAAAAAATTGGTAAGAACAATTAAAATTAAATATTAAGTTAAAATATATTAAAAATCATATAATCATGCATTGATAATATTTTTTGACTTAAATTCTTAATTAGCATTTACCCATACCAAAGTAATATTTAAAGTTAAAAAAATATCAGAAATTAAAATAACCATCATTTTATAACGTCCGAACACAATAATAAATAGCCCAATATCAATTGTGATATTTCGGTTATTTATTAATAAGTTTGGTTATGCCTCGGTGAATTTTAAAATTTGAATTCAAAATTATAAGTTAAATTAAAATAGTTATTAAGCTAATTCTATTGTATTAATTAAAATTAAAATTTAAAATGGTACTTGTTATAATGCTCTTAAATTTAAGGATATATTAAAATATTCTCTCTAAATTATACTAAAATATTGTGTATAAAAAAAATATTAAAATATTTATATTTTTAAAAATATATCACTAATTTTATCACGTTGTTTCACATATATATATATATGAGAGCATAAAATACTCTTTTATTTTTCAGAACATCATAAAATTTATTATTAAATTAAAATAATCTTTTATCAATTAATATACATGTTTAGTATACTTTAATTTATATATATATATATATATATATATTATTAATCTTAATATTATATTTTTAATACAAATTTATTTATAATTTTTTTTACATGTTTAAGGACATATATTAAAAAATTATCAAAATATACTAATAATGTAATAATTGTTTACACTATTATCTAATAATAAATTATTATAATTTTTTTTTACTTTTGAAATAACTAATATAAAAGTTATATTTATTATGTATTTTAATCGATTAAAAGCACGAGTCTTTATGCACTAAGCTGTAATTATTATTATATAAATGATTTTAAAAGTAATGACTAAGCTGTAATTACAGGGGGTATCTAGTGGGACCATGTTCTATGGCATATTGTATATCATCTCTTCTCCTTGCATTTTTCTCCATGATTTCAGGGCCTTCTCACTTCAGCCCTCAACCCCATATTCCATTCTTTCTTTTTCCCTAGATTTCTCCCCCAAAAAATTTCTCTTTTTCCCTCAATTCAAACAAAATTCCAATTTTCCCCCCTCTCCTTTTGACGTCACCCATCGCACACAACTGGGATGCTCCACTTTGTCAAGGTAAGATCACATTCCTGAGTTGTTGAAAAAGTTTCCCTCTTTTTCTGCCTCCATTTTAGATGCCCTTTCGTTTCTGGTTCTCATGGGTATGCCTGTTTCATCCTTCAATTATGTTTAATTTCAATTGCACAATTGAAAAAAAAAAGTTTATTTTTTATTAAATGATTTTTTTACCTTATTCATAAATGGGTTTGTGTTATATTATTGGAAAGGAAGACTCATTGACTTGGCCTTTTGGATTCCCACTACTGGGTTGGTGTTTGTGTTATGTGTGTTACTGTGTCGTGTTTTGTACCATTTTGATTTCATTGGTAGCAGTAAAAAGAAAAGGTTCTTTCTTGTGGTAAAGGGTGTATTGCTTTAAGTCACTGAGTGAGAGGAAAAAAGTGTTTCTTGCTGTTGATGTCTTTTGATTGGTCTCTGGAATCTTATGCAAACCCTTCCTTCCTCTTTGCTTGGTTGGTTTTGCTTAGGAGATAGAGGAAAGAATAGGTAAAAGTGTGTGTGTTGATTGTGTTTCCCAAAAATCCTGTTTCAACTGAGTCAACCTTTTGAATTGCTTTTCTCATCTGCAATCAGATAGGTTATGCATCCTTCCCAGCTGCGTCTTTTTAGTTTCTTCTTTATATTTTGTAAGAATTATCACTTTTTTTTGTCTTCTGTTCTTATTGGTAAGGGTTTTTAACTTTTCATTTATTTGTTACTGTTTGTTGTTATTATTATTTTTTTGCAGGATTATTTGTTAATTGAATCCTAAGTGTGATTGAAATGGACGGTGATATATTTGGAGATATCGGTAATTCAACTCAAGTAGATAGCAGACTTTTACAGGTATTTCAGAAGAGCTTATTGCAGGCTCAAGATATTTTGAATCAGAACCGAATTCTAATCAATGAGATAAACCAAAATCATGAGTCCAAGATGCCCGATAATCTGAGTCGAAATGTGGGTTTGATTAGAGAGCTCAATAGCAATATCAGAAGGGTGGTAGATCTCTATGCTGATCTTTCTAATTCTTTTACTAAGTCCCGCGAAGCGTCATCAGAAGGCGACTCCAGTGGGACTCTGAAGTCTGATGGAAAAGTCAACCAGAAGAGAATTCGATCCAGCTAATTGATTGAATTTGAGCTTTCAGTTTTCGTGCAATCAAGAAGTTTATTCTGATGCTGGAAAGCATTTGTTTGGTAGACTGTGTAACAACTCCAAAGTTTTTTTGTGCCAAATCTTTCAAATTGGTTTTGTCTAGAAGGATTAGAACTTTAGTTATCATCTGATCTATAAAAATAGCATCAATTTGAGGACTATACAATTGTGATTTCGTGTAACTTTGTTAGCTTCATGAAATGAAGCATGTTCATGGATCATGTAATCAAGTTTCCAAGTTTGAACTTCTTGGATCTACTGATATTTAGTGGTAAGTTTTGGATGATTATTTAGTTGTTGATCCTTTTGATCTTTTGGTTATTGCTTGTTGCTTTTCCCTTTGGTTCTGTATTGGATATTAGATGCCTGAGATCCCATAACTAACACTTGCTGCTTAATAAATGTAATCATTTATTGATGATTGTGATCTTTCAATGAGGATTAAAAAGTAGAGTTTATATGCTGGCAATGATTTGCTTATCTGTTTTCCTTATCTTCATGTCTAGGAGGGGAAGAAAGAGCAAGTTCAATAGTATTATAGAATAATGACTTTTTGAGATATAGTTCATCATATTGAGATGTTTGGTTTGCAATGAAAGAAAGCGACCATGGGTGACTTATTCGACCCAATTCACCAAACACGATATGAACCAGTCTTTGTTCCTAATCACATCAAGTATAATTGGAATTCTTTGATATGAACACTTCTATTGGCTTTTTGGGTTGGATAATGTAAGAATACTTATATTTTCACACCCACTTTCCCTTATATTCTTCTCCATTTTCTTTTCTCTATCTCTCTCTTTTTCTTATATCTTTTACTTTTATTTTTCTTCATATCTCTTTCTTCCTTCATGCATTTCTCACCCCATAAAAAGGGTGTGAACAAGTCATTTTCCATTATGTAACTGGCATAATGGTTACAGAGAGAATACTAAAATAATGAATAGTGGCATTCTGCCGAACTATGAAAAGTAGCAATAATTGACTTGTAGGCAGGGGAGATGATATTCCTGAACTCTTTATTTGGAGGCTCATTTGATGCTGAGAGCCTAGGATCCATCCATATACACATTTTTTAAGATAAAGAGCTTTAGAGTGAGTTAAAAAAAGAAAAAGAAAAAGAGCTTTATTGTAATTTAAATTATATTTTAATTCTTATAATTTTGACTTGTCTAGGTTTTGGTGTTTATAGTATTTTCAGGTTCCATTTTTTAAAAAAAATGTCTATGGTTTCAGTATCAGTTATTTAACAATTAGTATGGTTATTGTTGTTTACTACAAGTGGCAAGTGGCATCCTCAATGTTCATGATTGGCATCCGTGGTTAAAGAAAGGCTCAACATCCATGATTAAAGACTAATGCAAGCATTCGTGGCTGATGGAAATTCAATGTCCATGATTTGTGATTATTACAAGCATCCATGGCTAATGGAGCTCAGTATGAATAATGCAAACCTTCATAATATATGAACCAAAAAAACTTCTAAATGAATAGATAAATGAAAAATATCTTTAAAAAATCGATAGATAATAGAAACCGGAGAAAATAAAGCAAGCATTTGGACTTGTGCATAATTAATGACCACTTATGTCAATAAATATGTGAAAAACTGAGTGGGTGACAAAATTGAGAAATATATTGAAAAAAAAAAAGTAGAAAAAAAATGATAAAACTTATATAGCGCCTTAGTTATTTTAAGCATTATTTTTAATCAAAATTAAAATTCTATTTCAATTAGTAATGCTAACTTTTATGGTACAAGAAAATTAATTTTGATTTGAAAATAATTCTAAGAGTAGATAAAATAGTTTACTTATGTTTTGTGCCAAAATAAAAGGTGTTTGTTCACACTCCCCCCCCCCCCCCCCCCGGGACCTGGTCCACTCAAAACAGTTGTGGAAGTGTGCCGCACTGATCCTAAAGTACAACTAATACTCATATACTTGCGAGAAAAAAATGGTACCAAAGACTTGAATCCAAATGTCGATTAAAAAAAATGTTGATCAATCAATAATGGATGACCTTTTTATGTTGTTTAATCAAGTTTTTTTCCCTCTCATTTTTAGTTCAAAGGTCAGGCATTGGTGAAAAAAGTAAAATGACACGATTTTCGAGAAAAAAAAAAAGACCTAAAGAAACTTTTAAAAATCATTATTAAAAAAATTAATCTTTAGCTTAATTGTTGTCTCTCACCCATTTTTGTTTTGGCCAAAGACAAGGTGGGAAACAAAGAAATGAAAGAAAATTGCTGGGTCATTTTTATTCTATAAAATTGCAAGCAATTTTCTCAGTATTAGATATTGTAGTTAGAACAGTCGATTGATTTGGATGAGGTAGTAAAGCCGTGATGAACACGCGATTAAGAGTTTAATCCAAAGAAATAATTTATTATTCTTACTGTGAGGCCACGGGAAGAGGGATTTGTGTCAACTTGCAGTCGCCAAAACAAGGCTATATGTTACTATACTGTAAATTATTTGGTTTAGGCAAACATTAGGAAATTAATAGCATGTTTGGTATTGCTTTTTGTTTTCAAAACCTCCCTCGGAAAATCAACAAAAATGTAATCCAAATTAGTTAAACTAAACACACACCAAGAGTCTACTAGCATATGTTAAAACAAGGAAATAACGAACAAGTCAATTTTCAAGATGCATAACCTGTTTCCTTTACTTTATATTTCTCTTGGAAGTCATAGATGGACACTTTCTTATTCATTAAACTATTGTCTAAAGAGGGATTACAACACATGGGTGACAAAAAACATAGGAGCCTCACTTAGTAAGTGCTGAGGAGGAACATTCAATCCTATGTTGCAAGACCAATCAAGAGAAGATCTTTGCTTCTGAATGTATCATCAGCCTGTAGCCATTTTTCTCATTCACCTTGTAAATCAATGAAATCATAGGCATTGTCATATAATTATGTCTTCAGAGGTGCCTTCTTCTCTCTGTCAGATATCCGAGCAGGTGCTGTGGAATGTGACTTAAATCGACCCCTTCCTCCCTCTTCTTTTTCCTGGAGGATGAAGATATCATGGTCAATCTCTCAACACGACAAATATACATGTGTTCAGCCACAGCAAGTGAAGGACAGAATTTGGACAACGATGTATCAATCATTCAGACAACAGACAACAAGATTATTAAGGGTGGCTTTGCTGACCTTTTTCTTAACAATCTGAACCACATCCTCATCGCGAAGATTATGACTAAGGCCACAATGTTGTGGGTAGTGCCTTGCACTTGTACCCCAGACCAGAACATACTTCACATCCTTCACCAAACTTCTGTGTATGTGGTTGCAGAAGTCTTCTACAGTGCAGCCACCTCTATCCTAAAACAGTTTTCCAAATAAAGTGATATCTCTGTGAAGGATTAGAAGATTTAAAAAAAAAGCCAAAGGTTCTCAAAATAGTTAAAAAGAATACAGGACACTGGTTCATAATAAGCACAATGATATGCAACATACAGCAGAAAGAACCACAGGATCACTGAAATCAGGTTGCTGGCCTTGCGGTTTTGTGTAAACTCTAACCAGACCCATTTCATCCCACATCCTCGAAAGTAGTCTATCTAAGTTCAGCTGTTTACAAGAAGACATTACAAAAAGAGTGACATTAAAATAAAGTATTGCGTCAAGAAACATACATTCTAGAATATTTAAAAAAATATAATAATTTCTGAAACTTTATTGTATCTCATATTCTTCTTTTGACACTGAAAATATTAACTTACCTTCAAATTGCAGCTAATGACAACCGAATTAGGTTGCCGGGCTAATCTGTCCACATCATCAATACCAACCACATCTATCTTGTTGTAGACATATATACACTTCATGTATTTCCGGTTACCTTCAATGACATCTATGAGATCATCCACTGTAGCATCCTCACGAAAAAGGACCTAAATTAAAGTCGTCAGCAAACTCCCTTGACATAGGTAGGTAACAGAAAACAGAGGCTTAATTATATTATAGTACATGTAGTGATGGAAATTACAAAATTTATCAAGATGCTCAGGTTCCATCACTGATAAAAGCCAGTTGTATCATGACTAACCTAGACAGGTCAATGCTTTTATTATATCCTCAAAAAGTTCCAGTCTGCTATCGATAATCACAGTTTCATCAATATGAAACCTAATCTCTAACTAGAAAGATGATGATAGAAAGGAATACATGATATCAAGGATTAAACTAAGCAGCAATACAGAAACAGAATATGAGAATAGGATGCTCCTGTTATTGTGTATTGAATGGCAACAAAGAAAAAGAGAGAATTCACCTCCAAACTGCTATCTAACTAGGTTTTATAATCTATAAAATAATAGTATATGGAAAACAAAGCATACATCACCGACAAGCCAAGCATCCCCAAGTCACTACACTAGCTTCGCTGGATTTAAACATATGGAAGTATTAAAAATGAAAATTTAACATTATTCACAATTACAACTGCATAATTATTATTACAATATCTCATCATTACAGGTCCCTGTAAATGAACTGCAACTGACTTGACTTTAAAATCTGCTATATACCTCTGCATTGTGGATCTTGTATTCATGCAGAATCTGATAACAAAGCTTCTCATCCACATGAGTCAAAGGCAAAGTGCTGTTGAATGAAATGCCGCCTGTCTTTTTCTTTTTAAAATATATCTGCCAATGAATATAAAGCTCCAAATTAATGAGGAAGTGATGACAAAAATTATATAAATCCAACTCAGACCTATATGCCACACATAAATATATGCTTCATGTCATGTACCCCAAAATATCCTTTGGGGCAAAAACTTACCTGAGGAGGTCTTTTGTTTAACCGTAAACCCACAGCTTCCAGCTCCTTGGTCAATATTTGCCTATGACCCTCACTCTTACACATGACAAGAAAATTGAAAGTGTTGCAATTCACAATTAGATAAATTCTACAGCTAATATATCCAAAATCCAAATAGTTTGAAGCAATAACATGAGAACCATGGATTCAGAACAAAAAAAAAAAAAAAACAGATCACAAAATTCAGAGCAAACACACAAGCATTGTGGAATGAAAACATATTCTTTTCATGGTAGGAGGCCTGCTGCAGGAATGAAAAGTAAAAGGGGAAGATGAAAACACGTTGAACTCACACTAAGCACTTAATAAGTGGAGCAGGAATTTAGAAACATGGTCCATTAATATAATAATCTTATGTAAGAGGGTAAGAGTTATGCAAGTGAATTTATATTTACAAAGAAAAGTAATTATAGGAAAATATTATATAATGAAAAGGCAACTACTTTAGTTCCTATTCGTGTTTGAAGAGTGTCTTTAATGATAATGTCCAACGGACTCACTATTTTAGCTGCTTATTATCCCTAGTCAGAATACTAATTTACTGCAACAACAAAACATATTATTTTATCAACTAGCAATGCTAACAACATGAATAGGGAAAGACTGCATTAGAAAATGAAAAATGACACTTACTTTGGAGGCATCAAGAACCATCAATACTATGTCCGAAGATTTAGCAACAGCAATAACCTGAGAAAGCATTTACAAAACAACATTCTTCCAATGTTAATAATGACAAAGCCATGTTTACCAAAGCCTACTACAGGAATGATAGAAAGAAGCAATTTTAGTTTAACCTGTCTCCCACGTCCCTTGCCTTCAGAAGCACCCTCAATAATTCCAGGAAGATCAAGCAACTGAATTTTGGTATCATTATAGTTTATAATCCCAGGAATACAGGTCAAAGTGGTGAACTCATAAGATGCAGATTCTGAATGTGTGCCCGTTAACATTGTCAAAAGAGTAGACTTTCCCACACTGGAACATGAAAAGGAAAAATCCAGAAAGGGTTAACATTTTAATCAGGGTCACCTAAAGAATGAAGACACATTACACATACAGACATTCAAGAAATAAAACCCAATACAAACGTTCTATAATCAAGTTAGACAATGGTAGTAAATAAAATACATTGATCATTAAAATTAATAGGGAAGAGTTATTTTAGAAGCCAGACCTTGGAAATCCAATCAGTGCAACTCGTCCATGACCAAATTTTGTAACTTCAAATCCCTCTCCACCTCCACTGGAACCCTATTACATATATTGATAACAGAAAGACAATAAAACCATGTATCGAACATGCATATGAACTTAAACCAAAAATCACCAAGTTAAAAGGACAATTGTCATTCAATAATCAGTTAAGAGAATCTAAACATACTAAAAAATTAAAATTAAAAAAAAAACCAGCATCAATCAACACAAAATATGGAACTTAAATTACACAAAAAATAAAATGACATAAACAGTAACTATATAAGTGCATACTTTCGGAGGCTCCAATAATTGTGTCCTCAGTTTTGCTATCTTTGCCTTAAGCTGCCCAAGATGGTACTCTGCACAACACACAAATTCAAATGCATTCATAATCATGAAAATATCAAACACAAAAAGACATGGCTGATAAACCTGAACTCAAAATTTGACCATCAATTTAAAAAGTGGGAAAAATAACAAACACCCAACAAAAAAAAATCACATTATTTGGCAACTATATGGTTATTAGAATAAAAAAAGTAAAAAAGAGATAGAGGGTAGGGGAGGGAAGGAGTACCAGTGGCTTTATTTTTCTGGGTCCGAGCCATCTCGGCTTCAATTTCTTTGATCTTCTCAATGATACCCATTTTGCCTTGTAATGAACAAAGGGGTGGGTAATCAGCGAAGCTAAAGCAGAATAATTTTCAAAACTAAGAAGAAAAAGAAGGTACGATCTTTGCTCCCCGGAACACAGTAAAGAGAGAAGAGTAGGTCTCAGAAGGAAGAAGATTGATTCAAGCATTTGGTTTGGGCCCAGCTCTAATATCCTCTTCGGCCCAGTTACTCTAAATACTACCTTCACCAAAATAAAAACAAAATATATTTTACGATAATCTCTTATTTAAATATTTATTTAATAATTTTTTGAAAATTAAAATTTATACTATAAAATTAATAATATAAATTAAAAATAATTTATTTCAATAAAAAATACCAAAAAATTAAAATAAACTAAAAAAATTTTATAATTCTTAAAAAACAGGTACATTAAATGAATAATGAATATTTTAATTTAAGGTTGATAGCAAATTGTTCCTATCTAATTAATAATTTTGAGTTTGTCTTAAGAAAATAGTTGTATTAAATTTTAGTAACGAGAAATTTATTATATCTAAAAACTTAATTGGAGACTTAAATTCAAATAAGATGAATTAAGAATATGTATTTCTTGTGTAAAAAAATTATAAACAATGAGCTTGTATCCAAATAAATGTATTCTAATTTAAAATATAAAGATAAATTCATTTTTATATTGTAACATATTTAGGTTGTAATCTAAAAAGAGAGTTAGATTGAAGTTTTTAAAATATTTATATTTATAATATTTTCTGTATAAAATTAGAGTCCTAGTGAATAAAAGCTATATTAGAAATATAAAACTTAATGCAGATGGCCCGATTCTTAAATTTCAACTCCTTTTCTCTTTTAAATTTTATTGTGATTCGTGTTTCAAAGAAAACTGGAAAGAATTAAAACTAATGCAGAGTAACAAGCTACTTATATTATGAGTTTATAACTACATTTTATTATATTGGTGTCTATTATTGCACTGTTATAGATCAGCTTATTATGAATGATGACTTGTTTTTGTCATGATCAGAATTATAAATTCATGACTTAAATCAAATAGGCCTATAAAATATTGCAATTACATATTAAACTTTTCATAAATACCAAAGTAACTACTGTAAGGTCTAAAATACAATTTCATGTTAAATACTCTATACTTTAAATTTATGAATAATCAAATGCAATAAACTTGAGCTGAGCTTCGATGGCAATTGATAATAATTCATGTCTTACAGAAAACCCTTGTTATAGAAATACCATATTATATTCAAATATAAAGACTGCATGATAATAATCTCTCTGTACATAATTAGCATATTATTTTGTACACATGGTTATAAAAGTAAATACCTAAATTCATTTGATATATAACACATCAATTTAACTATTTTTCTCTTAGTATTAATAAATTTAATATTTATTTCTTATAAATAACATCAAAAGTAGTATATTTTTTTTTAGGATTGATTCATTTTAAAAAAAAATTAAAATATCTATCTCAAAAATGAACTGCCTTTCAAAATTTATTTTAATATTTAGAAAAACCAATTACAAACAACACATTCTTAACATTTTCTAATATTACATTTTTAAAACTAAGTAATCCATTAAAATAGTAAAAGTACTAATTCACAGTTTATTAATTTAATCACAATTAAACCAGAATTAGACAAATAATAATAAAACATTTTTTAACATAAAATAATAAATGGATGTAAAACCATATAGATAATAAAATAATTAAAATTTCAAATTAACATATAAAATTTGACCAATTTCTACTCTTACCAATATTTTGGATTGTCCAACTAAATAACCTGACTAATTTCCTAAATAAGGTTGTTACGATGATTTGTTGTTCAGTATCAAAGATTTAACTTTCGGAGCATTAGAACAGAAAAACAAAACAAGTATATTGCTAACATCAAGGTATATTACTAAGACAAAATTTACAAACATAAAAATAGCTATCACGAAGAAGTGACATGATTGTAAACAACGTTTTGAGTGCATTAAACATCTAACGAATTTCTCAACTGTCTACAAGATTTGCAACTACTCTTCTATGCATAAAAGAAAGGATCGGTTTAAGAAAGTGCAGAACTTAGTTATTTATTTTTGTTGCATTGGGTGATAAGTAATTTGGTATTATTTACAAGTACCCCGATCTATCTCCACCATGCACATTCCCTGCACCACCTGTTAATTTGCTTGGAGGCACCTGAGAATTCATTTCTGCAAGCTCTCTTACACGTACTAAAATTGTCTCAGGAATCATAACTGTACCATGCTTCCGCGCATTTATCTATCATACCCAAAATACAAAATATCAATTTAATATACTAAGGAAATGGAAGCTAAATTTATTATAACTTTGAGAACTGGAATAAATAATAATTCTCCCTTCTCTTTTAAGGTAACAATCTTGCTAACCTGCGTCCTAAGGACATTGATTAAGCAATTAAAAGTGAAAAGTTTTTACCGAAAATTTTGATGGAATGCATTGAAAATCACAAGGAGATGTGCATTAATAGCATTTATGACAAAAACTTTTTCCTTTTGATGGACACTGGTTAACATTTGTCTTAAAGTAAATTGAGGACAAATACAAGGAATGTTAGTAAAAATGAACTGCATGAATGCACCAAAAGTAAAGTAAAACACACACATATGAAAAGTTAAAAAAAAATAAAAAATAAACCAGGTAATAAATTGAGAATTAAAAAAAACTTGGAAAAAAAAGTTCATGTCAACTTTTACTATATAGATAGATAAATATAACCATGTTGAAATTAAAAATAGTAAATTAAAAACTTATAACTTACACTGTGCATTGCAGGGAGGCAATACTAGTTTGTATAATAATAAATTAATAGCAAGTTTTGAAAAATCATCAAAAAAATTGCTGGGATAAGACACTAATGCCATATCAAGTCCAGACATACATCAAGGCATGCGTTGGAAAAAGACGAGGTTGTAGAAACCTAACTTAAACTTAACCAACGTCTACTAGATCAAATTAAAACAAGTATCGTAAACTCTTACCCCGTCATCTGCAAAGCTAGCTTTGAGCAAATTCCTCCACTTGTCCTGCAAGGTAAAATGTGTGCTTAATGTAATGTAGCCTTGCACAATGCACAACTCTACCACCACCTTTAACAAGATCAAAATGGCTTTATTAAAATCTTTTATTTACCTTAAGATCAACGGAAGTACGATATGAGTGTGATGAAAAGGAGAGGCGTTTAATCTCAGACCACCTCCCTGGTCCGCACTGAGACACACCTTCAACCAATTTCATTACCTCAACAAGAGTCCATGCACGATGATGCTTCCTCCTCATTCCACCTTTAGCAGTGGGAACAGTAACGATATTGTCATCAGAAGTGTGGCTAGATGGATCAGCCTTTTCTGGCCTCAATTCCTGCCAAAGCTCAATTGTCTCTTTTGCAGGTTCACAAGCAGACTAGAACCAACACAACCACAGAAGAAAAAGAACCACAAAAGAAAAAAGTTCATGTTATATATTGAATAAAATAAGGAGTAAGAGCTGCAAATGGGATGTGGAAGAGGGAAAGCAAGAACAATTATTATAACAAAACTAACACCAAAGACAACCTAAGAGAACATGAAAAAATATAGATAGAAATAACAGTAGCACTATCGCCCAATCTCCATGCATGTTGTACAATGATAACTCCTTAGAAACAGCAATGAGAAGAACACTAAATTGGGGCCAAAAAGACAGATTTAGCACCCCTAAAAATGTAAGCATTGTGCTCCAATCAAACACAACAAAAGGATTTCATAACTCAGTAAAAAAAAAAATTGCATCCTTGTTTATACCAAAGCCCTAATAATTGACCATCAGAAACTGCACCAAAATAGGTTGCCCCCATGACTCATCAGTCACCAGAACCCTCAAACACATTGTTCAATGAATGTTGCAACCATACAAGTTAATGAAGTAGGATACATAACATTGACTTGACTTATCTGATTGATTATTCTCCAAATGAAGAAATATTCTTTTTTTTTGAGGAACTCCAAAATTATAACTATAAAGGAGAAAATCAATATTAACCCACTGCAATAGCAATTTCAAATGCAACCATGCTGAGTTTACATTCAATAAAGGAAATATACATAAGAAAACTAAGCAAAAAAGGTGAGCTAAAAACATTTTTAAAATATAAACATAAAAGTTGACCAAATCAACATATTAGTGATTTCTCCAGGTGCCATAATTTCTCAATCCCATGTCAGGTAAAGAATTATCAAACACCATAACAACACTTACTGACCCTCTTATGGTCTATAATTCTATTGTCGCTTCTCTATAATAAAATTCAACTTTATTTGTACTAATGAATTTCTTCTTTTGTGTGTGCGTGTGCCAACAGATAAAATAAAAAACCTACCCTTTCTACCATTAGCAAAGGATAAGTTGGTCTTACTGGCTGATGAAACTTTGCAGGCATTCTTGACTTCAAGACTTTGTCCTGAATCTCACTACCAGCATCAAAACCATGCTCTCCCAGCAACTTATTACCCAATTTTGCAGCCTCACCCATGCCAGTTGGATGGAATTTCTGAAATAAAACATAACATTTTATTTTTTATAAGACAATAAATGTACTTTCCAGAACTATCAAGAGACTATAGAAAGACACAACAGGAATACAAATAGGAAAGCACTGCAGGAAAGACACAGCAACAAAGACATTCTTAGACATGTGATCATAAAGAGCAATGCCTGAAGCCGACATTAAAAGGAAGCGTTTGCTTTGGCATAAATAACAACAAATGCAGAAAAGAGGAGGGGGGGAGTCTGGATCTAACCCAAACAAAATTAAAAATGCATGCTAACTTTCCAAATTTACTGAGTTCATCTCATAAAGGAACAATATCGTTTGGTGTTAAAATATCTCATAACGTTAGTATTGTTTCTTAGAAAAATATAGACGATCTTTGATGATCTCTTGGGAATGGTTTCCAATTTACATAATATTTCATGATTTGTTTCCTAATTTGATATTTTGATTAATATGAGAAGTCTAGTGCTAGTATAATGGCCCAGCCTTTTGGATTTCTATTCTCCTTAAACGTAGAAGTTCCTCCAATTAGCTTCTATACAAGCTATATATTTTAGTTTTTTGCTCATTTAAAAAAAAGCCAATCTTATTCTAATAATTTTTTTTAAAATTGTGCTTGGCCCAAGTTCTCCTTTTAAGGAAAAGAGAATGCCCAGAAAAAGCTGGGTCAAATGCTCTTTGCATTTTGTAACAAACCATTATGCACCGTATATCAATATTATTACTCAATGTTCTTTTTTCTCCTATATTTTAATTCAAAATTCCTACAATGTCAACATCCAACATCAAGCATCAATAAGGACAGAAGTAAGAAACAGAAAACATGAACAAGAGGAATCATGCTTTACTGAGGGGGTAAAGTTAACATTTAAAACAAAGTGTTGCCTAAACATATTTAAGCGAAAAACTGTATCACTTACCATAAGAGAGGTGATATTTTTCCTTGGACGACTTCTTTGATCCCGAGAAGCACAAGGAATTAGGACATCAGAACCTCCAAGTGAATCTAACCTGGTGATAAATGTTCTGCCATCTGAAAAAGCATTTCTAGAAGGCCTGACATATGAAGTTGGAGAAACATGTCCAAGTCCCATATTTTTATTAGAAATTAATGACCTCGGGCTGTGCTCTCTAAATTCATGTTCAGAGAGCTCTTCAATATATCTCTTAGTGGGCTTCCGTATTCTTTTTGCAGCTCTTTCTTCTATCTGATGATTCTCATGTCCCAATCCATGTTCCGTGTTGTGATTTCTCAGTCTTGTTTCAGAAACAACTAGGTTATCCTCAATTCCACAACCCTTTACAGCAGATGAATCATTAAAGTTGACATCCTCTTCCTCAGCCATATTTTCTGAAGAGATTAAAGATGCAGCATTCATATTTTTGGAACTGTCTTCTTCACATTTTCTAACAATTTTATTATCTTTAACAATGAAAGTTGTCGCTGAAACATCGCATGAGTTAGTTAAACTCATGGCAATCCTCCTTTTCAGCCACTGTTTGTCTTTAACAGTTGTTTGCCGACCAAAAGTTACCTTAAACAGTTCATGAAGCTCTCTGATTGATAGCTTATCCAAGCATATTTCTCCATCTACCATTGAAAAATCAGGCTTCAAATTATAATAGACAGCAGAAGCAGAAGATCCACTTTCTATTACCCCTTCTGAAGGTCTGGAACACTGATCAATACTCCCAGATTGATTACTATGACTATAATTTAAACTTGAAGCTATAGAAGGTATTTCTTGGTACGGAGTTTCAGATTGAGCCTTCCCATCCATGATAGGAAATTTATCAGCTGAACACTGGCTGTCTATATTTACATGAGAATGAACAGGCGATCCACATGATAAGCGAAGTTTCTCTTCTTCTTTGACCTTTTGCAACATCTGCTCAATGTACTACAAGAAATTTTAGAGGTCAAGAAGGACCCTAGGAAACAAATACTATAAACACCAGGACATGCAAAGATGCAGGCAAATGGCCAAAAACTAGGTGTCAGGATCTACCGAAAAAAAATCCACAACTTGCTAGCAAGAAAATAGGAGATAATTAATCACTTCGAATAAAACCCCATAAAATATCACACAACAAAAAAATTCAAGGTAAGAGACTCATACAGAAAGTAATATTCAAACAATTTCGTGGATAATTATGATGAGGAAAAAATCTATGCTCCATGATACCTATTTTAACTTTCTTCTATTGTCTAAAATCAAAAGGATGCAGTATACATACATAAATCCAAGCAAAAATATTGGCCATATTCTGCCAAACTAAAGTATCATCAATTATTTGATGCTATAATTCATGATTAGATAAACCCAAGTTAGTTGTTATCATAGAAGGTAAGCTTATCATCATTTTATTTTCTTCTCTGATAAAAGAATATATTTTATTAGTGAGTAATGAGGTCAATTACAACTTTCCTTATTTCTTCAACCAATTAACCTAATTAATGAACTAATGTAACTATCTAACTTATGGGTATCTATCAAAGTACAGATTGCCATAGCATGGATACACACAGGAAATTGAATCTAGTAACTAATATTTTCTGAATCAGAATACACTTGCCTTGGCTACAAAAACATAATAGGATCTCCTGAGAATAAATCTCAGACCCACATCTACTCTAAAGAAAGGGAAAATGGAACTACACCAGGAAAAAGCTTGCTGTGATTATTACTACATAAATGCTTAAAACTAACTCAATTAAGTAAATAGTATGGTCATCACTTGCTTTACATTTCATAATTTAACAAAAAGGAATCAAAACAAATCAATCCTTTATTATGTATGCTCTCAAACAGAAGAAAACATTAAGTTGGATATATCAACATTTTACAACTGTTAAATCGAAATCACAATGGGTTAGAGGCTTAGAGCATAGTTCATGCATTCAAATTTTTTTTCTCCTAATGCTGAAATTGCTAGAGGGAAGGAATTGGAGGAGAAAACAAAAGAAAACCAATTACCTGAAACTTTGCATTGAGTTTCCCCAAATCTGCCTCTGCAGTGCCTAGTTGTGAAACACCCGCAGTATTAGTTGATAGAAAATATGAAAAGAGATATTAGAAAGAGAAATAAATAAGTTAGCCAACGTGGCATTTGCCTAAACTTAGAGAAAAGTTGTGAACCAATGTCCAATAATAACTAAAACATCAGTCCATCAACATTTTAAATTAGATAATAAGTAGTATACCCTTTAAAGTTACAATCAAGCTAATAATTTCAGTAAAGGAAAACAAGAATGAATATAGTGACAAAAAATACTTATGTGAGAGAGAAACAAAGTCTCAAGCCTTCAACAGCTTTATGCACAGAAATCATTGACCCCAAATTAACCATGGTAAAAAGGGAGGCTGTTTATATCATGAAAGTGAAGACACCACATAAATTTTAGTCCTAAATTAATTAAAACTTGAAGGAAGATAAAGACAATGCTCAAATCCCTGATCTTAGCAGAGATAAGCAGCAGTAACACAGCTAAGAAATCCCTGGAGATAGTCTGGTGTAAACAGTATAAAAACTGGCAAATGCTTTGACCTGCCATTCAAAATGTTGAGAACCAATTTGTAAAAGAGCATACACCTTCTGAGCACTCCAAACGAAGCTTCCCAGAAGATGATCTTTCAATTGATATGCATTCCAAACTCTGCCCAGTGTCCGCAACAACACGCATTTCACTGTTTTCATACTCAAGAAAATCCTCCACCTCCATTACTTCATCATCTGTTGCAGGCACTAACCTCCCATCACCTTCAACCTAAAGATCATATCAGACAAACAACTCGAATTATGAATATAGCCTAAACAGAAGTATAAAGCACAGAACAAAAATGTAGAACCACATAATAAAATATGAATTTTCAAATGGACTTCCCATCTTTAATTTAATTAAACAAAGTGACACATTGTCACATTCCATTTCAGCCATTATAGAATATTAGGGAAAATGAGCTCAATTACATAAAACTCAACAACACAGTGATTGAAGAAAGTAATTTATAGAATAACTAGACCATAAAAGGAAGATGATAAACCGTTAGGTGTTTTGTTAATTCGTAGTTGAGATCGCAGGCCATTTCTGGAAAAAGAAAGGGCATCAAGGTATTATGAATGCAAATATGAATAATAGGCAAATTAAAAGGCTATGCAGCTAGAACAACAAGCAATCATGCTGATTTAAATGTGTGAATATTATAATTATTTATTTGGGATTTTAATTAATATATTACGGATGCTATGAACATTTTGTCATCAAATGAAACAAAGAGAAAAAACACATTAGATCACTCAAGGGACAATGCTTAGGGTTTTAGTTCAATAAACAGGTGACTTATAAGACTAGGTAAACATCCTTACAAATGTTTGACAACTGATAAAAGGGCACTCGTATGCTGAATAACAGTAGGGTTCTATAGCAACTCCTTTCAAGTTAATTTGTTGTCATGAAAGTATCAACTAAAAAGTTGTAAATTTTCCCCATAACTCTGAAGCATTAAAAAAAGTGAAAATTCAGAGAGCAACTATATAATCTACCCGAACAAGCTTGTATACAACTGGATTGGCAATTTGCTTCGGTGAAGACACAGCAGAACTGCTTCTATCAACTCCACTGTCTTCAAGCTTCCCATCATCATTATCCTCAATACCAACAACTGTTTCCATGGAATATCAACAACATGCACCTCAGGTACACAAACTGCAAAACCCAAAAACACAAAGCAAAACAAATTAGCACACAAAAATCCCCCATTTCAACACAAGCAACTCAAACCCAGATAACAAAAATTGAAAATTGGCAAGGTGAACATCTTAAAACTTGAAAAATCAAAACTTTCAGAAAAAAGTAGCATGCCCCAGAAGTCTAAACAAGCAATTCACCACCAAAACAACCTAAATTAAACACTAGTACCACACACACCAACCCATTCACCACAAAACGGTAACCCGAATTCACTAATGCCACATAAAAACTCCTCAAACAAAGAAATGCAGTTTTGGGGTTGATGAAACACTAAATTAAAGGCAACCCAGATGATAAAAATTTAAAATTAAACTCACCATAGAGTGAAGAACGATTCGACTCAGTAGCTGAAGCAGTAAAACCCCACTCAGAGTGACCGATTCGGACGAGTTGAAAAATGTTATGTATTCTCCTTTTAAGAAGAAACTTCTCGTCTACGTAAAAGGAAAAACTGAACTTGAACCACAGTGAAATTTTCCCTTTTTTTGAATGTGAGAAATTAATTTTATTTAATTTTGTAATATATTTATTTTCTGTGTGTTGGGGGTGAGAGAGAATGGAAAATGGTTTTTTGAGGTTTGCTTTTTGAGTACGCTGTGCTGAGATGAGCTTCGGATTCGAAATATTGAGTAAAGTGTATTTAATTGAAGCCTCGATTCCGGATTTTAGTTTCCTTTCTACTCTCTCTGTCTGAAACTCTGTCTCTTCACAAATTTCAAAAACCAAATCCTGGAAAAGTTGAATCAGTTGTTTAGATGCAAAAATGCTTTATTGTTTATATTTTAACCAGTTAATACAAATAAAAAATAGTATTTTATTTACAGATTTATGAAACCGTTCTGTAAAATATTAAAAAAAAAAACTATTCTTTATATTGTATTTTTTTAGGAAATTTTACAAACATCTTAAATGTAGCTTTTAAAATATTTCTTTTATAAAAATAAATGGAAATAATCAGGTTCGTGTTATATGAGTCATTTACATAATATTTAGCTTTGTCCTTATAATTATCAAAAGATTATTTTTAAAAGCTCAAATTTTAGAAAACTTTTAATTTATTACTTCTTTTATTTTGTTTTTATTTTCATTATTAATATATTTTTGAGCTTTTATTTTTTGAAAATTTCAAATTTTATACACAAATAGAAATATAAACATTTTTAATATTTTTAAAATAAAGTCACATTTAAAATATATTAATCTTAAATATATAAATATTACATTATGTGATGTTTTTAATTTTTTCTATAGTTATCTTTGACAATTTTGTAAAACCAAATAGCAATTAAAAGTATAAAATTTCTAATAAAATATAAAAATATAAATTATGAAAAGTAGTCTCTAAAATTATTAAATACCTATCATTTTAGTACATAAATTTATGAGATTACTTATTTTGTTTTAAAAATATTATTAATGCATCTTTCTCACATAATGTTCAATGCAATTTTAAATATTTTTAAAATTTTTTAATCAGTGCTCTTCTTATGCTCTATTTGAATCATGAGTGAAATAAAAAAGTAAAAAAAAGTTTATTGTTTAAACAAGTTAAAATAAGATAAAAATATTTCTTAATATATTTGAACATGTAAAGGAAGATATAAAAAAATAAATCAAAAAATTAACTTCTTCAATATTATATTTTTAAAATGTATTTTAATATTTTATTTTATAAATAAAAAAACCACCGTCCATCTTCCTCCCACTTTTTCCCCATTAATGTATGGGTCCCACTTTAAAAAAACTATCTTCTTCTTCTTCTTTTTTCAATTTTTTCTCTCACAAAATATTTAAACTCATTTTTTCCCTCCCTATTTGCCCCAACGAAACGTATATGTAAGTGTTTATTAATATTTGAATATATTAAATGATTTTTACCATTTAATCTTCTAATAATGATAAATATTATGACTTAAATAAAATTTCAAACTTGCTAAATTTTGAATTAATTTCTAAAAAATTATTTAGCTTTAATTCTTGACAAATTAACAAATTAAAAAATTAGTTAATCGTTAACTTTGTCAATCAAGTATTGAGTTGATTAATAAAATTTCAACTTCACACTATCATGTATTAAAGACATCATTCACTTGTATTTTAGTTAGCCCAAATTATTTTAAAATATTTTACAATAAAAATTTAAATAATTTTTTTGTCTATAAAATTTGTTGTATATAAAATTAATTAATATTTATATATTTTCTTGTTAAAATTCAATATCTTATAAATTAAGCTAGTAAGAAAATTTATCTTTACTAAAATTTGAGATACAATGATTTACATACTATGTGTTGGCTACGGGTGAAATTAATGTTGTGTTTTGATTAAAAAAAAGTATATTAAATTACTGTATTATATGTGTTTAGATAATAAGAAAATTGTATTTTTAGAATATCTTAGTTTTTTGGTTAAAGATTTTTTATGTTAAGTGTAAAAAAATTTAACTTTTAGGGAGAATTTTTTTAAAAAAATCTATTATACTTAATTTTTTATTCTAAAATTCTCCAAACGCAACTAAAAGAAATACAAGTCACTTTAATTATTATCACAAGCACCATAGTAAGAAAAAAAAACACTAGTCTCTAAATAAGATTATTAATTACTAATTGTACTTAATACAGAGACATGTTTTGTGATCAAATGGACACAAAAGCTTGGTAAGAGAATAGGGACAACATCTACCACCATTCACTATATTATTCTTCCCCACGAGTGTTTAATTTCGAGGGGTTTTGAAGTGGACTCCAAAGTACGCTCTTAACAACACAGGCTATGTATAGTTCAACAGAGATCAATTGTTATCAGATATTTTTTTGTTGTGATACAGTTCATATGTGGCTCTAAACACATCAGAATCTTCAACATAACCTCGTTCTAGTTCGTGTAAATGCATGCATATCTGCCACTAGTATTACGTTGATTTCCTTATAACCCTACGAAAATCTTCATCCAATTTCAAGCAATTCCAAAATGAAACTTCGCTAGTTGAAGGGACTAATACTTTCTTTCGTCGGCAAGGACTTCAGAGGGTAATGCATATCCAATGAAGATATCTTAGTTCTTTTGGCAAAGATTGGTCAAGCCCAAGAGAGATGCAAGTGGTCTTGATTTTCTCCGTTTAAATCCAAAAAATTAGATTTTTTTTTTTTTATCTTAGCAAATATCTATTGGGGGCTTAAATCTTATGCTTCTAATAGCCTCAATTCCCTATCAGCAATGTCTAATAAAAAATAATAATTAAAACATCATTATAAGCCATGTTTATTGCAAAGAATTCAAGTGTTCAATAAACAAAATTGGATTTTACTCATGAGGATCCCATATTCGAATGTAGTTTCCATGGTCTTAAATAGATTCACGGCGAACAATCTCCTATGCCATTTCTTGTATAGTATCATGCATACATACAATTTTAGAAATATAGTTATCAGACTTTTTAATAATCCTTTCTAATCCAATATAGCCACCGAATAATTACTATCTCCCAGCAGTAAAAGTTTCAAGTAATTAACTTCTAAAGTCAATCCATTAAAAAATGCAACATCTAGAAATATTTTTAAGATTTCTGGTTTAGATAATCATATATCAGTCTTATTATATCATGAACTTTTTTAATTAATTGATTTTTTTGAGTTACTCTATTTGACTTTCCCACTTTTTTTGTCTTTTTCACGAAGAACCCACCCTAAAACTTTAAGAACTAGTGGAATTCGTCTAGCATATATAATTTACCACTTTCTTTAAAACTCATAACACTCCCTTTCAAGATTACTTTCTTTAAAGGCATGCAAATTGAAAAGTTGACATCTAACTCCAATGCCTCAAGCTTGTAGATATCATGAAATTCTTTAGCAAGCACTTACTTATCTCTCTAGTTGATCCAAAAGCCATTCATGTATGCCAACTAAAGTTTCTAGTTGCTCGGTATCATTAACATCATCAATAACTAACAGAACCTTTAAGTGACGAAGACTTTTCTCAACATAACGTGACAATCTGTATGGTGTGTTTTAAATTTTAAATTTTCTTTGTCCAATAATGTAGGAAAAAGCTTATTCTTTAATGAAATTATTCCATATATCTCTTTGGCCCTTCCCTTGTATTTGCCAAAAAAGCAGCATATTCAAAACACAGTCTAATAATTGTAATTCTTTGCAATTGTTGTCTTGATACCGCCCATGTCCCCTATCCTAATACATGTACATTTCCCGTTCTTTGGAGTAATTGTGATTCCAAATTTGTCACTGGTTTGCCAATACCAAAATGTCCTTTCAATTGAATTTGGTGCATTTGATTCAAGCTTTTTGAAACCCATGTAAGATTTCTTAGATTAGCTCAGCGTCGTTCCTAAACAACAAGAAAGAAAGAATACACAATATGTTATCTTCTGCAGCATATAAAACACTACTTTGTTTTTATTTTTTATTTTTTTAAAGATCTATAAAAAATTGTAAAACTAATAAAAATTATTTTTATACAGATATTTAAAAATAAAAAATTACAATAAAATAAAATATTATATTTTTTAAGCCAAACAGTGCCTTAAAATACAATGATTTGTCAATATATGATTTACTTATAGAACATATATATATATATATATATATATAGACACACACACACAGACACACGAAGATGAAGGAAAAGAAGATCCCATTGCATATGAAAAAGCATAGTCTGACGAAGTTTTGTCTACGAAAACCAAACAAATACAACACATTCTATTTGAGAGTAAGATGCATTTGGATAGAAACAGTGGCAGCATGCATATGACTTTGTCTTTTGTATCTACAAATCCATCTTCAACAGCAAAATGATCAACCCACAACACAAGATATATGGAAAGAATAAAGAAGGGGAATGAAAAGAAAAGATCAAACAACTACAGTGTGTTGCTAATAATAGAAAAGGAAAATTCAAGTTGTTAAAACTTTTTAAAGCGTTTCACGCGCGCGCGTGCTGCCTTTGAATGATCTTACCCCTTTGTCAACTTATAAATCTAATTCGTCTCCTCCCATCTGTATATATATATATATATATATATATGTCGGAAGATATCAATTGAAGAAGTGAAGAGCCAACGGTAGCATACTCCTATTTGGCGAAATTTATGCTTTTTGTTTTTCCCTCAAAATTTAAAACAATGCGATAGTAGTTTTAAGTAGTACTTGACTTCTAAACTTTTAATGCATTGAATTTTATTGACTTGATATCAGTGCTGGCACTAAATGTATTTTAAAGCTTTTTTTAGAGTTTAAAAAGAAAATATTTGATTGAATGTTTAGTTTTATTTTTAGCTAAATAAAAATAAATTCACTTAAATAAAAATATAAAAAACAAACAATGCAAAGTGAGTACAAAAAAATAGAGGACTAAAAGATGAGAGTGGATGTGAGGATGGGGAGAAAAAATTGGGTATAGAAGATGAGGTAGAAGCAGAAGAGGAAGAAGAAATTTGAAAAATAAGAATTAAATAGAAGAAGAGAGGTAAGGAGGGGAAGAGGAGGTAGGATTGGAAGAAAAAAAAAAGGTTTGAGAGAAAAAATAAAAAAAAGTGGAGGATGATGTAGAAGTATTTATATTTTTTTATTTTTTATTTTTACTTAAATAATTTTTTTATTTTAATAAAAATAAAATTAAATATCTAATTTGCAGTACACTGTCTTTAAAATCTTTTTCTATATTTTAAAAAAATGTTAATCTAAAGAAGGTTTCTTAAGAGTTATATACTAAAAAAAATTATTATTATTATTTTCATTTTTTAATATTTTTTATTTTTATACTTTTTATATTATTTAAATAATATTTAATAATTTAATACATATTTTTTTATAAAAAAAAAACCCAAAAGCTCATATTTCTCACCCACCGTAATCTTTTCCAACAATTTTTTTTCAGAAGAATTTACCAGCTGCTAGAAGTCGTCAATAACTAAGATATATCATTTAGTAATGAAAAATTTTCAACGATTTATTGACAGGCAAAAGAGGCAATTATCGATAAGCTTATCTAATTAGGACGGTGGTCCCTTTTAAAGGTAACACACTAAGCATATCGGATAGGAGTTGTGAGTCCTGTGATTGAAGAATGAAGATCTTTCTAATGGTAGACTCTTCCTCGTCATAAGGTCACATTTAAGAAAATATTTATTATATACAAAAATATAAAATTTATTAAATATATGCTTTTTAAATGTAATTTAAAATGTTTAATATGATGTTTTTAATGAGTTCATAACATATATTCATAGACAGTCAATATACAAATCCTTTAAATAAATAATGAATTTATGCATGAAAATATCTAACAATGTAAAAGGGAGAATAACATTTATGAAACTTTCCTTCAAACAATTGTGGGACGCCACCAATGTTATTCTCCTTTATGGCATTTATCGAAGGTGATATGAGAGTAATTCTAAAAAGGATACAGAAACTATTTCAACACACAAAGATTCTGCAGCTAAACCACCAGAATATTCTTCATAGCCGGAAGTAATCCTTTTGAATCAAAGGAGGACATGTCCCTTCATTGTAAATATCAAATGTTTTCTTCCTTGAAACAACAAAAGCAGCTTATTCTTATCCATCACCAAATGCAAGTTCTATTCATTTACCCAAAGGACAATAAAAGATTTTATTCATTCCACATTCTATGTATCCTTTCAAAATTGTGTATTGTATCTGTTTCAGCATTGAGGACACCGAATAGTTGTGCTCATAGTTATTGTCAATCGTATCACAAACGTATCAACAAACTCATTTCAGCATTTCTACTAATGCTTCTAAAAGAATCCCATGTCAGAAATGGATATCTACCCTGGGATTTTTATAATAGTGGCACTAGTAATTTCGTTTACAATTTTCATCCTCACTATGCTTGGATTTTGCACTCATACCTATCACATACCACCCTTTCCTACAACAGGTGTATCTTTCGATGACAAGTTCTCTCCTTGTTTGAGCTTAGAGTCACATTCAATTACATTCCAGTATAAGGCAGCAGAGGCTGCACAACGCACAAATCAGACCGAATGTGTTATTTGCTTGACAGGTTTCGAAGAAGAGGAAAGGGTCAGGAAGCTTCACACTTGCAAGCACATCTTCCATACTTCTTGCATTGATAAGTGGCTTGGCTCTCATTCTGGTTGCCCACTGTGCCGCACTCAGGTTGAAAAAATGACTCTCCCAAATAGTAGAGTTGCTTTGGGAGAAAATGATCATATAATCATGGTCACTACGAATTCTTGAATCTGTTATAGATTTCACGTTAGAATGCATTTCTAACTTTTATGTTAAACCATGTTTACAGGCGTTCTCATATGTTTCCAAACACACTAAATATTGATCATTCCATCCCCACTCGTGAGGTAGCTATCTTTCGAAATTAAAACTTTCTGTTTTCCTCACAGATATGTTTTGTGAATGATAAAGTTTAAAACTTCTTGCGATGAGATCATTTGTGTTCGTCCAGGTATATATTTCTTCTAGGATCAGTTTGTTATCTCATTAAAAATGGATGTGAAGTAATAAACAACTCATGGATTAGCTTTGCAATAAAATATTTAGGAAAAACTAATCCCTGATTTATTCAGCAATAGTGTTTGCATTTGAATAGTTCTATTTATCACAAGGAATTTCATATAAATTATTAAAGCAAACTCAAACTTTTAATTAGTTGTAAGAGGCGGAATCAATTATGTAGACCAGAACCACACTTTTGAAAGTTGATAATATGTATTTAAGAAATTAAATTTGTAATATTTTTAGCATTACTCTTTTACGTACATATGATAGCTTCAGACCTGATAATAAAATGAGACTAAAACACAGCTTAATTTCATGTACAAGAATTATTTTCGTACTTCTGGAAACATCTTCCCTCGTACACACTACATCTTTCTCAGGTTATCTAACCTAGCCTGTAGATCATCATCTATTCCAGTGTCTTCATTGCCTGTTGATTCAGCTTGAGCAACCCTGTTATTTGCTGCTGGTGCAGTGACTGACGTTGATGCAGGTGCATTCAAAAGCTGCAAATTGAACAAGAGAAATATGTATCATCAGTCATTATTATTGTTACTCCTTCACCTCCAGCCAGGGGAACAAATGAACAATAATCCTTTTCATCTATAATTCTCACTTCTCTAATAAGAATGATAACAACTTACCTCAGAGTTGATATCAATTCCAATCTCATCAAGAACCTGATTCACGAGCTCTTCTGTCTCTTCCTCTTCTTCATCACCTTCCAAAGCATCATCAATTGCATCTCCCATCACCTCAGATACCAGTTCCATCTTCTCATTCTGCCTTTCAAATTCTTGCATTATCCTCTGTAAGGAAGGCAAGTTCATCTGCCTATTCATTTGTCCCATTGCTTTAGTAACTCCTTTCATAGCCTCTCCCATTGCTTGAGTTGATTTTAGTGTCTGAAATTGATCATACAGAGTCATTTTTAAAGGCTATAATGCAATCCGTCTTACAGACTCTAAAATCTAACATTAATTTTTAAAGGTTGTGATTGTTGGAGACTGATGCAAACATGTGTTCAATTTTAGTATTTGATTGCTGGTATTTGTGGTAGTTCACTGGCAGTGAGAGAATTTAAAAGTAGATGAAGCCAAGATTGTTTTAGGTTGTGATTTAGTCCTGGTAAGGTTGAAGAAATGATCCATGTGTTGGAGGGAGGACGGGAGGTTTCTAATCCAAGAGTCATGACCTCAGCTTATAAGCGCAGTGTAGACCAGAGAGAGCTGCTTGAACAACAAAAAACACTAGTAGTCTTGGTCAAAGAATAGGTCATGGGGAATGGTGACTGGATTAGGGTGACCAAGTGGCTGTGATCTATCCTAAATTCCTAATTCAAAGTTGTAATCGACCATCTATAAGAATAAAGTCTTACGTCCAGGGTTATATCTGTAGCAGACCAGAAATTGACAAAAGATAGAGCAGCAAGATCTAGTACATGGTCAATAGGGAGGTTGTCCAATTAACACACAAAAATAGAGATGAAAATCTTACAGATTTCAAAATCTCTTCATATAGGATGAAATCCATGATTCAAAATACACAGTAGCATCGCAAGATAGGTTGAATTAAATTAAACTGAAAGACATATAACAAGGCTGCTACAGTAATAAACTAATCATATTACTGTGGTATGAACAGTGACCCCTTATTCTTTTCTTTTTCAAATGCTTATGTATCAAAGGATCCGCTGCGTTGTAAACTTGTGGAATCTTTCAAAATATACTACCGTAATAACAACATCAACTCAGCAAAAGACTACATTAATCAATTATTCAGTATAACAACTTCTCGCTTTCACAATTAAAATTATAAACAGTAGAAGCAACATAACAAGTGAACATTCGTTTATTATTATTTCCCATTGAACTCCAAACGTCAAAGGAATATGCATCACGGTAATATAATGCTAAAACTCATAACCTTTAACTTCTCTACTAGTGATGACTTGTAAACAAAACAAAAAGAGTTGTGCGGAAGCAAACCTGAATTCTCAGAGAAACACCCTGAAGCTGCGATTTGAGCTTGTAAAACTTTTCAATCTGATGGCGAGTTCTGATAAGATCCTTGGCCATCACTCTCACTGCCCCCTAACAAATCAAAGTCAAACCCACAAACAGACCAAAAATGCACTTTATTACATACCCGCTCAAATAATCTCAATTCTTAACACCTCCCCACTACACTACATTAAATCTCAGTCCTCACAAAACTGAAACAAAATTTAAACTACTTAAGAATGCCAAATAATAATAATAATAATAAAACACACAAAAAAGAAGAAAAAAGAAAGATACCATTTGTCCTTGTTTGGCGTTCTTCTTAATCTCAACAATCAATTTTTTTTCTTGATTTTGCAAGCCTTGTCTTTCCCTTTCTATGTCTCTAATGGACTTGTCCAGCATCCTTTTATTCTCCCTCAAAAGCTCTGTCACAAATAACAAACCAACCCAATTCCTAAATCCCAATCAAAGACACAATTTTTTCTAACAAATAGCTCGAATTCAATGAACGGAATCAGAACGACGATGTAACCTTTTGATAAAAACAAAAACAAAAATTGGAAAGGAAGAAGAGGAAAGTACCAGCGGGAGTCTTTCTACTGCCGAACAGAAAACTCATATTGCTTCTTCAATCAAACTATGAGACCCCTTTTTCAGTGTCAACACGAAATGTTCAATAATAATAGCTGCAATCCTCTTCAATTTAATTTGCATAAACTAGTAATCAAGTATGACACTCGCAGTGAATGAATGTGTTTATCAAATTATCTAAAACAGAATTCGATGCGAGAACAACCTTTTTTTGTGTGTGTATAAAGGATAGTTCAGCACAAAGCCCAATAAAACCTTACTCTCCTTATTAACCATTGGATCCTCACCAAGCCCAAGAAGCCCAATTCACAAACCTCCACACACCGAACATTTATCATGGGCCATGCATGGCCTCTTGACTGGTTACCACTTGGATGATAAGCAAAGGATTTGCGTGGCCTAGTGTGAAATTGTGACATTTTCTCTTGTTAATGTTACTGAATTCAGTAATTTGTGCTTAGTTATTTATTTGGGAAAAATAGTAAATTGGGTTTTTAGAGTTGAATTTAAAGAACTAATAAAAAATTTATTAAAAAGACTTTAACATTATTGGTTTAAACTCAATTTTAAGGATCAAAGTTAACCGAACTCTTTATTTATATAGCTGGATGTAATTCTTGATTCAAGTAATATCTTTCGTATGAATTTTTAATTTTAATCTCTTCAAACATTTTTACTTTAATTTCTACGTTTTAACGTTTTCTCTAAGTTCATCGTGTTGAAGTAGTTCCACAAATTATAAAAACTAAAATTAAAATGTATTAAAATTAAAAATAAAAAAAAGTTCAAAAGCCTATTGAAAGTGATTTCAAAATGGCCCATTTAGGGAAAGATATAACCCGAGCAAAAGATTTTGAGCCCATTTTCGACGTTAAAGAGGTAGGCCCATTTGAATAATAATGTTTGGTTCATAAGGATTGGGGCTCTAGTTGTCATTGACAAATGGCATTGGGGAAGTTGATATGGCAAATAGCAATGAAACATGGACCATTGAGAAATTGAGAGCCATGAAATGAGCGAAAACCTAAAACATTTAGAAAAAAGATCTTTAAATAATGTACGCAACGCAGACTTTTTGAAAGAATATTTTCAGTCAAGATAAGCGAACCCTAGTTAGCTACCGTAAACTCTATTTCTATGAAAGTGAAACCATTAATGAATCAAATGCTAACTTTTCCAAGGTTTTTAATGCAGTCAATGATATGTCCATTCAATGTTATCTCACGTCTCAATCAGGCATGTTACATTTGTAGATAATTTTAATGAATAAATGGGAGCGCCACAATTGCTTTCATTTCTCAAACACTATTCAAAATTCAACTTGGGTGTGTACAGTATAACAATCATAGTTATTCATTACTAGCGGACAACTTGTCACTGTTAATATTTGATGATAATAATAATAAAAAAAACCAAGACATAAATGTATTTTATACCTAAAATTTCATTTCAGGTCTGAAGTTGATCATCGTCTTATCAATTTGGAGTAAGAAAGCCAATTTATTACTAACAAAATAGGAATTTCTGACAATTGGAAACGTTATATTTATCAAAGTATGGAACTGCTTACAACCATATTGATGTCGGTTTCTGCACTATACACAAGTGATATTGATTTGAGTAGCGTTAAACCTTAATTTATGCACAAATTGGTTCGAATTCAGGCTATTAAGTTTCGTCCAAAAACTACGTGGCACCCAGAAATTTTGAGATTGAGATTTTATATTGAGTTGTAGAATATGATTATATAAGAGAAAAAAAATTATTTCTTTATAATTAAATGAGTATATAATAATCAATCATGATAAATACTTGTTTAATAAAAACTTTATTTTTTTAGTATAATCATATCATGTTAATTTATAATGTGAGATGATCTGAGTTTAAAATTTCGTACTAATTTATCACCAAACAGAAGTTTAATAAGGATATGCGTTGTTCATAATTTTCTGTACATGTTTAGTTGTGAATATATACACAAGCTTTAAATGCTTTTGAGAGTATAGAGTAATGTTGAAAATGCATGTTCGTGGGATAAGGCCACATTCACCTCATGTCATGATTTTCATTTGAAACGATTCCATTTTTTTTTCCGATAAGGCCTCTTATAGTCAACCTTGGTGAACAAGCAACATGTGTATACCAAGATCATTCCATCTTTTGACCGAAAGATAATTTAGCTGGTAAGTAGCCTAGCTAGCTAGTTAAAATAGCAGCCATTGCTGGCATTTCCTTCAGATTGGGGCTTCAACAACTTGTCTTTGTCTTACTATTTACCATCATGCTAGTTTATTTCGAATTTTTCCATCTCAACCTCTATTTACCATCATACTATTTAACTGCTTAAAATTTAAGCTTAATTCATGAAAAAAAATATGTTCAAGTTTAATTCATTTGTTTAATTAAACTAAATTTTTCACTTATCAAATTTTAAAAATCAAAATAAAAATTACACATTAAAATTATTTATGATTAATTTGTTAATATTAAATTTATAAAATTTTTAGATTAATCTCATTTAAATAAATCAAATCTAATTTAAAGTCTATTTTTTTTAATTAAACCAACAAACTTAATAAAGTATTGAGCTAGAGGTCTTCTTTCCACAGTTCCCAGTCATCATAGAACAGAACATTAGAACCCCATTTCCCAGCATCTGCTATAGTGCCATGATCATAATGTCCACCATAGTGTTACGACACATGCAAATTAACAATTTTCCATGCACATTTCTTGCAGTCTGGAACATGGGTCGCTCCCAAATGTATGTCCAAAAATGATTAAATATATCAATTCTTAAAGCATGGGATCGCTTGCAAACAAATTAAGGGCTTTCACTGTGCAACAGTATAAGGTATGTGAGCAGGTATGGACATTGACCCACTTCAAATGATTTCTGCCAATAATCATCAATGATTAGAGAATGGCCCACTTTAAGGAATCCACGGCACTGACTAAAATTTACCGACTTTGCTTATGCAGAGGTCAGGTGCATGTAATTGATCTGTTGCATGCAAAATGAAGTTGTACTTGTTCTTACCACCCTTCCAAAGGTAATTTCTATCATTGTGTGTTTGGTAAGTTTTGTATTCTGCTCCAATTTATTAGGCCACCAAATTGGTTGACTGATCTCCTTCCATTATTGTTTTGGAAAATTGGTGAGAGAGATGTGAAAAAAGAAAAAAAAAGAAGAGAGAATAAGAGATCTGATAAGTAATGTAATAACAAAAAATAAAATAAAATACTAACATAAAAGGATGAAAAATAGAAATAGAAAAAGATGAATAAAATATACTAGTTTATTTTCTTAAAACGTAAGTAGATCATTCAGTGCCTCTATGTGACACTTAGTATCTAGGCATGTTTTATGATAAAGAATAGATTATCAATTCCTATAGATCGGAGTTACTGGTGCTACTCAAAGAAGCCTTCATAGATTTTAATCATCAATCCCGTCTAAATCAGGAGTCTGTATTTAGTATTTTATTTTAAAATGTATTATTTTTTTAAAATTTTTAAAATTTTTGTGAAAAATACTAAAATTTAAATCAGGAGTTCGGTAGGAATTTAACAAAAAAATTAGTTATTTTCACAAAAAATTAACAATAATTTATATTTAATGTTTTACTGACAAAATATATATTTTATAAACACATTATTGTGAAAGTTTTTTAATAATGAGGAATTAACTAATAACGGTATGAATTATACTCACTTTTATATTATTTAATATTTTTTTACTCTAATTGATTGTTAAATTAAAATATTTTATCATATAAATTATGTCTATAAAATTTCCAATTGTTTATATATATCAATCCTTTTTTTTTTATCACACCTCTTATTATATATTTTTTTTCTCTTCTCTTTCTATCACTATTCATCTCCCAAGGTGTATACAGTTTATTAGCTGAGCTAAAAATATTTTCCAATCAATTAACATCTATTGGGTATGGTTTAACTTCAACTTGAGTCACTTCCAAGTTACAAATAATAATGATGAGAATTTATGTTGGGTGAAACAATTATAGGTAGTTGATGGCCACAATGAAGTTTAAGTACACAAGGTAGTTATTTTTCCACGACTTCAACCTTGTATTGATGTACAAATAGTACATTGATAATCTTACATAGGAGTAGGTGAGTTTATCAATATCATAACATGCGCATCAAAAAGAAGCAAAGACCTATTTAATTGAATGGTAGCATACCCGTTTCACTATGGAGAAATAATTTGTCCCTTTTACTATATGGGGCTTATGTTTGGCCAACCTTCATCAAACTTACATTTCACAGATTCTTTGAAGGACAGAAGATATACTCACATTGTGTGGTCGGTGTTAGTTAGGCAAGCTAGTGGTAATTAGGCTAATAGGACCCCTTGGTGGAGTGTCCTCAATTCATAACTGCTATAACCAGTCACCATCATAACATAACTTACTCATATGGCAAGTTTCCTTGCTTGCTTTGAAAATTATAGCACAAGTTATATGAATTTCTTTTCCAAGTTATCTATATGCACAAAGATAATTAAGAAATTCTATTCTAGATAATGAATTAACAGCTGTGAAACAGAAATGAATTGCCATGTATTCTTGATGTTTACTTTTAAATTGACATTAACATGCATGATGGGTTGCAAAATAAAGTAGAAAAGCCAAGAGAAGATAAATATCTTTTAAAGAGGCAAGTTAATGTTACCCAAAAGTGATAAAATAAAGTGACAAGATGTAGGGAAGAAAAACAAGGGCAGCGGAAATTGAAGACTATCATTTCTTTTATATAGAAAAAGCCACTAGTTTAAAAGAAAATATCATGGGATGGGATAGAGTAGGAAGCCCACAAAGTGAAGATCAAGTTATTTAAAGACTATATTCCTTGTTTTTCTTGTTGAAACATATGTAAGGATTATGTTCTTTCATTCAATAATAATCCTTTCCAGATAGATGGAAGTGTAGATGATGTACAGATATACTGAATTACCTTGTATTGTTATTCAATTTTTCATTAGTACAATAGAGATAACAAATTAAATTTTACATTGTTTGGTCATAGAAGTTCATATACGATAAAAGCAAAATGCAAAATTTACTAATAAGATAAAAGCTCAGAGCACCTCTCTCAAGCAAGCAAAATGAACAGGATATATCACCTCAACCTTGCCAACAAGCCTATAGTTCCGATTTTCTTGAGACACTATACAAAGCTAAAGCACTAGGAA